TTGAAAAAAAAAAAAAAAAACATTCCTGCCATTTGGATAAATATCCTGGTTCAGTTCGGTCTTAAAACCTATACATCATCCATCACTTACGTCTTGCCGGACTTTTCCTTACTTCAGGTCAAAATCATTCCCCAGCCGCAACCGAGAGATCTTCTCAACCAGGCGGCCGTCAAGAACGAATCCTTACCGCAACAAGACAGCCAATATAGCAGGTGAGCTCCCTCTACCCCAATCCGCGGTGCTTGGTTGGCTCGAGGCCCTTGAATATCCCCCCACTCCCAGTCGACAGGCGCCTACAGTACAGCTCTGGAACGAGTATGTTCTTGATAGTCATGGACTGGATAAGTTCGTCGGCAAGGCTAGGTCTTGGCTTATTACTGTTAGCAGGGGATTTTAGCAGGCCCCAACACCAACCTGAGGTGGCACCGGAGGTGGCTACTCATGCTAGAGGCTGCTACTGGTGGATGGCGCCCTTATCCTGGGCGCCTCTCTCGTGGTCTCGCTGGGCTTGGGGCGTCTAGTCCAGTCTAGTCCACTGATACTGATAGAGGTGGATCACTCCCATCGTTGAACCTCCTCCTGTGGCCTCACCTTCTGCGGCACAAAACGCGTGAACTACACCTCGGTTTTGTGTCAAGTTTCTTCTCTAACCTATCTTTTTATGCAGCTGTGAAACTCACCTGAGGATCCATTCGAGTTTTGTCGCTACTTGTCGCATCGCAAATCGTCATCGTTGCATCTGTTCTGTTCCGTTATCCGGCCTCGAGTCCTTTCCGTGCCCCTCTCGGTCTCAATCCAGTCTGGGCTCTGCTCTGCTCTGCTGTGCATTACATCTACAGACACAACAGGCATCGCCGCCCGTCCATTCCATCTTCATCTGCCCCTCGACTGAACAATTTGTTGCGCTTCGCTCCGATCAACCCTTCGACTTTATACCTAATTGCTCCTGTTTTTCTCATATTCGATTGCAACAATGGCTCAGCCCGGTGTGCAATCATTGAAGGTTTGTTGAGCCACAGGTTACCTGACGCAATACCTGGTTGGTTGGCTGACCGCTGCTACAGTGTGTGGTAACTGGTGATGGTGCTGTTGGAAAGGTACGTCGGACAACAAAGTGTCGCTTACCACGCGATGGCTATCACGACAAGAAGCTCCCCCTGACTGTGTATCTAGACCTGTCTACTCATTTCCTACACCACAAATGCATTCCCCGGCGAATACATCCCTACCGTCTTCGATAACTACTCAGCGAGTGTCATGGTAGATGGCAAGCCTATTAGCCTTGGCCTTTGGGATACTGCTGGTCAGGAGGATTACGACAGACTGCGACCCCTTTCATACCCTCAAACTGACGTCTTCCTGATCTGTTTCTCCATCGTCAGCCCCCCATCATTCGACAACGTTAAGGCAAAGGTAAACTGGGAGCTTCCCGTCACAACAGGTTGACTCTGCTGACACCTCTAGTGGTACCCCGAGATCGATCACCATGCGCCCAACATTCCCATTATCCTTGTCGGAACCAAGCTCGATCTTCGAGAGGACGCATCCACCCTTGAGTCGCTCCGACAAAAGCGCATGGAGCCTGTATCATACGAGCAGGCGCTGACCTGCGCCAAGGAGATCAAGGCCTACAAGTATCTCGAGTGTTCCGCCTTGACCCAAAGAAACCTCAAGAGCGTCTTTGACGAGGCCATCCGGTAGGTCCCAATCCTCAACCTTTGTCCACTGTGTCCTAACATCACACCAGAGCCGTTCTCAACCCTCGACCCACACCTTCGAAGCAAAAGAAGAACAAGTGCTCCATTCTGTAGATACCATTTAATGAACGTTATCACTGCGCGTATGGCACACGTGCGTTTGAGTTTATCAACTCAACGAAAGCGTCTGGACGACGCGAAACGACATGAAGAATTCTGGACGGATGCTTAACAACAAGCACGGCATCTGGCGATAACAAGACGGCGGTCTTGTGACGAGATATCCCTGGGAAACGGTTAGGCTGGATTGAACTGAACTGGGGCAATTGCATTTTTTTCAGCGAGCCCGTTATCTGTCTGCTCCCTGGATCGATATCCATACGCAAACAATCATGCGAAAGGCAGCAACTGCATATGACGATGACTTTTATTTGCGAGGCGGTTCTTGAATGACTTTTGGGTTTTCTTTATCTGCAATCATGTGGGTTTCCAACCTTTGCTATTTTCTATTTTACTACCTCACGCTGTCATCTCCTCGCGGAGTTTATACCGATTTTGCCAGTAATTCAAGAACCAGTCTGCATCTGGACATACGACTGTTGCTCTTTGACATTTCGCTGTGCTATAAAATTTCTAGGCTTTTATAGATTACACATCTGCTTCAGTTGAAAACGCACGCAGGATGCAACTCATTCATCATAGTATATTGCCGGTCACTTCTGAGATTGAGCCCCCAGCTGTGCATATCCCGCACTTCCATCGTCATGTAATCATAAGTACTTAGACTTTTTAGTAAAATATTAGGAAATTAAGGATCTGTTTTTCGTCCATTAGGCTTCTAATTAGGTATGCGACCGGAGGTGCGGGATGTGCACAGTCGGGGGTTCAAGGAGATATGGTGTGGCTTTAACTTTGAGTAGACGGATAGTCATTAGTTGATCCATCGTTCATTATCTACATTTGTGAGATTCATGATCCTTCCTGGGGTATCTCTCACTGGCTCTAACTTGCAATTCCACAACTTTTGTGTATCCGACCCTAATATCATTCATTAAAGCGCACTGAGAAAACGTCGCTAAGCTGGTTCGTATCGTTTTGGGTTATCTGACCAAGCCTTGGCCATATTCAAGGAATCCTGACTTATCGGTGATTACCAGGAATATGGGCACGTCGGCTGGGGTGAATGCCATCGTTGCCTGCTGAACGGGTATCAGCATTGGCCCTGGCGTTCTCTTCCTTTTCCACTCTCTCGCGCTCGATGCGTTTGGCGCGGTTCTCATTGAGTTTGAGGTTCTTCTCCTTGATCTTGTCCTGGCGTTTCTTTGTCTTTCCACCTCCGCCGGCGCTGTTAGAAAGATGTTAGTATTGCTTTACAATAGTGTGATATATCAATTGCTTTTAATGCATGGAAATGTCGGTCGCAAGTCAAGCAAGACTGGCCGCGCTAGATATTACACAGAACGCATTGGACGGCTGTGGGGAATTGGGTGAAATGTGAGGGGACACAGGTTGCTGGATAGCAAAAATAAGGAGAAACTCACGTTAACTCGACATTGATGCGACGAGGGTAAGAGGTGCCATCCGAGAACTCGGAGTGGTGGAACTTATCAAGACATGTTCGCATATGCCAGACCTTGGCGAACTCGACAAATGCAATGCCACGGCAGGGCTTATCGTCCTTGGGATTACTCATGCAGCGGACTCCCACCGGATTCAAAGAGGCAAAATGGGCTCTGATGGTTTCGGCGGTGGCGGTGAAGGGCAAGTTGCCAACAAAGACAATATGTCGGTCCGCTTTGCCGTTGGTGTTGGCATCAGCATCGGCTGCATCCGCCTCTGCGCCAGCAGACTCATCGTTGATGGCGGCCGTGTCTGTTGTCTTAGTCTTCTTCTTCTTCTTGTCCTTCTTGCTCTTCTTGGGTTCGTCGTTGGTTTCAGTATCAGCACTGACGTCCTTCTGCTGTGGTTCTTCGGTCTTGTCCTTCTTGTCCTTCTTCTTCTTATCCTTCTTGGCAGACTTTTCAGTATCTACAGCGGCATCCGTAGGCTTGTCTTCGGCGCCAGCCATGGCGGTGTCTTCGGCTTCTTCAACATCGTCGTCTTGTTCGGGGAGGTCTTGAAGATCTTTGCGCTTGTCTTTGCGCTCCTTGCGCGACTCCTTCTTGAACTTCTTATCTCGCTTCTCCTTCTTGGCTTTCTTGACGTCGGCGCCGTCGTCCTCACGCTTGCGCTTCTTCGCAGGTGCCTCGGCATCAACAGAGACAACAGGCTTTTCGTCGACCTCGGTGGCCTCTCTTGCGCGCTTGCTCTTCATTATTGGTGGCTGTAGTTTGCGCTGGAGAATTGAATTGTAGAATATGCAGAATCTGCTGGAGCTAAGTCAGTCGCTTTGTGCCACGCCGCAAATTGAAACATATGGCTTCAAAGAAGAAACAAACAATGGTTCGATGTAGCAAACTTACATACAATCAAATGCTGGTGATTAAACTTTTGGATGAGAGGATGACAGGAATTTTTCAAGGCCTTAGCCACTGGTTAGCAGAAGAATTATCCCTGGGCATGAGGTGTCAAAATAAAGTCGCCTTAAAAACTGGGTTGATAGGCCTCAAGTGTATGAGCTATTTTGGCTCTCGGTGCCCACTTATTCTCTGATACCCTGATACCTGGAAAATGTTCCGAATTGACTGGGATTGTCTCGGAAATGTACCGCTGTGCCGACCCATAGTCTACTATGTACTGTACTGTAGCAGTGTATCCACGGCACCTATCGCGCGGTTCAGGCGTCAGAAGAATTACTGGATACCTGTGGTTTGCAGTTGAGGCTGAGCGCGGGATTGAAGTGAGAAGGATTGATCTGCGCGTGGTATTGCAGAAAAAGTGAGAAGTGAGTAGTATGTGTGTATTACAATGAGGTCGAAGTAGCCTATCGGCAACAAGTTACAACTCTTTACTTCCATGACCTCCACTCCATCAAGGGAAGCTTCATAGGGACAGCGGGAGAAACCGAGCCCAAAAGTCTCCCATATTCTCCTCCCCAATGTAAAAAGATAAGTGTAACCTACGAATCTCATCAATTGCTCCTTTTTTCGTTGTAACGCCGTTAGCTCCGTGTCACTATGATGAACAACGTCCACTTGTCGGTCCAGGGACTTGTTTCTTTTTCCATGTCTGACTGCCCAACCTTTCTTTTCTTTTTCTATTCAGTTGACTCACCTACCGCAATTCTTCCTCGGCCGGAGTCTCACACATCCAACTGAATCCCTAGTCCTGTCAATGTCACACGTCTGCACATATGCAGGTAACAATTGCCAGGCGTGTACTCGGTCCATGGGAACGATCAAAGAAGTGATGGATGCTGCATCATGGCACCAGTGATTGACTGTCTGCTGGTTTGCAAATCCAGATCCCGCACTGCAACGCTACGGCAGAACACCCTAGTCCTAGCTGCATCCACAAGATGCAGATGATGCTGATGCTCTGTGCTGAGTCAACAGTGAATATGCGGTGGACGTCTATCAGCCGCTGTGCGACCAACATCGAGGCTCTCGGACCCATATGACATCCATATCTTGATCGAGCAGAGACCACCTGCAGCTTAGGGGCGTTGCACTGCGCTTTTGGTGAGGTGGTGCACATTGACCCAGCTGAAAGGTCAAGGGTATTCGTATCCATATTTTGCTTTTCAAATTTAAGAGCCAGACAGACCCTTGAAGCGGTAACTCGGTTTTTTGACAGGCAATGACGATCTCGGAACGTGATTGACGCACGGACGAGTCAGTTAATCGAATGTTGTCTTGATGGAAGCAAAGGGTCTATTAATCCTTGGTGGTGGAATTGTAACGGTCTCATGGTTCAACAAGCAAAAGCAACAAGGCCCACTAACAAAGAGTCTAAATAGATGCCCACCCAAGCAGTCGATGCAAGAGACACGCAAGACACGGCATCCTCATGGCAGCACGATATCTTCCCTGCTTCTCACTGAACCGACAGACATCAGCCGCGTGGAGTGCTTCTGCTCCCTAGTTCCAGGCTCCTCGATTCTTCCTCCTCTAGAGTGCAGATGCGATTGCGTTCATGTGGAGGGGCTAAAGAAAAAAGCAAAGAAACAACCTTGTCTTCTCGACACCCTTGTTTCCCCCCGTCCCCCATTTGTTTAGAAGTTGCTTTGTTTATACTTACAAGACTGCTCTTCCTGTGTTTTATGTCGACATCGACAGGGATGTCTTTCCCGCAACATGACATTTCGCTGCAACCTCCCGTGCCTTGTCTCTGGTACGGTACGGTACTGTACTCTTTGACCTCTTGTTTCTTGTCCTTCCAACCTCTAAACTGTCAAGTTCCTTTCCTACACCCCCGCCAAACCAGCTGAGCCCGTTCGGTGTCCAACCAGTGTTGATACCAGTAACATCCTGTCAAGGAAGACAATGAGCAGATGTCAGTCCCAACTGCAATGAACAGTCACCGACACGCGAGATGAGGCCTGCCGCGTATCAATAGATACCCGCCCCCGGCCTGAATCTCTTCTTGCATATAGTATCCGACTTATTTGCTTCTTATACACCACGAGCTCTCCCGGAGTGGAAGCCCACCCGAGTCTTCAGCTTTTCTCTAATATCGTCCCCTTTCTCTTTATCCTTATATCTGTCATGTTCTACTTTCTTTCCCTTCTTCTCATCTAATGTCTTTATCATTACTTGTAATTTGTCGTCGCTACTACCCTACGCTGAATTGACTGTTGTCGCTTTCAGCACTTACAAAAAGAAATCCGCAAATCAACTTCACAATGAAGATGGCGTGGGACTCGGAAATGGACCATGTTCGGTCCTGGGTCTTGAATGGAGATTATGATACGGATATTGAAACTTCTTTCGATCGCCCTCTTCCGAGTTCAATCATCGTAACCGGTCTTTCTGAAGCTATCCTCCCTCAGATCAAAGAGAATGATGACGACCTACAAGCCCGGTTCTCTCAAAATACCAAATCCATTGCGTCGAACGCCCAAGATCTATCCCAGCTACCATCGCAGCTAAAACCCCTCGCTATCGCTGATGATACGGAAGATCCTCTCATCCCAAATGAAGTTGAGATCCGCCACACCTATAACAACAGTCTCGCGACATGGCAAAACCTCGTTGATCAAAGTTTATCTCTACCACGAGGCACTTTCCCAGCTGGACTCAGTCCTTCTATCATGCTACAGGATATACCTCCGTTGCCGGAATCCTTGCCGCCAAGCGGTGTCTTAGCTGGAAGCCCGTGTTTTTATTTAGGACCTGACCCCGAGCCGGGATCAAGGTCCGAACTTGATCTTCAGACGATCACAGGCCAGCCTAAATATTTCCGGCTTGCTTATCCATCTCCCATTGAATGCTGCATTTCGTCGGACAGAAGCACATGTTATGGTAACCCGGCGGGCACAGCAGATGCACCTAATTCTCCTCAGGGGCTCGCAATCCTGACTCTCTGCTGGGGATATGTGCTTTCTCTACGGCAGCTGCAATCTCAAAACAAAAAGGTTCATTTCACCTCATACATTCATCCGATTCCATTATGCGACGTTGGAGAACTTTCCCAAAATGATATTCTAGTTCAACTACCTAAAGAAACATCTTGCCGCCTTGTTCAATGGCTCTGTGCAGTTTTGGCCCCAAACCCAGGATGGGCTGTTGACGGCACATACACGCCATGGGATGCGCGATTCAAAAGTGATGTGCGCTTCGTCATAGCTACGGAAGAGCAGGTCTCATTCGATTCTGATGCAGAACCTCCCACCTCGACTGAGGCCACAGACCTTCTCATCGAGTTCTGCGAACTATTTGGTATTGACCATCCAGTCGGTTCCAAAAGCCCAACTACCTTGTCTCCCATCAAGGCAGCGTTTCTTGCAAGCCTCGCGATTCCATTCTATCGCATGGCAAAGCTGCAGCCACATCTACCCAGACCATGGTTGAGGCCAGGGAAGACGGCACCTTTGAATGCTGAACAAAAGGCTGATATTCATCGATACACGGAAGACGCACGCTACTACATGACACTGAGCATGCACCCATATTCCCTTGGACCTGTTTTATGGAGTATCTTTTGGCAACCAGACATCCAGTGCAACCTCGTTAGCCCATGGCTGGCAGGCATCGAAAATGTCCTTGAGCTGGCCTTGAATAGCTGTGACTTTGAGATGCTCATCAAGATTTTTCTCTTAAGGCGTCCACGTGTTGCCATGTGGTGGCATGGTCTTTTTCTCCTTGGTAACTCAAAGATTATGGACCTCATCCGTAGCTACCTCGCTACTCTCGATGAGGGATGTTCATACGATACACTGTCTCGTCCAGATATTGTTTCAGCAGCTTGGACTGGCGCACCGCAATCGTATCAGGACAACATTGCGTCTACTACCTACCAGGATCTTGCGACATCTATTCCCAGAGCTTCTCTACTACAACACCGCCATACGATGACCCTTCGCGATCCTTGGCCCCTTTTCTATGGTTGGCTTCCATTTGGATCAATACCCAAAAGCACAGTCGAACCTGACCTATATCCTTGGTTAGAGCGAGGCCACCATCGTGAATATCGTCATTGGACCTGGTGGGCAAGAGACGACGCGGATTTCAAGCCTTCTACACATGCTGGCTATCGCAAAGAGACGAAGCGGTTTGTATCAAGCGTTCCGGATAACCTTGATATCATTACTTCCAATTGTTCCGCACCTGTCCCTCCCATTAAGCTCGAGACTTCTCGCAGAGCTACCTTGCATATGCTTAGCCATAGCCTCGGGAGTATGGTTGGCGATCGCAGTTTGAGCAATGCATACATTCCCCTATTAAAGCAGTCTCACCCCTGGCTGAAGGACTGGATACCGGTTTGAGGGCTATACGTATATCGGATATCAAGATTTGAAGGCATAATATCTGTGCAAACTTTTAGACCATCCTATTAGACGGACACGACCGAGACGAATGAATGACACCGGCTTAGGGGTAAATTAGGAATTGGTTACATTTCGAATTAATTTGCGTATCATTCATGACTACTTATATATCCAATTACCGAGTCCCTCCAAATCATTGAAACCTTTACAACTCTCAACATGCGGCAACTGCCTATGGATGCTGGATTCGTGAACTATGCAGCCAGCTCTGCCGGGCTGTGATGATACTGTTTTGTATTGCCTGGCATCTCTTGAAGGCTCCAACCTTCCAACTCTTGTGGCTCTTTTATTTCGTTCCCCTTCCAGAAAGTCTTTGTGTCATCATGCTCTGGGCTGGCAGCTTTGCCATCATTATCTTTGCGGCTATTCTTTCTAAGGAGAAAGATTCCTGCGATGACAGTTACGCAAACTACGACAAGACCGCCCAAGACACCCCCGATGATGGCACCAATTGGAGTGCTCTCAGAAGATTCGGTTGCCGAAGAACTGTTTGTCGTTTCACTGGAGGTACTTTCTGAGGTCTCGATAGTACTTGACGTTGTGACGCTTGCCATGACTGATGATGTCTGTGTTTGGGATGTGGTCTTTTCGCTTGTTGTTGTTACATCTGTTGCTTCAAGCGGCGTGACGAGGTAATTCTCGGTTGTTGCTTTGGCGCCGCAAGCAATGTAAGTGTACGTTTGGTCAACGCCGAAAGTGAGGAGGGCGAATGAGCAAAAGGACTTGCGGTCACTATTCATCTATTAGTCGGGATAGTTTAGAAATGCTCTCCTTCTGACATACCAAGTGAATGTAGTCAAGTCCGTATCAGTCATGCCGCAGCCCTTTTCACATGCTCCATGATCTCTGCATGCTCCCGCCAGACCACAATCTGAAGCCGTCAGAACGGTAGTTGGGCAGAAACCCCATAGTCCGTTCCTTGTATCCACACGACAGTTGAACTCAGGATCTGCTGTTCTCTCCTTGTCCGGGTCGCCATTTAGATAGCCACATGTTGAGAGTTCTGTGCTGATGGCCGCTCGCGGTTCGAGATGAGGACTTGGTTGAGCTCCAAAGGAGGCTCTGGTCACGGAAGGAAATACCGCATGGAGAGCAAGGCCCAGTGAGGTATGTAATTGGGAAAGAACAAGTAAGCAAGACAGTTGTAGAGGCTTCATGATGTGTGTGGTTCACTCGTTCGTGGAAGATTAGGTAAGTAAAAGACAGCTGAGTTCTGTTGAAACTAAAGGGGCCATAGCCTCACCTTATTACTCTTCAATAACTTGACCCGACGTGAAGAGACTTACCACTTACATGGGTATCTGTTACCGGAGACTTGGGGCGCATCTATTAAGGCTATGATTGGGCTATTCCTTGCTGCTGTTGTTCATGGTCTGAGGATTCCGCTCAACACAGAGTACCCAGAGGTATCATTCTTTTCTCTACCGTTGACTGATAGTATTTTGACTTGTTCTTGTTCGAATCACACGGTCTCATGCTTCTGCTGCGACAAAATTTTCATCCATTTGAGAACGAGACTCATTTTGGATACTTTGTAGTCCATATTCACTCAAGTCTTGTTAATAGAGATACTGATATCTTTGTGTCTGCTACCTGGTGATCATCTGTTGGTTGGTAGTCAAAGCGACATTGAGAACGACCAACATGCATATGCCAAGGATCATGGGTGTGATCGGAATTGGCGGCATCTTGTGAAATCTTCAGAATAAATATACCTTTGACTTGAGACATCAGTTAACTAATGCTGAGACTAGATTATGCTTTCTACGTAAACATTACCATAACTTGATTCTAAGGATCTCTACTCAGCCTTACTGACTAAGATCATATCATTTCTTCCTGGCTGGTCAATAACCAGGGTAGCCACCCAGAGACCGGGCGCTTAAACGAACCCAAAAATATCCATGGATACCATGCAGTGATTCCCTGTTCCGATTAGTGGAGGTTGGGTTGGCTGTTGATTGTCACTCATTCACTCATTCAATTGTTGACCTTTATTTCTTTCCCTCTTTCATAGTTTGTTAAACCTTCACTGCTTCAAATGCTTCGCAGATCGATTGTGACGCCGCTGCTGGCAGCATTTTGCTTCTTGTTGATTGTCACATGCTTATATCTTGGACGTGAACACTTAACTTGGCCGTCCAGTTCTTATATTCCTGTGGAGCCTAATAAGATACAGCAGTCAAATGTTATTCCCACGAGCACCCAGGCACCAACAAGAGCCTCATCTAAGCCAAGTCCAACTGCAACCGCTATATCTCCTCCAACCATATCGAATGGTAACTATGTCGATCGTTCCTTGATGTTGTGGATATTAACCTTGACAGGCACGATTCTATCAGCTGAACGTATCTCGCCTTACATCTCAGCTATACTCGACTCAAACTCAACTGTCCTACCAAGACTAAGGTGTCCTGCTCTGAATGTGGACCGCTATGGCATATTGCAATCGCAGGGGTCTCCACGAGGCGAGGACAATCAGGATCATAAGATCGATTACTTCTTTGCCCTCAACTTACGAAACTGCAAGGACATTCTTCCGCGATTATTAGGAAGCATTGTCGAAACCGTCCGCTTTCTAGGTACTGATCGATGCGCTTTATCCATAGTTGAAGGGAACTCACCTGACGGAACCTCTGATATCCTCTCGGCTCTTGATCCCTTCTTCCAAGACCTGGGCCTAAGGTACTTCTACAGCAACTCAAAGATCAACCCAGCAAAAAGCGCGCGCATTCGCAAACTCGCCCAGCTGCGCAACTTGGCTCTTCAACCATTGGTTCAGAAGAAGGTTCCAGTTTCAGACAATACTACTGTTATCTTTCTCAACGATGTGGCTGCCTGCCCAGAGGATATCTTAGAGCTCGCTTTGCAAAAGCAAAACTTGAACGCAGATATGACCTGTGGGATGGATTGGACCTACGCTGGAGAAAATCCGACATTCTATGACGTGTGGGTTTCTAGGACTTTAAAAGGAGATGGCTTTTTCGAGGTCGGCTTGGATGGTAATTGGAACTCTGCGTGGAATCTCTTCCCAAACGATTTTGAGACCCGTTCGCGCTATGATGCCAAGAAGCCATTTCAAGTGTTTGCTTGTTGGAACGGTGCAATTACGATCACCGCTGCTCCTTTGCTACATGGCCTAAAGTTCAGAGATGTTCATGAGAAGGAGTGTGTACAGGGAGAGCCAACGTTGTTGTGCAAGGATCTCTGGCATAGAGGCTATAGGAAGATCGCAGTAGTACCGAGTGTGAATCTTGAATACTCTGACAAGAGGGCAGCGGATATTAAAAAGCTCAAAGGCTATGTGTCGGATATGGTTGAGGACCAGGAAGATGATGGTGCGATCCAATGGACATTCGAACCTCCTGAACAGGTCAAATGTATGCCGACGTGGGAGAACCAATTCTGGAGACCTTGGAACGAGACATTGTAATAGCTTTTGTATTCATAAAATTGTTACTCCTTTGAAAGACCAAGACCTAGGCCGTCACATTACAGTAACATATTGCAATCAAGTAAGTGAGGTGGAACAGTTGGCTTTTGTTTTACGTCTTGATTCCAGCCAACCTTAACATGCCTATCCAATACAAACTCAATGACTTTTACTCAAGCAAGTTATGAAATTCTATACTAATTCAATGGGCTTTGTAATTTCCAAACACATATCTCGTCTGCTAGCCGCAACTTCTTCAATCTGATGCAACCTTACGACGAGATCCTCGAAAGCAGATTGTAAATCGAAGCTCTACCTCTGTCAACCGTCACTGCTAATAAAGTTGATTGCGTATCTTGTCGTATTCCCAAAAAACTGAACCCTCGAGGTTATCGCTTGTGTTGAAGTACCCAGGTAGCTCAATGTCAGCCTTTCTTTTCATCTATGGTATCTCTATATTCATATCACCCTCGTCAACTCTACACATTGGTGGTGCTAAGTTATTCCATCTCTTATGCCTAGAGCGATCCTCGGTTGGAGTTCTCAGCGTACAAGTCCGAGTGTGAAAACATTTATTCCTCGTTGAACGCCTTGATTATTCCCCTAATCGTGATATCCCTCAAAACGAACGAAAAAGACCTTACGTTTGGCGTAGATAACAGAAACAAGGGGGAGAAGAAGGAGAAGAAGCTACTCGGCGGTGGCAGGAGCATCAGTAGCAGTAGCAGCAGGGGCAGTCGCGGGAGTGGGCGCGGGGAGGACGAGTGTAAGGGCAGGCGCCGGAGGAGCAAGAGCCGGGGGAGCAAGAGCCGGGGCTGCCGGGGCAGGGAGAGCTGGAGCCGGGGGACCTGGAGCCGGGGGCTCCTGGGGAGAGTCGTCCCGAGGGGCCTGCCCAAGCTGGGTCCGGAAAAAGTCCACCTCCACACGGAGGTTTTCGGCCTCGCGACGGGCCTCCTCGCTTGTGGCAGTTACCGGTCAAATGGCCCTGGCGGCGACACTATTTATATGTTAGAGAGAGTATATAATAGTAATGAAAGAGAGGAACTTACGTAGCGGCACGCCTGGCCGCCGCCATCACCACCACCAGCATTGAAATCGAAATTGACGTTCATCTAGGTATTGGATATTAGCGTATTGAACATATAAAAGACCAACCGGGACTTATGGTGTGGCACATCTCTTCTCCATCATCATGGCCTCCACGGCCACCGCGCTTACCATTGCCTATCTTATTTGTATCGTATTCATGTCGATCCTGGGTAGAGATGTTTACCGCGACCACGGCCGGCGGTGGCGCAGGCACCTCAACAGCTCTCCAGTGTCCCGGAATTTTGAACACGAAGCCCGGAGGTGGCTGTTGCTTCGATACGTACTGGTTGATGTTAGATATAGTATATAAATACTCAAATGCACATACCTAATTACATTGCGGCACACAAATAAAGTTAAAGCTCGCCCTTCACAGTGACTTGGTCAATAGAAGGGAGGGATCAGGAGTTGTGTAGTTTTGAGATTTCGTGAAAGCAGAGGTATGCGGAGAAAAGACAGGGTGCCGCGGAACTTTTGTTTTGTTTTGTTTTGTCTTGTTATTTGTTTTTTGGGCAAATGTTTGTCAGTGTCAGGCACGGCTCCAACCTGATGCCCCTGGCTGACCCCTTAAACTCGATACCCAGGTACACAAAAACACAAAAACACAAAACAACATAGGTACATAATCACTTCTGTATATACAAATGTGCTTCCCATTACGCTCGCGCTACGGATAGAAATCACCGTAAAATGACCGTTCAAATCTTAGAAGATACTCTGCAAGACCATCGAAAAGATCAAGCCTTCCTTCAACCAAGAGACTTCCAATACCCACCATCAGAAATCTTTATGACTTGATCAACCCAACTTTGGTGAATCAAGTTATCCCTTTCTCTCCTATCCAGTACCTGTTGAGATTCCGGTTTGTTAGAAGAGCGATACCTATCTACTTTTTGAGAGCGTCCCTGAAGACTAGTCACAGGTATCCCTTTATCTCTCCAAGAGCCTTCGTCTTCAAACCTTCCATACGAGAATCCCGACTTTTTCATCAGGCTCAGGAAAGGATAGGTATTGCAGTTGCAAAGCCCTTGTACGACGAATCCCTTCTACGATAGAGAATGTCCTCGAGACAAGAATAGCGGTAGTGGGAAATGCTAAGTTTCATACCTCTTGGGAATTAAAGAATATCGCTTCTAACCGGTTAAATGAAGGGCTTGGAGAATGCGTCTTCGAGATAGAATACGACAATCATGGCAACTCAATGAACCTAACTCTTGATCAATGGGATTGAGCGTACAAAACATTACAAAGAGCAGCAAAGAAAGCGCACGGTCAAGAATAAGCGAGATCTGAAAGGCAACATGCTTCCCTTTCCCAACCTAAAACGACATTCACCACTAAGCAAGCACTCCTAAAGAAGGCGCTGGTCATCCATCTTCCACGTTTCCCCAAGCTACGAACCAAGATCTAGAAGGCGGCGTGGCTTCCCCAACACATCATTGCCACATTGCACTACTGTCTAGGAAGGTTAATTCGGTCACTCTTATGTCCGCAGGGCTAACGCAAGAAACTACCTAGGTTATTGCAGACGGGGATAGTAGAAGACATTTACAGAGTCATAGTAAACACCAATGTAATCCAACTCCTTTCCTTATCATATAGCCATATTATTTGACCATCTTAAAGAAAACAGAGAGCTTGGCGCGGACATCTGTTGTCTCTGAACAAGGATAAGTGTGGTGGTGTAGGCTGCATTCCCCTGAGATCGACCTGAATTCACTCGTGAGGAATGGCTGAAGACAGGTCTGGGAGTGATGGTCTCGTTCAGACCAGGGCGTTTCCAAGCTTCTTCGCTTGATCGCTTCGTCGCATGAATAGGGATATGCAACCTCGCTCGCCTGCGGCCTTGACCATAGTTGCGAGGACCAACATTCTAATATTATCTTACGATGGGATACACCTTCGTTCGTAGGATGGCCAGTCAAAGGCCATTTCATAGATATTCACTTCGAAGCTTTCGACATTGTCTGGCTAACCAGCGCGAAACGACCTCTGTCATGAACTACATGCCTGCTGCCCCTTACTGCAAAAACAAATGGAAAACCCATATGCAGCAGTTATTGTTGACCCGTTGTGCAAAACAACAAAAAAGGGATGCTCCCCCCGGGATTTGAACCCGGATCTCTCAGATCGCGTCTACCGACCACCTCTTGAGAGATAGTGGCGCACGACGATACTGAACGCTCTAGCCATTGAGCTACGGGGGCTCTCTGCTGGTTGAGATACATACTGATAATTTTAGTATATGTAGGTATAGGCATAGAGGTTAGGAGATAGTAGAATAGGCAAAAAGATATGCTCCTCCCGGGAGTCGAACCCGGTTCTTTCAGATCCGTTAACCCCCAGCCTTAGCTGGGGGAGCTGGATCTGGACGCGTTACCGGTACGCCAAAGGGGCCGTCGTTTGTTAGAATAAATGCTAGTGATTTTAGTATATGTGGTATGCGGGATCAACTCCCTCCCCATAGATGCTGATTAGAACGACCACAGGTTCTAACGGAGGGAACCCTCTTCCTTTTATACATGTCGATGACCCAGTTTAATTCATAAGACCCCTGCATTTGACACCACACCTTGATTGCCCTGCCCTATCGGAATAGCCACGCAGACGACATAGTGGGTATCTCTTCACTCCTTCCCGCACCTCCATTACGGTACTTACGGATAAGTCTACCAAAATCCACCTCGCAGCAGAGGTGGAGTATCAAAGAAACTATCCTCTAAGGTTTAGGTCGCTAAAATAAAGTAGTCTAAGAACCAAATTATTTCATCTCTTGTGCTTCTAGCAGTTAATTCTTCTGACATCCTAACAGATGAGTAGTCCCCAAAGCAAACACTGCTAAATAATTCCGTGTCTGTTCAATACACTAGCTATCGGCTCTAAATGGTATTTCAAAGCATCTTGGTGTCGCGAAAGGTTGGAGTGCTTGTGATGAGGTGTGACAAAGAAATGTTCTGAACTAGTTATTGTAGTGAATATCCTATCTCAATAGATTGCAAAGTGAAGTTGTTAAAACGACCAGGCACATTCTGCATGGGCGAAAGAGGAGAGTGTCAGTGTTGGTTACTCAGACGCACGACGATCAAGAATGAAGCTATAACTGAGGCATAGAGCAAGCACCATCCAAGTGAGTTCATCTACCACGCGTTAATGAGGTTGAGAATTACTATCCAACTAAAAACTATAGATACATGAGGTATGACAGAAACCAGCTTCATCCAAACTTAGGCACAGAGAGAACCATCATTTCGTGGTTCTTGAGTGTTGTGAGGGGCGAATTCGACCTTGCGGTGACAAGGCTTCGACATGTTGCACTCTTCAAGGAGCTTTATTCGAGGATACTCGTCGAGGAACAAATGTGAAAGCTCATCAATTTGCGAAGAGGGAAGAAGAGTCTGGAGACCAACAGAGTTAGGAAGAATCGTAGAATGATGTACAGACTGAGGAGAGTTCAGAACATGTTGGTATACAAATGTATTGTTTGTAGTTGACCTCGATTGCCAACTCGAAGCGAGTGGCACTCCTTCATTTTGACCGTGGTCAAGTTGAGTGTTGGGTATTAACCAAGGACAATGTGCTATTAAGGAGGCTTAGTTTTGACCTAATCGTCGATGTCCAGCAAGATATCTTGGTAAGAGTTGATATTTGAAACGTTACTGGATTCGTTTTTGTCAGGCGTAGCCTCTAGATGAGGGTTAAAGGAGATTAGATCTTCCTCCTCTAAGGTCTTAGAATAGGGTACAATTGCTAACTCTGTAGGTCTAACTACACTAGATGCGCTTTCTGGTGAAGTGCTCTGGGGCGCGCTTCGAAGGAATGACATGGCATCCATGATCAACCGAGGGTTATTCAGCTCAACAGATCGGGTAGAACATAGCAAGGTGGCGGGAGTGACTAAGATATTGGACATGCTGAAATGTTCCAAAAGTAACCAGTAGCTAATGGGAAAGACAGTCTGTAGCAAAAAGAGCCAACAATTTGGGGGTTTATTGGATGATAGGCGATAAACCATTCTGCCGTTGATGATATCTGTTGTTGTATGGATAGTGACATGGCGAAGATCCTTTGCTTCTGATAAAGCTTCGTGTAGAAGACTACTTCGGAATGATTTCCGGTTCGCAAGACAGTCGGAGCGGAATCAGCGAATGTTCCTTGAGAACCGGCTTTCAGCGATGGCTCATTATGACTCAAGCACTTCTAAGTAACCCGGCAGTGTTATGTGTACTTCTAGATGGATTGAATGCAACAACTGCACGGGTTCTGCCGTTGGTGATATCTGTCGCTATATGGATAGTGATATGACGAAGATCCTTTGCTTCTGATAAAGATAGCCAGGGAGTCGGGTGACCTTTCCCTTTGGAGAGTTCCTTGTACCCACGGAACTGCTTTCAAACTCGCACGTCCCTTGAGAGCCGGCTTTCACTGCTAGGTCCTCCTGTCCCAAGCGCCTCTGAGTAACCTAGTGGCGGCACATGTACTTCTGGCTGAGTTTACCGAACCAGCTGCATGGTTCTGCCGTTGGTAATATCTGTTTTTATATAAATAGTGATATAGCGAAGATCCTTTGCTTCTGATAAAGCTTTGTATGTAAGTCTGCTTCGAAATAATGTCTAGTTTGAAATCTCGCTTACACCTGTGAAAAGATCAAGATTAAGACGGCGAAAACCTGGTCGTTTAAGCATAGTGACTAGGTTATCATATTCTTGACATGGCTGATTGAAGGTACAATCTTGGTGACGCCATTGACGAGCTCCGTAACATTATGCTCGTAGCCACGTTCAACCATTCCGTAGTACGGCACTTCGTTCTGTATTCGTCGGGAGTGTATTGGTACATCCATTTGAATAGTACAGCTGGATCATCAAATTCGTCGGGTGTCCAAGAATATTCGCCCCGTGGCTGGGGAGAAGAACGAGGGAATAGTGATCGGCCCCCTTGCTCTGGTGCTCAGAAGGTAATCCGGATCGTGAACGTCTGTTCCTTCTGTCGTCGTTGCTATAGCAGAGTCGATAACGGCGTTCTTCATGATGGCGTTGTTACCGATGCCTTCTTCCAGTCAGTTGTCATAGATCGTTGCCTTTCGCCGTTCTATCCCTCTGCCCCTCTGTCCTGTCACCTCATACATCTCGGCTTTTTATCGGAAACTAGCTATTGGCAGATAGTTTTGATTTAGCCTTCCATTAAGCTTAAGGCAGTGCGGGCCTCCTCTGTGCGATTGACTTGCTTGGCTTGGGGGGACTCCATTGGGGAGTCGTCTGATCTCTTTCGCCTGATACCTTTTTGCATAGAGAGTAAGGTGACGCCAGCCTCCGGTCGATCAATTTGCTTGGCTTGCTAAACAGCAAGGCTAGGATAAGTTTCCTCTTCAAAGTATCATCAATAGTGACCTCCACTAGGTCAAATCTCAGTAAGGTCAGGTGTGCAAGTTGTATCAGCCACTGGAATCAAGGCGGGTCGAAGCCAGAGGCTTCGGTCGGCGTGTTCAATTGAATCAGATCACACGATGCAAGTTTCCTCTCAATCACACGTGTCGTTACCCAACCCGATAGTATCATCGACACTTAGTAGGCTTTTGTGACTCGCATGATCTCTTGCGGTTGCTGGATTGCTCTTGGTGGGCTTTTGTGGGTGACTCGTCCGTTTAGTGACATTATTGACCTGTCTGGCTGGTCCCAGGAATTGATGTTGCTCTTGATGGATATTGATTCCCGTTATCCAGATGAACTGAAGAACCATGTTTACTATGGTGGGAGTCGAGCCTGTGCCAACAGTACCGTTGACATCGAGAGCCTCGGAGATGGCCCAGTTAGTGGGTTTTGGTCCTAGGACTTTCATGATAGTAGGCAAAGAAGGAAAGTGGCTGCTAGTGACCCGTCGAAGGCTGCTGTCGGAGACCAAACCGAGGGCAGGAACAGGTGATGCTGAAAACTCAATTGAGGGCAGAGTGAGACCCATGATCCTGTGAAAAGTTGGTCAAGTGTTCCTTGTGTTCCTCGTATTTCCCTTTTGCATGACTTACCTCTTGGACTTCTTGGTTTTGTTTTGGACTTGAGGTAACGACTCATGTGCTTGCTGTCTGTGGATACGCGATTGGTGAAGTATAAAGAACCAACCATGTTTCAGGACTTGGCTTATATACTGCTCCGTGATAATCTGTTGTTGTTTGGTGATATCAATGCTTGAACTATCTTTCTTTGAGAGATAGAAACATCATATTGGTAGTATAACTTGATTCATAAACAGGTACTAAGTCGGTTTTGATGACAGAGCTTTTGTTGCAACTAATTACCAACATGATATTGAGTCGCAAGGATATATCGAGTCTGCAGAGTCTGTAAAGAATTAGTGTAAGCCCTTGTATGAAAGTTGAAGACTTACCGTTTGTTTCCTCCGTCCATACACAATCCCCCCCAAAGATGGCAAATGATTCTGATTGATCATATTTGCCGTACCTTCACACTCGAGTATGTATAGTGGTTGTAGTTTTTTGAAGCGAATGAGCGTTGCATTGTGATGTATCGTCAAGACTTGTATTCTTGAGACAGTTGTAGCCTCGGTATCAGAACTCGACTGAAGGATCTGGTGCCTGGTCTTCCAAGGGACCCTTGTAGTAGTCCCATAAAGCTTCTACACTCAAGTTATCGTAGTCTAAGGGTCTTGGCTTCACACTAAGCTCAGGCTCATCAGTATCTTCAGGCTTATCAGTGTCTTATCTGTGCGCCTTAAACCTGAGAGGGCAGCCATGGTTAGTTGCAATCTCATATAGGTCGCTAAGGTACCAAAGGTGACCCTATTTGATTGCATCCTTAGGTTCTAAAGATAGTCTAGCGTTATCCTAAATAATATCAGTAACGTTGTACCGAAATATCTCGCTGTCTGCGATTTTGCGGAAGACTTTGAAGTTGAGTGTGTTGGCGCACAAGTCAAGATGAGTGTCGAGAAGAACACTATCGAGGGAGCTTGACTGAGAGACTGTGCAATACGCGGTGGTGGAAGCGGCCCCGTGATGGAAAAGCTGTGATTCCCGAGTGGCAGCTTTGAAGATAGAGGCTCTAGAAGTGAATGCTCCAAATGTGAGTGCTTCAAAAGTGAATGCTCTAGAGGTGAAGGCTCTTGGGGGCGTAAAGGGGTACCTGTGACTTGTTAGCTGAGGGGGGGCTGTCTTCATAACACTATCAACCAGGAGATAGCTATCGCTGGACATCATTTTGAAGAAGCTTGACTTTGGATAGAGATGGCTGTAAAGTAGAAAAAATGTTTCGTCCCCGCAAAGCTGAATCTAACATCGTAATGCTCTCAAGAGGTAAGGGAGAAGAGTGAATAGTTTGGTGTAATGACATGACTGTCCAAAGTCTTTTGATGAAGCTTAACTCAGTGAAGTTGTTTTTGTGAAGCGATAGTTGATGAAAGGTTCTTGCGTTTGATGAAGCGAAGCGTGATCTCCTGTTGATGCGGTTCCCAATGGGCGATAAATGGCAAAGAAAGAAAGAGACGACCTCCAAATCGACGTAGTATAGGACATAACTGTAGAAGTCTTGCTTGAATATTCGTGTTGTTGCAGGTCCTCTGGGTGAAGATCGCATGGCTATAAATCAGTTGAGGTCTAAGTTGAACTGATAGTCGATGAATGTCCTGTCGATGAAGGTTTACGAACACATGATTGAAGAAGGTCTTGCAATCAATGACGCTCGGTCTTGATGAATTCTTGATGCCGATGGCGATAGAGATCTTCTGATTGACGAAACTCTGAACAATTGAATGTAGAGAAGGTCTTGTTTGTATCAGCTGGATCAACGAAGTTGAGAATTGAAGAAGCTGAATCCTGTCGATGGCAATTTCTGAGCATGTGTTTTGCTGCAGAAGCTCAATCTTCAAGCTTGATGGTCAAATAAGGTGGTAGTAGACTAAAAAGTGGTAATTGATGAGGCGGTAGTCAACGAGAGCGTGGTAGTCGACAAAGTAGTCAACGAAAAGGTGATTTGTCAAAGAGGATTTCTGAGATGGGTGTTGAAACTCTCGTGCTGGAAGGATCTATCTTTGTGATGATCTGAGAGAGTAGCTGGGGTTTCAATGATGGGCGTTGAAGGCTCGGCCTGTCTAGATCTTTGCGACTGTCCGAGAGAGCAACTTCCGAGGTTTCATGGTACAGTGTTGGAATTCTCGTGCTTGAAGGCTCGACCTCTGTGATGATCTGAGGGAGCAGCTTCCGAGATTTCGATGATGGGTGTCGCTGTATATGAAGCGAAGTGGTTGTTTGTCGTGTTTTGTAGGTGTCCGAGGTGTTGTGTGAGAGGTCGTTTGAGTTATCGTGGGGTTGTTTGGGCGAAGTCTGGGAGGTTGCGATGCCAGCGACACGAGTCGAAGTGTGCCTGGTCCAGACTGTCGGTTTTCACCCATACCCAATCACCCAAACACCAAACACCAAAAACTAGCTAATCCGTACCGCGAGGTTTCTTCCACGCCTCCCTATGCGGTACATCCGAAGAATATCTGCTTCTGCATGACCGAGGGCCTAGCCCTCCTAGTGCCGTTGTTCAGGACTCGGTCCTAGCGCTCGACAGGAACCCGGTTCTCCAACTCGCATGCCCGAGGAATATCTTCCTCCTAATGCCGTCACCAGGGGTCTGCTGCCCCTCAAGCGCTCGCAAAATGACAAAGATCCCGGCCCTTCTGGTTGGGAAGAAGGACACGCTGTCCGTGGTACTCCAGTAACCCTGTTACCTGACCGAGAGCTCTGCTCCCCCCAATGATCAAAGACAAAAATGAGAAAAATGATCATGTCTGTATGGTCTGACAAAAAGAAAAGGTTCATCTCCAGATGAATGTGATGACAACTCGTTCAACGCCCGTGTTCCTGTAATGAAGATGACAATTCCTACACCTCCACTGGCCTGGGCTGTCCTGATTGCGAAACCATCTCTCCTTCTTGTTAGTAAGGTGCTCAACTTTATCCCAGTTGGGATTGCGGCAAGAACGAGGCCCATGAGACTTATCATATATATACCGCCCCTTTAAGGACATAGAGGTCACATGCGAAGAATAGCTACTAGCTTAGTATGAGGCACGGTTGTGCACATCCCATCACCTCAACCCATATCCAGGCAAGTGAATGAAGCCTGGTATTTTTGTTTCTGTATAAGCCTTGTAGAGTTCCAGCGCCTTGGGATGTAAGAGCGAGGCTTAAAGAACTCGAAGATGACACTATAGCAAACAACGAGCCGTTGGACAAGTTCGTCAAGGCTACATCAAGCTGTGTCAATCAATACATATAACTATACTAGAATCTATCTACTAATCTTTGACTCCAAGTTCAAGACATATAGCACCATCCTCCGTCGTCAGACCAGCATCTACCGTTATTGCATATGAGGAGGGAGTTGGTGGTGATAAGTCTGAGGAAACTGATGGTGGTAGTTGGCGTTTGACATGTAGTGAGGTGGGTTGAAGGCGTTATTATTGTATCCTTGCTGGAAGTTTCCTCGGAAAGAGTGAATGTTTGAGTTGCCTCTCCAGGGCGTAGCGGCGTTCCCTCTTCGTGGTTGACCATAGTCTCGTGAGTAATTCGTCTGTCCGTTGTTGAAGTGAGAACCTTGATTGTAGAAATCTTTCCCAGGGGGCTGCTGGTGGTAACTTGCTGTTCTGTTTTCCGAGTCGTTGTGATGAGTTCCTCCTCGGCCATTACTTCGAGCATCGCCATCCCGGCTGCCACCTCCCCGACCCCCTCGACCACCACGCCTCCAGCGGTAGGGTCTCCTTGGACCTCTTGGTTTCCTGTCGACTGAGAACTCAATCCTTTTTAATGGATTCGTCACCATGATATTGTCCGCAATGCCATTCTTCTCAAGTTCCGCAGCTGATGTTGTAGATAGCTGGAAAACATTTTGAAGATCCTGAATCCCTCTTGTTTCTGTAACCCATGTGCGAACGTATCTCCCGTCATTATCATAGTCGAACGCTTGTTTCACAGGATTGAACTGTCTTGCTTGTCCACGGGGGTCATTGCCGACGCCAGCAACGTATTGCTTTTGTACAGTTAGCGGTTGAACAGCCTTCGGCCAAGGAGGGATAATGAAATATGAATATTGTAATGAGGGGTGAAGAAATGTAAATACTAACCCAGTTCGACCAGTTGCTCGAAACGTCATAGTCCACGAGGTTTTGTTCGTACCATTCCGCCATATATAGCCAACTAAGGCTAAGATGCTTCGCGGCGAAAGAAGCGACGTTTTGGCGTGCTCTATTGGATGTATACCCTGTCAAAAGAAGTTCTCTTTGGGAGGCATCAATAAGACCCTGTCCTGTCGTCCCTCGAAGGAGTCTATCGATGATCTGGGCAACTTCGTCTGGTGGAGGATCCTGGTCCTTGGCAGCCTCCTCCTTGTTGGCCGTTTTCCATTCTTGAGAATAATTCCCTTTCCCTTTAAAGCCATGGATTGAAAAGAGTTTAGCTCCGAATTTCATAGTACAGAGCCTCATATAGTCCCGCCATAGAAGCTCGAACCTGACGGCCCTGGTGCCCTCGTTCTCGCCCCCACCAAAGCCCATAGCCTGAGAATAGTCTTGCTCTGAGCCACTCTCAAACTTGACGAGTTCCTCGTGAATAGAACGGGCAGACATGCATCCCATGGCCAAGAAAGCTGCAAGCTTAGTACTGTAATCAAGCCCGAGTAAACCGTTGCGGGTTTCCTGATAAGTAGTCATCGCACCTGACTTGATAAGATGATAGAGACGCTCCCAAGCAGGGTTTTCTCCCCCCTTAAACGGATGGGCAGACTTGGCGCCTTCGGGAAAAGAAGGAGGGTCGGATAGAGTTTCTTTGACGGGCTCTACAAGTCGTCTTTCAAACTCGTCGTAGTTGTCTGGAATTTGGAAAGGGGGTTGCTGAGGTAAAGCCCAGGAAGGAAAGGAAGGTAATGATCCGACCTGCGGACGAGGTACAGTAGGGCGAGGGCGCTCTCGGAGAGGTTCTTGTGTTTTGCGGTAAGTGGTAAAGACATCTGGGAGCTCATTGGGGTTGCTCAAGCCGGTGTCACGACTGTCCATGTTAGTAAGTCTTTCAACCAGACACGAAGAACTTACTCGTCAATGAAGTACTTTTCATCCAGCCAGAGCTTAAAGTTGATACCATTCTCAGAGCATACCGAAGCTGCGGCATTCTGGTCGTCCACCTCCTCTTTTGACGGCTCCTCAGTCATCCAAACAGTATCGATGGATTGATTATTCTCATGCAAAGACTTGATCAAATGATTCAGAACGTCATCGAACTTTCCGATTCGAACCAACATGCCACTGTTGATCTTCTCGAGATTTTGTTTCAGATCCCAGATACACTCAGCCTGGAACTTGGCTCGAATCGAACCACATCTCCAGAAGCGACCGACCTGGCTTCGAGCTTCTGGATAAGGAGACTTTTGTCCCTCGACAACGAAGCCTGAGGTTTCGATTTGTTGAGGGGGAAGGATGTAGATGGGAAGGAGGTGAGTGAAGCCATGGTCAGAAGTGGCCAGGTGGTGGAGGATGGGGTTGTCGATGGTTCTCAAGTCGCGTCGAAGCAAGTAGACGAGGAGTTTATTCCCGGCCATGATGAAAGCCTGTAGATGGTGTAATTCTCGTGGAGTGTTTTTGGTAATGCGTTCAGGGTCCTTATCTTCAGACCCGGAGGAAGAGAGTGATCTTGTAAGGGGACGCGGATGTTGCAGGTTATGGGATGTAATAGGCCGGTTCAGATCTGAGTCGACTGGGATAAGGGTTCAGTAAGGCCACCAATTATTTAATTCTGTAGGCCTGAGTCTGAGGTAGGTAGTGGGAACCAGTATCGGAGTAGTTTGGTAGGTTCTCGACGAGGGTCTAAGCGCTTTGGATATATAGTAACAATGGGCTCGAACTGAAATAAGATAAAATAAAAGAAACTTCTCAAATAGGATGAGTCTGGTAACTCGAGAGAGAAGAGATTCGGCGAAAGAGACAGAGCGTCAACTTGTAGTAGTATTGGTAGGTGACAAAGCTAAAGGCCATGGATGGATCTGGGAATTTTCAGGATCTCTTTTGTTAATAAACGGCTCGACAGACTACCGTGGCTTAGCCAAGCTTAGCTAACAGAACCGAGTTCAACGGTTCCTGGCCAGAGGATAATGTGAAGCGAGGTAAGGTCGTCGACGACTCGATGGGGGTGGGTATATCGAGACGAGACCCTTGAGGATGGGAGGCTAGCGTGGTGTGGTGACGATACTCGATAGTGGATACTTTTTTGAGTGATGATGGCATGAAAGACCCCTAATTTATGAGATCGAAGTGATTTGGTCCCGTTTGTCGTTGAGGCTTTGAGAGGATGACTGCAGCTGAGACAAGACAACAGAAACAAAAGACGGCATACAAAGGTTGAGAAGAGTTGAAAAGTCTAGATCAACCAACCGCAGGAGAGGAATAAGGATGTGTAACGGGAAAGGAAAATTAAATGATGACGATTTGATCAAGGGGACCTGATGCAGTGATCGATGCGCTAACTCCGATTCTTCAGGATGGATGATACCGGTATATCTTGTGGTTCGATGACACGAGTTAAGAGAGATGTAACAACAGGAAGACGATGTATGGAAATAAAACAAAAAGCAAGTATAGTACACAATTATGAGTTACAAAGAGAGTTACAAAGAGAAAAGAAGGATGAATAGTGAACGCATTCTCATTTGGATGGACCCTGATCAGCCCTCGATGATGAATACGGATTAATTTTAGTCTAACTACAATAAAAATGAATAAAAGAAATGCTGTTCTTGTTGTCGACTTCCTCGATGATGGCGATTCGCGTGGCCCAAAGGAAAATCTAGATCGGGATTATACACGACGGGAACGCTAGCCACAGGGGTGATCGGGTGGCAGGGACCCTTGATCTGACGAAGCCTTTTCAACCCTCTCGGAGTTGACCCCAATTGAAAGCTGCAATGTAGTTATGAGGATCGTTGTTGAATATCCTTTTACAGTAGTTAGTCCCTACTAGACTTAATTTGCAGGCGACCACTTGAATAACTTCTGGAACTCAAGGCTGGAACCTTGACATGAGCTTCCTTAATTAGAACTTAGAACGTCAATCATGTCTACATTCATAACTGCCAAACTGCCACGCTTCTCTAGTTGTCACAAACATGGTCGCTGTTGAACCGCCTCACTCTTAGTTCTCTCCTCAACTGTACGGATACAGTACAATGCAGTAAGTCCCCCGTCCGTACGACACGATCTGATGAAGAGTGAGGTACGATGCGGTTGCACGGCTATCGACATGCCCATCGCAATAGCCATCGCTTAAAACGTACCGGGGCGTGTAACAACTTCCATAGCCTCGTGAGGGATCCATCAGGTTCCTGTCGTCGTCGTCGATTTCTATCGGTTTTCCATAGAGACAGTGATCGAGACAACTAGGCTTGGCAGGGTCCAATCAATGGATGACATCATGACTTGAGGGCACTACGAGGTGCTGTAGTAAAATAGACGGCATCTAGACTCTTGTAGCTCCGCGCTATTTTGACCTTTATTTTTCTCATTCAAACCTGTTGGTTTTCAAAGCCATCGTAATGACTTGAATGTCAATTGCAAAAACTAAAACGCTGAACCATTTGTTGTGATCAAGACTGTTCCTGTCAAATGTCACTAAAGAACCTACTACAGTATGTGCCTAGTCAATCAGACCCCCGTCTAGGCTCCATCCCATGTCAAGGGAAATGTAAATGGCCTGATAATTATTTTCCTTTCTTTTTCCAGTATGGGAAACAGCCTTTCTTCCATCCTGGTCTCGATATCCGCTGAGAATACGGTGCTGGAGATCGAACAACAAAAACGACAAGGGCCTGGTTCAACGGCATTTGCCGCGCGACAATGTCAACATGGACGTAACTATCGTGAGGGTGTTATTATTAATCCTCGTAGCCCATAGCCTACCAGTAATATCACGTAGCTTCTGCATGGATTCATCTGATGGATTCGTCCAGCCCTTCAGCTTGCATGCATGTCTCATGTCTCAATGTCTTGTAAATAATTGATTGCAGAAAGACCCAACATACTGTACATAGCGCGATTGCTAAAGCAGTTGACCAAAGAGCAGATCACGGTTTGTAGCATTAGTCTAGACCGTTATTGTTTGAGATTATCAGGGCCAATCTCAACACCATAATCGAGACACGGTAATAATAATCGTTGGCATTGTAGCCAAGTACTGTAAGTGAATTCTTTTCGTGTCTCGAATGGTCGCCTTGAAACAATCTCTCGGTACGCAACAATGACGAACTACGACTATTGCGGTTTGTTTAAACTTGCAGATACCGATCGGTAGGCCCTCGGGAAATTCTATGATGTTCCTGGCATATGGTAGCTCATGACATCACCCAGTGAAGTCATGGCAAGTCTAAGGTGAAATGGAACCAGAGTTCATCTAGACCTAAATTTCCTCTGGAGTTCAGATCTGTAGACATTCTCGATCTTTTAGATGGAGTTTTAGTATGGAAGAATCTTGATTGGCATCAGTGTTGACATCATTCACGAACAAAAAACAATTGAAGCGCGTCCATGTCTTGACATTGACCTACCCTGCACCAATTCGATCGTGACTTTTCACGATCTCCCTAATCAAATCGCTCGATTCTCGCCATGTAAGAGGGCTCAACTTCTGATGCAATGACATACGCCACAATGCGTCAGGGCCTCAAACCACCAAGGATGAAGCTGACGTAGAGGACATGATTCATTATTATCATGATGTCTCACACGAATGTAGAAGAGAGTAGAGGTTGAAAGGTGAGTAAATTGGAAATCGTATCCTTGCCGATTCCTGTGAGCAGAACATTGTTGGTGATGCGTGTAAACTATGAATGCTTCACTATACACTTCCACAATGCCTTTGGTCTAGAAATCTTCATTTTTTTTCTACCATAAAACTATAAACCATGCATCTGAAAATGCATATTGTGCACAATCGCCGCCCACTGACGCAAATGTAAGCTATGTGAACATCCGATCGAGATGACAGGTCGGCCACCAACCAGGACCAAGCACAATCCGCAATTGGACAAATGATGGCTGCCACCAGGTTCATCCATTTCTCCTCGTTAAGACTGTTGGAGATTCAACAGGACATATTTCGTCATTGAAGTTATATACATTGACATCCAACGCTGATATTCACATACTCTACTATTGTAGAGCCTTTGCTACCCTTCACTGGCCGATGTTAAAAACAACAAGCATCTAGAATATTATCCTCGGTCGGAAGGTGTCGGATATACGAATCGTTGACCGATAGAGCGTGGAGAACGGGCTGACCCCAGATTTCTGGAGTGGACTGCCTCTGGGGTATCAGAAGAGGCTCAAGTCAACCCGGTGAAGGTGAAGCCACAAGACAACTCAACCTCTGGATTGGCTCAGCGACTAACTTAAAGCTGCAGAAAGAAAGGCCGCACTGTATTTACTGTATCAGTAGTGGGCTTTCAGGCAGCCCCTACAGTGCAATTGCAATCTTGACACCACCTTCAAATGGATTCATGGTTAGCCTCGGTAACAGCGAATGGCCTGTAACCGACGATAAACCACTACAGCCGATGAATGGCTATCAACCTACCTACGCTTCTCCAAGATAAAGGCATTGTTTTCTTTTTTCTTCCCTTCTTTGCATCGTGATACCCCCTCCTCCTCAATTGACCTCGTCTTTTCTTCTTCCTGGCTCAGTAAGAAGAAGACAAGTCAATACCAGACCTCTCCCCAACATCAACTATGTCTGCCGTTAGCCGGACCCTTCGAACGGCCACCAAGCAGCTGCGCTTCCAATCTCCCCGGGGTCTTCGCGTCGCTGCCCCTCTTGTGGCCCGCTCAGCTTTTGGCGCCTCTCGCTCTTCACTTTCTGGTGCTGCCTTTTCAACATCCGCTGCTACACGTTCAGGAGCTCCCGATATGTCTTCTGCTCCCCGAGAATACGACCCTGAGATCAAGGATATTGCCGACTATGTCGCCAATAAGACCATTGACTCTGAGCTTGCTGTAAGTACTCTCCAAATCCCGAGACCTTAAAGCCTGCACCCCGCAATATCCCGCCTCTTCAACACTAGAGAGAACATCACGAACTCAATTGAGCCCCAATTACAATTCAATGCTAATTTCACTTCCCACAGTTCGACACTGCTCGATGGATCCTCCTCGACACTCTCGGCTGCGGTCTTGAGGGTTTGAGGTTCAAGGAGTGCTCTAAGCTCCTTGGACCCATTGTCCCCGGCACCGTTGTCCCCAACGGCCCCAAGGTCCCTGGTACTCCCTTCCAGCTTGACCCCGTCAACGCCGCCTTCAACATTGGTGCTATGATCCGATGGCTCGACTTCAACGACTGCTGGCTCGCTGCTGAGTGGGGTCACCCCTCCGACAACCTCGGTGCTATCCTCGCCGTCGCCGACTGGATCAACCGTACCAACAAGGCTGGTGGTAACCTCGCTGGAGGCAAGACCTTTGTTGTCAAGGATGTTCTCGAGGCCATGATCAAGGCTCACGAGATTCAGGGATGCTTGGCTCTCCTCAACTCCTACAACAAGGTCGGTCTTGACCACGTCGTTCTCGTCAAGGTTGCCTCTACCGCCGTTGTTTCCAAGATGCTCGGCCTCAACGAGAAGCAGATTGCCGATGCTGTTACCCAGGCTTGGGTTGATGGCCAGTCTCTGCGAACCTACCGCCACACCCCCAACACCATGTCCCGAAAGTCCTGGGCTGCCGGTGACGCTTGCCAGCGCGCCGTCAACCTCGCTCTCAAGGTCCTCAAGGGCGAGCAGGGTGTTCCTACCGTTCTGTCTGCTCCCGTCTGGGGTTTCTACGATGTCCTGTTCAAGGGCCAGAAGTTCGAGTTCCAGCGCCCCTACGGCAGCTATGTCATGGAGAACGTTCTCTTCAAGGTCTCCTACCCTGGTAAGTTCACTCACAACCCAATATGAACACAACTAACACATCGCAGCTGAGTTCCACTCTCAGACCGCCGTCGAAGCCTCAGAGAAGATCCACCACCTCCTCAAGTCCCAGGGCAAGTCTGCTGCCGATATCAAGTCTATCACCTGCCGAACCCACGAGGCTTGCATCCGCATCATTGACAAGCAGTTCAAGCCCATGGACAACTTCGCCGACCGTGACCACTGCATTCAATACATGTGCGCCACTATGCTCGTCTTCGGCCGTCTCGAGGCGACCGACTACACTGACGGTGGTGAGGCTGCCACCTCTCCTCTCGTCGAGTCCCTCCGACAGAAGATCAAGTGTGTTGAGGATCCTCAATACACCAAGGACTACCATGACCCCAAGCTCCGAACCATCTCCAACGCTCTTACTGTCGAGCTCAACGATGGAACCGTCCTCGACGAGGTCGCTGTCGAGGCTCCTCTTGGCCACCGTCTCCGCCGTGAGGAGGCCAAGCCCGTTATCCTCGAGAAGTACAAGCGCCACCTTGGACCTCACTACCCCGAGTCCAGGGTTAAGGAGCTGGTGGAGCTCAACTTGGATGCCAAGAAGCTTGAGTCTACCCCTGTTGATGAGTATGTTGATCTGTACACTGTTGAGAGCAGCAAGTTCGTGCAATAAAGGTATTGGATGGAAGAGAGGGAGAATACATATTTAAGAAGCCCAAAGAAGGCTTTGACTTAGATAATGAACAATATCACGCTATAAATAAATTTCAAGTACAATTCAAATAAATAAAATTGAAAATACCGTCAGAAAGAAGTAACAGGAATTCACATCACATTAAACTATCATACTGTACTTGGTTACGCGTGAAATGGAGGCCAGGTACCTACATAGGTAGGTAAAAGAAGAAATATCCTCTAATGCTTAGGCTACTAAAAATAAAGTAGCCTAAGTACTAGTCTAAGCTCACATAAAGTGTCCAAATTATTTTCGTCTCTTATGTTTTTAGGGGACAAGTCTTCTGATACCCTGAAGCTTGGTTATGCGTGAAAGGAGTTCCGTCCGAGATTGGATGTGGTTGAGCGAGGGGCAATGCACTGCCTCAGTGCCCCATTTGTCTTGGACTTGGCCGAACTCCGAGCCTTAGGAGACAGCGTTGAAACTCTCATCAAACATCAACCTGACATACTGTCATTACTGAATCTTTGTCAAGTTGCAAAGGTGTCGCAGTAACCATCTTACATATCTCTCTTTTAGGTTTCATTGGCCTACACTCAATCCATCTCTAATACCCTCACCTCAAGGCCGGATCCTTCGGGCGCAACATCTGCAATGGCTGCTGATCGCCAGACTATTATGGAAGTGAACCGTTCACTTCGCAACATCAAGAATGTAAATATTCCCCATAGCGATGCCAGCGTTCTATCTGCGCCGTTGCATCGCATACGCTACATCCGACCGCATATGAGCTGACACTTTGAAGGAACTCGAGAACCTCCTTGAGCGAGGCGTGATTGACGACTCCGTCTACGACACTATCAATACCGCTCTCCCCCCTGAGTCATCCCTCTCGGGTCCTCTCCGAACCGCTACAGGCGCCGCCGCTGCCCCCAAGAAAACCGCTGCCCCCAAGGCCGCTTCTCCCGCGCCGACCCCGTCCCCGGCGCCCGCCGCCCACGCAGCTCCTACCAAGGCTTTTGAGGATCTCAAGATCAAATCTCATTCCCCCGCGCCACCCGCGTATGACCAAACACCTCCTCCTGGCCTCCCCAACCGCAACGTTAAGCCCACTGTTGCTCATGCCCGCGCCCTGTACCGCTACGCCGCCACTGATGGTCGGGATCTGTATTTCGAGAAGGACGACCGGATCGCCGTCTACGAATACATGAATCAAGATTGGTGGATGGGTCGCAACGAGCGCACTGGCCGGGAGGGTATCTTTCCCCGCAACTACGTGCTTGTAGACCAAGAGATGAAGAAGCCTGTCCAGCCTATGCATGCGCCGATGCCTCAGCCGCAATACGGTTATCCGCAAGGCCCGCCTCCTCAACAGAACCCATACAATGCGCAGGTGCCACCTATGGCCGTCGCCGAAGGATCTGGACAACCGGGACAGGAAGGAGATGGCAAGGACAACAAGGTGAACGAGTATGGTAAGAAGTTCGGTAAGAAGCTGGGCAACGCCGCTATCTTCGGTGCTGGTGCTACCATTGGAGGAAACATCGTCAACAGCATCTTTTAGAGGCATTCCTTTGGCAAGGGTTTTTCTGTTGCTTTTTACTGTCGGCGTACATATTGGGCGTTTTGGTCTGGAAGGGTTCATAAATACATGACTATCTCGAGAAGAATATTGATGGTTACCTTTGACTTTTTGAGCACCTCTCAGGTCGTTCGATCACTCTCTTTCGAATAACCATGTGCTGAGATCATAAGAGACGAAATAATTTGATCACTTTATGCAGGTTTAGACTAACACTTAGGCTATCTTATTTTGGTACCCCAAGCTTTAGACAACAATTCTTCTGTTTCCTAAAGGCTGTCGCCTAGGTACTTTCCATTAATGATAACACACAACAATGTGGACTTTTGAATATTGATATTCCTTGAACAGGTAGTTGAAATTTGATTCAATATTATGATCCATTTTCGTATCGAGAACTCATGAGGCGTTGTTCATCATGGCTAGTGGATCTGGTTTCCAGGAGTAACAGTGCAAAAACAGTACGCGCCCCAATTCCTGGTGGAGTTACTAGCCATGATCGCTGTTAACACTGTACGTCGCAAAATTTCTTGCTTTAACCTTGAGAAAACTCGCGAAAGCCAAACAGCTTCATAAATAAAAACACAGCAAACATCATGTCGACCTCAAAAAAGAGACAGGCGGAGGAAACTCCTGCTCAGCCTAAGCCAAAGAAGAACAAGAAGAGAAAGGCAAACGCACCAGATGATGAATTACTCGACACTGAGCTTGGTCTCAACACGCTCTTCACAAAGATGGACAACCAGCTCTTGGCCGATCATCTGGCGCAAAAGTTGGGACGTTTCGGCACCGATCTGAGCGCTGTTGAGATTTCAGATATGACTGTTTCAGGTACGACTCATTCAACCCTCGAATTGATGAAGCCTTAGCTCACAATCATCAGCCAACGCCATTCAAGACACGACTTCATGGCAAGAGACAAGAACCCTGGAAAAGTTCCCCGACTTCCTGGAGAGCGTCACGGAGAATCCTGAGCTCTTGAAGAAGTCACCCAAGAAGAAGGGAACGCCTCATACCATCATTGTTGCAGGAGCGGGCTTGAGAGCTGCGGATATTGTTAGGTAGGTCACGATGTACTATTGCAGAAGGAAGAAACTGACATATGGCAGATCGATGCGCAAATTCCAGAACAAGGAAAACTCGATTGCGAAACTGGTATGTTTGGCGTTCTTTCAAATTCGCGCTTCTTATACTAACATACTCTAGTTCGCCAAGCACATGAAAGTTGAAGAGCAAGTTCAGTTTCTCCAGAATCACAAGACTGGTATCTGTGTCGGCACACCTGCCCGCCTGATGGATCTCATCGATAATGGTAAGTCTAACGTTGGAGTTACCCACTCTGCCCCTCGATGAAGCCTTTAACTGACCTGAATAGGTGCACTCTCCTTGGATAGCCTGAAGCGCCTGGTAGTAGATGCCTCCCACATCGACCAAAAGAAGCGCGGCGTTCTGGACATGAAGGATACAATGATGCCCCTGGCTCGCTTCCTATCAAGGAAAGAATTCAAGGACAGATACGATGACGAGAAGAAGCCTTTGGCTTTGCTGTTCTATTAGATGCGATACCCTTGACTACTTACTAGAAATATTGATAAGCAATTGACTCTTTCCCTTTCCGGAGGTTATGACTTGCGTTTTGGTTGACCCCATCGCGGAAGAGGGATATCAGACATGGTTGAGTAACAACATAACTCTGTCATGTGGATGCCAGAAGTACAGCATGTTGGGTATCTGCTGGCTCTGTTAGGTACTTTGATACCAAGTTGACAGAATTAATTTATTATCTACCATCGCCGGAGGGCCATTTTTGGATATGTATGGGCGACAAATTAAGTCTGTCAACCGGAGGTTAAGAGTACGTAGGGCATGTTAGTTGTTCTCTGATCATGTTAGATACTCTAATACCCGATCAGCAAAATTAATTTCTCATCCAACCATGTTTGAAAACCCTCTCCGACCATGGTAGATATGGATGTCTAGAAATGGTCCTCTCGTGATGGTAGGGAGACTTTGCCTGTCGCTTGCCGCATGAACAGGTTAGTATTAGTATCTCTTTAACCTACCTAGGTAGGTAGGGGCAAGAGTGCATCGCTGTGATGCCAGGTCCCGTTTCTGGATTACCTACGCGCCTCCTGCTGCTTTGATCTTTTTAGACATGTTCTTTCCTCCCTTAGGATGGAAATTACCCAAGGATGCCTTGCCTTTTCTAAACTTCTTTCCTTCCTTAGCATGGACTACCTAAGGATACCTTGTCTTCCATGAATCCTTATGACCCTCTTGATCTTCCCCTTATCATCCAACGCTTTCACCTTCAGCCTCGTTTTTGAAACGTATTTTGTTCACCTTTTTGGAACGCACAATCACTCTTTGATATCGTGAAGCCATGCTACAATACTTGCTTGCTGGCGTGTTACTCTTGAGTTTTGGGACCTGTACATATAGTCCTGTCACAATTACACCAGGTAAGGTAAGTCATAAGGTTATTGCTTGGAAACCGACTGACGAAGAAATCAGAATGTGCTACTGCTTGCTCTCGCAGTTTTATGCTCCATCAGGGTATCAGTCCACCAGATACCAGGAAAGACAGTACGGCACTCAATCCAGCTGAGGAAATCTGTGGGGTACTACTTAGGTCTTGCTCTGAAGACGGCCAGCAAGCTCCAAACGATTCTCAAGACGCTTCCGATAACGAACAACCCATTCCTCCCCCTTACAAAGGGGGTCAAGAAAACAATGGCCCAGGAAGCGACAATCAAGATGGGTTTATATCTCGGCGACCGGGCAAGACGGTGATATCGACAGGCTCTTCAAGCTCTTTAAGCCCTCCAAGCTCTTCGGACTCTCCTGCTGAAACAAGTCCATCACAGGCTACCGAGAGCCCTCACTTAGGCACTATAACTTTGTCTACTCAGATGCCAATTACTAAGACAATTGTGGTGACAGGCTTAGGGCCTGATATGGAAGACGAGAAAGGGACGTCAACAACGTCGTTTGTTAGAGCCGATGACCCCCCAGGACTAGTCCCACCCACACCCGTACCATCCTTGGTGGAATCAAGCGACACACAAAGGTCTCAAGAGGTCTCGCCTTTACTTCTTGCTAGTCTTTATATTGGTCTTATGATGTCTTTGGCGGCCGCTCTAGTTTCTCCTGAGGCAATTGTGTCGCTTGTGGCCCTCGTCCTATTGATAATACTTATGAGGGATAGACTTTAGGTTGAATCGTGTCTATTGTCTTGGAACAATTTCTCTGGCTTGGCGTTACAATATGACAGAACAAGGCCTGATAAAAGTGTATCTTAAAATATTTTAGCATAATACTAGGCTGCGAATCAAGCCGTCCCAATGATTGATACGAAGTCTTATTGATGGAAGTCATAGATATATTAAAAATTAGAGGAAATATTTGACAACATGTGCTGCGATACTGGAAGTCAGCGTCCTCCTCATATTGCTGCTTAGTCTTCAGCCACCCAGAATAAACATCGTTTCAAATTAATACCCATGGTCCTAATTGTTTCGTCGTTGCAATTCTCCCATTCACGCATCAGTGTTTTGATCTCTTCAACAGCATCGGTATCCTTTGGATCATCCGCTTTCATAAGCAGATGACTGATAATTTCGCAACTCAAAAAGTCCACCAGGCTCGGCGCCTGGGGCGATTTGAAATCATAGACTTGTACTTCATTCAATTTCAATGCAAAGCATCCGAACGATTGTTTCGATGGCCAGTAGTTGATCTCTCGTTTCAGGTTCTTGAGGTCGAGGTGATATAGCTGATTCTGACGCTCTGAAAGACCCCGAATCATCTTGTAGAGCTCTTCAACAAAATGCTTCACCTCCACACCCGTTGCGTCAGAGAGAGGGAAGGGTAAACAGTAGAGGTTCAACTGGAAAACACTGGGTAGCCAGGGAAGCGGATCGTCTTTGGTACGCGGACGTGCTTGAGCATCCTTTGTCATCTGAATGATTGTTCTGATACAAGGCAAACAATTTCTGGTCCAGCGTCCCCAGTTCTCACGGTCTTTCAATCGCTTTTCACACAACTTTCTGATCAGGTTCACGACTTGTCCAGGAGAGTTAACGTTGAGCATTTTTGCGGCACAAGTCGTCACGAGTGACTGGAGCGATGTCAAATCAACTTCGCTTAGTTCCAGACGCTCTTGCATCAAGGTAGCCACATGGAAAGGAATAAACTCGGCGTTATAGCGGTTCCCTTCGATGCAGCCACTTGAGAATTGCGAACGCCAGTGTTTGCCTGCATTCGAGTTGATCAAGTCGCGATCTTCCTCTATGGACTGCGTGATACGTTTTACTCCTGGTAACGGATCGATGTGGTTTAATGCAGCGGCTTCGACCATGCTGAAGACGGACAAGGGAGTGTATGGTCTCAGTTGAATGAAGGCCTTCGTGAGGGGTGCTAGATGGACGGGGAGTTCAGGCAATTGCTCATCCAGAGAGAAGTGGTTTTTAGCCATGAAAAGATTTAGCCAGCGAGAGTTTTGCGCAGCCGACTGTTCTATCGTCCTCATAACAAGTTGAGCCAGCCGGGACTTGTCGGCCTCCTCTAACTTTGCCAGATGAGCTTTTTCAATCATAAGGTCGAGTAGAGGGGTTTCTTCACCGATAATAGGAAGACCCGAGGCACCGGCCCAATCTGATTCAGTAAGGCCGCGTCGTTCGTTGAGTTGCGCAGCCACTGGAACGCAATACTTATCGAGAGCATCGAGAATCTGCTTTCGAATGTAGGAAGCGGAAGCTGGATCCTCCAATATGGCAAAAAGACTATTCGCAATAGTAGTTCGTATGTCGATATGTCGAGCTTCAGATAGAAGCAAAATAAGAATTTCGCACGATACAGAAGAGTTGATGAACACTTTATGCTGTAGGAGTTGGGCAAGCATCTTAACAGTGGTGACCTTGATGGGTTGAACGGAAGGTTCCCCAGACTGCTTGGTCTCTGAGGGTTTTGCTCCTTCCGTCGCGTCACCATCCTTCACTCTTTCAGCCCTTTCTATCTTATCAGTATTCTGGTTCTGTGATCTCATCCTCTCGCTCATGACGTTTGCCATAGTACACAGTAGCTCTTGGGCAGCCCTGGCTGGAAGAATCGAGAGAAACCTCGGACTGAGAAGATGTCGGTGCCATGACGATGTTTCCTGACCTTCGTTATCCAAAATGAGGTCACAAATGAATGGGCAAGCCAGCGAGGGTTCATCGCTTGTAGCCAGGCTATTGATAGCGAAGACGACACTCTGCATTTGCGCTCGTAGACCCCTAGAACCCAGGCGCTCTCTTGTCTGATCAATGAGAGATTTCGTCAGCTCTGCGAGTAAATGAGGCGAGATAGGGGTGTTCGCAATGCGTCGGTAAAGATAGATTCCATTAACAGAGTCTTTGTGTGATCCGGACACGAGAGTATCGTGAAGTGAGTCGTCGGCTATTGTTTTCAGAGCAGGATCATGAACGATGGCCCCGGTTTGGATCAAAAGATTGGTCGTAGGCTTCCAAACAATGTCTAGTAAGTCTCTCTGGCATTTCTCACGATCCAACTCGGTGCACTTTGAAAGATTCTCGAAGAAGACATCGAGTTTGCTGGTACGTCGATCGGCTGTCGACCTAACGAGGTCAATTACCCAAGACCAGCTTGTCGCTTGGAACCCTGGCTCTCCTACAGCCATCGCTACCGTAGATACCATCTCGACAAGAACTTGGTTCGCAAGCTCGATGTCGTTCTTCACTAGAGACGTTGTGAAAGCTATCGCAGCTGTGGGCGAGTTAACGTCCCCATCCGGCATGGCGCCCAAAAGCTCCTCCATCTCGCGTAACTTGAAGACATTGCTTGTAAAGAGGCGCGCAGTCACAGCAGAGTCCTTAATAAATCGTCGCGACCACACAATAGTCTCTTGCAGTGTCGCCAAGTCCCCCACAGAAACGCAGAGATTCAACGCACTTATCGCCCAGTAAGCTCGTTCCACAGCCTCCCGCGATTGCTGCGCTTTGACTCGTCTTTCTTTGACGAGTTCAATACCATAACTAGGCCATTCTGAACGTTCGTGCTGCGTCTTTGATCTCCGTATCAATAATGCTTTCGCCACATGAAAATCTCCAACAGGACTGTACTTAAGCATGCCCTGAGACTGATGTAAAACTGTTCCAGTTTCTCTTTCGACACTCAGGAAATCTCTTTGCGGAAACAATCTTTCTAGTTTCTCAAAGAGCTGGAGTGACTTCCTTTCATTCATGCAGAAGAACAGAGAGGACGGCCAGCAACTCCGAGAATCTTGCTTCAGACGAGACAAATCTTGTTCCGAATCACTCTCGATATCTATTGTAAACCCTTGGAGATGTAATAGAAGCAGGCGAAAGAATTCGTATCTCTCTTCGTGACTTAGCTTCTCAGAAACAGAGATAGCCTGATGCAAGTGTTCAAACTTGTTTCCTCGCGACCATGACAGGGTTGGAATCAACTTGATAGCTTGCACTAGATGTAATTCGAGTTGCCGTCTGTTTGCACTGCCCTGGGGTGCATCAGACCATCGATCAACAATGTATTGGACAAAGCCTCCCTTTGTAAGAAGAAATTGACTGGAAAGTGCGTCTTGGTGTTTTCGGATACATTGAAGGACAAGATCAAGATGTTGACTGCGCGTCTCATTATCGTATCTACTCTTGCGGAGGGTTTTAAGTAGAGGCATGACCACTTCATCTAACAGATCCGGAGGACAATTCACTTTGTCTTTGGAGAGGAGCGTTGTCAGGATTCTTCTGGTAAAGTGAATATTGCCGCGTAAAAGTGATTGATAGTGTGCAAACAGAAGATTGTCCTTTGAGAAGGCTTCCTGTAGAAGTTTCGACTCGCTCAGCTGGGGATGACCAGCCAACAGGAGCCTTTCTTCTGAGATAGTCCATTTGATTTTTTGTTCTTGTTCGAATCTCTGTACAACTTCCAGGTTGCACGCAGGTATTATGTGCTGGTAAAAGCGATCCACGGGTCTGCTGTCTTCCCGCCCTCGCCGTTGGTAGATGATTTCAACGAGCTCACCTAGAGCTGCACGTCTCTGTGATTGTACTTGTTGAGCAGATGCTGTCATTCCCAAACGTTTGCACAGCTCGCGCAAATCCCGTATGCTGAACTCGGCCATTAGGCTGGCAAGACCAGAGGCTCCGCCTACATCTTCCCAGATTGCTTGGAAGCGATCCTCGCGGCGGAGGGCCTTGGTGAACTGTGGAATGGCATATTTCCGCTTTTTAGCGCTATGCGGCTGGCACAGATCTGCTATTATTGCAGGCGCATCGCGGACCATGTTGTTGTTGATGTTGGCGGTTTGCTGCGCTGATGATTTCCCAAGGGTTATACAGAGCCATTGACGGAGACAAGGCACTTATAGCTAGCGACCTAAGTAGTAGCTAGTCGAAAGTCGAGTGACTGCATCTTCTTAGTTGAAGGCGGGAAGGAGTCACCGGCGTGCCGAATGGAGTAATGGCCGAGATCCATGTTTACGTGGAGAAGATCAACTGCCCAGAGTTTTAAAGTATATAAACAGGCCAATCGACGAAAGTTGCTGCACCAAACTCAGTAGCCATTTATGAATTTCGTCGATCGTTGAGATCATTTGTGCTAAGATGCTCCACTTAGTGGCATGTTGCCTTAATCCTCCCCATAATCTACCTGCCATGCATCGAGATCACTTGGTCAATCTCTCATAATTTACCAGACACCTGCTGTTGATGCTTTTTCCAGTCGGTGTATGACTAACTTGTTGACTGTGAAGCTCTTGTGCTATCTTAGAAACTCGGCATGCGCAGTCCCTACTCATTAGTCTACGAAGATCATTAAAAAGCTATTGACTAAGTGGTCTTGTCGATGCTCAAAGAAGACTGTGTGTGCCATATCATTCAATTTGAATAGCATCCATTCGCAATCATTCCGGTTGTCATCTAATCGTTCATACACTCATTCCTCGATCCTCGCTCGAGGCCGGGGATTCATTCATCCACGTAACAACCTATTTGTCTGCAACGGGGAACTCTTTGCCCGTGTAACCTTTGTACTGTGATCGGATAGAATCAGAGATGAACTCGTCCTTTTGCTGCTCTACGGCGCTTTCATTTGATTGACTGCCTTGACCAAGAACGTTCTCTTGAACGTAGTCGACGGCTGTTCAGGGTTGTTAGCTCGGCTCGAGGGAAAATGCGCCGTGTTATCACGTACCCTTGTCGAGACCATCCTCGTTCTTCTCGCCCTGGGCACCGCCGCCCGCCATGTTGTTGGCCTGGGAAGAATTAGTGGGATTTTGAAATGTCAACAGTCAGGAAGCTAACCTTGTTGGTGAGGTTATCCATGAAACCACCACCAGACTGCTGTCCCTGGGTCTGATCGGCGGCTTGGGCGTTGTCGTTGCCCTTGTTTCCACCGGCGAGGTTCTTGACGAAATCCATGATTGATAATGATTGGTATTTGTATTTTAGTATTTGGTATAGTCGACGTGTAGGTTGAAAGAGGATGAAGGATGAAGGATGAAGGATGAAGGCGGGGGTGAACAAATGTGGGCGACGCTCACTGCCTTATATGAGATCACTACAAGTTACGCAACACATCATCAAAGGCAAGTGTAACCAACAATCGAGCAGAGCAAGCTCAGATTCCTTGATTCGCTGCGTGTCACAAACCCAATTCGCTGACGCAACTAAAACAAGGACAGAACATGGATACGTTACGAGACCATGGGGTTGTCTGTGACGTCTTCATCGCCGATAATTGGTTGAAGCTGTCAGGGATCGACCTGTTAAGCTTCGTGCCAAGTTTACAGTACATCAAGGGTCGTACTGCTATGTAGAGGTAAGCAGGATCAATGACAGAAAAAGGGCATTCATATTCAGAGCCTGTATACATTGAAACCTCATGTATTAACAAATCACTCTATACTAATGATCAATGATCTGGGAATACATGTATTCATCTAGCAACTAACCGATTAGCTCACGATGGACCATGTTTCTCATCCAAATCCACCTCGCGAATTAAAGTGCGGGGTAATTACCCATGGAAGGGAGCTTGGAGCTCTAGGTAGTACCTACTAAGCTTCCAATCCTACGCTATCAAGTGGGTAGGCAGGTATGGAGTCTAACAGAAGAAATGTCCTCTCCAATACCTACCTAAGTTAAGCTGCAGAAATAAAGTAGGCTAAGTGCTAGTCTAAGATAGCATAAAAACCAAATTATTTCATCTCTTATGATTTCAGTGGCTAATTCTTCTGACCCTGTCGGCTATCTATCATCATACCTTATCACATGTCACAACGTTGAGAGGTCAAGAGAATTGTTGAATTGTCATACATTTGAGCATACATGTAAGTAATTATTGTACAGTGCTGTCCCAAGTACCCCTTGTCTCATCGCCGTTTTCGATATCATTCCTTGTGCATGCTTGGGCTCGTATTAATTTAGTCGTTTGTAGTATCCTTGTATCCTTGTATCCTTGTATCATTTTCGAATTCTTTGTCGGTTAATCATAGCGCATCTTTTCGTAATGTCATTAGAAATGTGTGTACCATCCATCAGCGTCAATAACTGCCTGGCATCGCTTGGGCATGCTCGCGATGAGCTTGCTGACATGCTCCTTGGAAATACCCTCCCACGTATCGCGCACCACATCGTCAATCCTGTAATCAGCGACATCACCGAAGAGCGAGTTGGCCTTGTCAGCTTTGAGGTTGACCTTGATAGTGCCGAAAATCTCGGTCAAAGGGTTCAAATCCGGAGAGGCCGAAGGTAGGCAAACAATGAACTTGTGGCTAGCTTGAATGGCACCTTTAATGGTGAGACGGCTGTGGGCAGGCAAGTCAGGCGACAATGCAAACCGCGAGCCTAGGGGATGACTCTTGTACCAGTTGGCGAAGCCGGGGAAGATGGTGCGATACCAGCTTTCAGGGCCAAGAGGGCCATCACTGTGACGAGTATAAGAAAGGAGCGGCCCAACGCCAGTAAGACCTGACAGGTGAGCAAAGTAAACGTTAGTGTTCTTGCAATCAGCAGGAGAAACGGGCTCGATGTTGACACAGTCAGGGTGGGCTATCTCGTCTAGCTTGCGAGTGACCAAGACTTCTTGAGGCTGTTCGGTGAGATGTACTCGCATCTCATCGTAGAAGAGGACGCTGGCCCATTCTTCGACAGTCCAGTTGACGTGTTTGAGTGCAAAGTTTAGGCGAAGCTGACGAGACTTTTCGTCAATTTCAGGGCGACTGATGGCGAGTTGAGAATTGTAGCCGGCTTTCTCCAGAGCAACTGTGATGGTACGCTCAGAGCAATCGAGCCCAAGGGCTGCAGGAATCTGAGAGATGGGCATGCGACGGGTGCTGGGGGATGATTGGACGAATTGAAGCAATGCTCGTGTTTGATCCAACGTTAGAGTTGGTGTTTTGGGTCGGAAAGAAAGGGCGAGAGTAGATGAGCGAGCTCTGGCACGAGTTCTGGCGCGAGCTCTGGTGCGCAAGTGGGTGGCAGGTTCGATGGCAGCTTGATCAGGCAGCTGGTACTGCACTTGCTTTGCAACAGCTTCTTTTGACCATCCTTGGGCATGGAGGAACTCTGCCCCTAGAGCCTGGGCACCAGTAGGGATCGAAATAGCAGAAAGAAGCTGCTTGGCCTGGACAATGTTGCGAAGGAGCTGAGGGTCCTCGGTTCCAACAGGCTGAGCATGATATTCAGTAATCATGCCCTGAATGGCAGTGACTTGATGCCGCTGACTCAATTTGAGCTGTCGAGAAGCGAGCCGGCGATTATAATTCATGGCCCAAGCCTGTTGTTCATTAATAGAGCTATTGTTGTTTATTCTAAATCCTTTTTGATCGATTGCCTTCGTGAAGAACAATGGGTCCTTGGGGGAAAGGGTAGTGGAGGAGGGGGAAGCAATGGATTGAGCCATTCTGAGATTGAATGATAGAAGGAGATACAAATGGCGTCAGTAGTAAGAAGCAAATGTGAATGCAAAGTGAATTGTGAAAATGCAAAGTCGAGCCAAGAGTTCTTGAGTGCTTGCAGCTGAGCCTCGGTATGGGCCAATGAGACGTAGCGGTGGGAAGCTCAAGATGGGCTCCACTCTCAGTGCGCACACTGTGAGCTAGAGGCGCAGTCATCTGTGGCTGGGCTCCATTTCTCTGACCGGTTGACTCAACGCCGTTGGTGGGGGCATGGCTCCCAACCCTGGGTATGACGCAGCATCGCCTCAGTGAGAAGGTCTCTAAAAAGTTCAAGTTATCCCGACGAGGATAATCTTGGAATATCCCAATTTCTTAGACAGTCTCTGATACTCTCCAAGCACGAGAAGCAGTAGCCATGGCCAAGGCAAATGAAGATCTTCTTCGGCGACCGCTGTATCGTAAGTCAACACTCAAAATTCGTACCCCGCCATCGATCGACATGTCCAAAAGTCGCAAAGTGCTAACATATCTCAAGTCTATGATCTGCCCGCCGAGGTCTTGGACAACATAGTTCTCAAAGCCGATGCCGATGCCGAAGCTGAGGTCATTGCTGCCGCCGAATCCACATCATCATCAACTGCCGAAAGCCCCTCGTCTTCGGATACCAGCCTTGTCGGAACACAAGCTTGTTCTTTGTGTGGCCTCACGTTCACGACCGTGATAGATCAGCGCGGACATCTGAAGTCCGATTTGCACCACTACAATCTCAAACAGAAGTTGCGCGGGCAAAAAGCTGTGTCGGAAGCCGAGTTCGAAAAGTTGGTGGGAGACCTGGATGAATCATTATCGGGTTCTGATTCGGATGAGTCAGAGGAAGAGGAGGAGGACGGCCGACAAGAGTCAACTCTTACTACACTATTGAAGAAACAAGCAAGACTGGTCGACAAGGCAGTTGATGCGAACGGTGATGATGAAGAGGGAGAGACTGCAGGCAGAGCAGGTCGAGGCAAGCCACCTCTTATATGGTTCAGCTCTCCAATGCTGCCTGAAAAGACATACTTTGGAATGTACCGTGCCATTCTGACAGGCGAGGAGCAAAGAAACCAAGATCTGGTGGAAGTGTTGAAGAAGAAGCAGGTGGAGCCCATTTCCATGCCCAAGATTCTCAAGGAGGGCGCGTTACCGGAAGTTGCCTACAAAGGTCCTCACATCTTCCTCTGTATGATTGGAGGTGGCCATTTTGCAGCAATGGTTGTCTCTCTAGCTCCACGACCTAATAAGAATGGGACCACCATGAATCGAGAGGCGACGGTCCTAGCTCACAAGACTTTCCACCGATATACGACACGAAGAAAACAGGGTGGTTCCCAGTCGGCCAACGACAACGCCAAAGGGGCTGCCCATTCAGCTGGTTCGAGTTTGCGACGATACAATGAGCAGGCGTTGGTGGAGGACGTGAGAAATCTCCTTCAAGACTGGAAAGGTCTTATCGACACTTCAGAGCTGCTGTTTATCAGAGCGACCGGGGTAACAAATCGAAGAACTCTATATGGCCCATACGAGGGCCAAGTACTGAAGCATAACGATACTCGACTGCGGGGTTTCCCATTCAGCACACGGCGAGCGACGCAAAATGAGCTCATGCGATCCTTCATCGAATTGACGCGACTCAAGGTTCGGGAGATCATTCCTGTAGAGGAGACCAAAAAGGAGATAGAGTCTGTTACCCCAAAGACAAGTTCGAAGCCCTCAAAGCCCAAGCTGTCGGAAGAGGAAGAGACAGCGCTGCTCCACACATCTCAGCTGCAGGCGTTTGTGAGGAGGTCGAAAGTACCCGCTCTGCTCTCATATCTCAAGAATAACAATATCACTGCCGACTTCGAGTTTCAGCCTGTTGAGCAGAATCACCACGCTCCTCGACCACTTCACCTCGCCGCTGCCCAGAATGCCGCTCCATTAGTACTTGGTCTCCTTGTTCGTGGAGGCGCAAATCCTACCATCAAAAACAACGAAGGCAAAACGCCTTTCGAACTTGCTGGCGAAAGATCCACGCGCGATGCCTTCCGTGTCGCCCGCTCTGAGCTTGGAGAGGCTAAATGGGCGTGGGACGATGCCAAGGTACCTCCCGCCATGACGAAAGCCGAATCTGACAAGCGTGATGAGAGGGAAAAGAAGGAAGCTAGCGATAAAGAAGCTGAGCGACGGAAGGCCGAGGAGGAGAGGTTAAAGATCGAGGGGCCCAAGGTGCCTGAGGGGCGCAAGCAAAAGGGAAATACTTTGGCAGCGGGTCTGAAGCAAACGCCCCAAGAGAAGAGAGAGGCTGAGGCTAGAGGACTGACGCCTGAGATGCGGATGAGGCTGGAGCGAGAAAGAAGAGCAAGGGCTGCTGAGGAGAGATTGCGAAAGATGCAAAGCGGCGGATGAGGTGGAAAGCATCGATAGACGAGCATCACGAATAGACTAATACCAATGACATCCAACTCATGATTCTCCGTTGTTTAAGTTACGGCATATTGTTCATCGAACCGGATGCAAGTAAAAGGCATTGGTTTGGCCCCCGAGGGCGGGACTGCGGATAATCTTTTCACATATCTTCAGCAAACGTCCTTTACCAGAAGGTGAATGCTAGCTTCATCTGATGTCTACCATTGTCCTCCGAACTCTGAAGTGTATAATGGATTGTGCTTGTCAGTCATTCCTAGCGACCTAGATCCACGTCACTACTCTCCATCTTCTCAACGACGTGCATCCACTTGTCATGCCTGCTGATAAACTTGTTGGCCAACTGGAGGAAAAGAGAAAGAGTAAGTTATACGACGATTAACCTAGAACGTGGTCTAGGCAGTCAAATGCGACTCGCTCAGAGTTTCTTATTTATGTCTTGCGCTTTTGACAAGTGAAGTGAATGAATTGTTGGTGAATGTGGCTATTGTAGTCTCCCACCCTAGAGGCAAAATTGCCTTATTTAAATTTTAAGTCGCATCAGAAGTCGAGGTTTGATGACTCAAATCATAGTGCTATTGCTGGTCTATTCCCTAGATAATGCTTTAAAGTCTGGCTACTGAATTGTATCGTATCTCAAGTACGAATTAGTCCATAAGGTCAGGTCGTAGGTTACTCTGCTATATGGTCTGAGAGTTAAGAAATATGCTCAAGATCAATCATCAACTCCCTTTAACTTGTCATTCTCTACTTTTACCAAAAGCAGAACTCCGCGTGTGCTTGAGCAGTAATTTGATACAGAAGAGGCTGTTGCAAAGCAAGTCCAGTTCCAGCTGCTTGAAAGCGATTGGTTGGCAAAGAATCACCATCTCGATCAAAGGTCGTAGACCCTTCGTCCGCCACGATGTTTCGTATATAAAACGGCAGAAGAGAAAAGTCAGTAAGTGCGCAAGGCCAATGCGCATGTTTAAAAACTCAAAATTTGATGAAAGGACTGTGCAACATGAAGTCTCAGTGCTCAAGCCATGATAATCGTTGATGAAACCAGCCCCGGTAATCAGTTTCTTCTTCTTCTCCTTCTGAAGGGCCGTCACTGAGGGAATCCGTGCAATCAATCAAACCGTATTGAGAATATCTCGCAACGTTTTCCATGGCCGTTAATGGAGATCATCTGTCTGATACATGCCATCCGCAAGCAAGACTTGCTTTTGTTAATACGCGGGTCTTTGGGCATGACCGGTTCCATTCGGTTGTGTTCGCGATTCCACCACTCAGCTCAACGGGAACAAAGAATGGAAGTTTCCATGCTTCATCAGCCACCTCCTAGCTGCCTCAAGAGGCAACCTATCGGCCAACGACCAACTAACAGCCTGCAAGGCCCAATGCAGTTTCTCCTCCGGTCGGAGCAATATGCAGGTACCGTACCTGTACCCTGTTCGCCCTCGTGGGTTCGCCATTGTCCTGAAAAGGTTGGACCCCCCCTGCAGACAGATAGACCCATATTGAGGACCCATGCGTATACCAAAGGGTTAAAAAGTGATATGGTATCAACTGAAATGTAACGCTGAACACACGGCAAGGGTCCATTTAGTTTACAGGCCGATAACGTAGAACTACAGAAAGTACTTGAGCTGGATGTGCAAGGCGAGTCAGCTCTGGTACGGGTAAGCACTTGGTGAAACTACCAAGAGCAAAGGATTACACTGACTGACGACGATCAGTGGAGAAGTCGGTGCGAGCTGGATCGACCTAACAAGAACAAATCCACAGCCTAATCGATCGTAGATGAGGTGACTAAAGATCAGCATATCCAGCAAAACTAGTCCGAGTATAATTCCACTTTGCACATGTATGATAGGATTGATAACTGACCATTTCATAACGTACGAGAGGCTTGATTGCTTGTCCTATACGGCAGCTCATTAAAATCAGCCATCAACTTCAGATATCACTTGGGTAAGATCAACAGTTGGTTGGCGTCCAGAGCATTCATGGTAAAACAGCAATGTCACCTCACTGTTACCGTTTACTACAATAATAGTAGGTAGTCACCGTTTAGGTAACTTGATTGAGAAAGTATAAAGCCTATTATGGCAGATCAAGTTTCTATGACCACGGTCTGGCCGCAACTCGAAACACACAAAAGAGACATAGACACTAATGACCCTTGTTAGCGTTGTTGGCTAATCCCAGCCGGGATCTCCAAGACCGACCGTGGAGACCTAACGATGCAGCGTTACATGGTGTGTTGCATTCGAAAATGGCTCGATCTTCTCCGAGGTGAAGCGGAACAAAATAATAAACCTTGCAGTCAAAACGAAACAATAACAGCGATGTTCTGTTATCGACATAGTCTCCCTGATATTATCACGATGCTTATCACAGCGACTCTGTTATGAACTGAATGTCATGACTGGATTGAGGATTCCGAGAATCCCGGTTTCACTGTTAGAGATAGGAGATGGGAGATTGCCCATTTGTGAGAATCCCATCACGGAGAAATTCTACACTAGCAAAGCCGTTAAATGGGGCTTTCATGTCAACTCACAACCGTGCAGGAGGCTAATATCGAAGGGAAAGATTTATGACGCAAGCAAGTCATGGAAACAGTCAATAATTATTCCGGTGCTCTTGTGCAGGTTGGGCTGGACGTTGCTTTTGCTATGCATCAAGTAGATAGAAAGTACATATTGAACAATAAAAAATGTGAGTTGAAAGATCGGCATAAGTGGGTAGTTCTTAATCAGATCCCGTGTTGCCATTGCAAGCCCAATGCTCAGCTCCAAGTTCAGGTGGAAAACAGGGCTTGTAATGTTGCGACTGGCTCTTTGGGTTGTTCTGTTTTTTCTTTCTGTTTCAAGTTCAGATTTGTGAACGTCGATCAATAGAGTTTCGGCAAAGAGAGATATAGCGCACTTTACCAAGTAAGCATAGTTTCAAGGTTGGCTATGGTTAGGTTTGATGATATCGCTGGATGTATCAAGTCGTGCGCAGAGCAGATGCTGTTACACAACGTCTACAGAATCATGCTTGAGATGTGTTTTAATATGTGCACTGATGTCAACTTGGTAGTAGTTCGACTCAACAGACTACCCGAAAGTGTTTGTATTTGCAGATCACTTGGAATCTAGAAGCAAATGATTCAAACAAATGCTGGCATGGTTTGATGCAGGGTATTGTACCTCTCTTCTCTCGCCAGGTCTTCTTTGGGATAACCCCAGTTCCAGAAGAGGGTGCACATGCGGGAGACGAACAAAAAGACAATCACTTACTGTAAGGCTGGATGGTACAGTATTTGGCCTGTATCAGATTCACGGCTGAGCAGATGGTGATTGGCTGTCCTGATGTTGAAACAGACTAGGGCGGCCTGGTCCTGAGACATCACTGGCGTCAAGATGGATCTGTCCAGGGTCCATCTCACCACGCGACTGGACGATGGTGGCGCTGGTGCTAAAAATGAACACCACAACGGCTAGGAAGGGTGGGTAACCTTGCAGTGTCGTCTCTTTTTGGCTGTCCTACTGTATTAGTGCTGTTATCCATGATGATCGAGAGCCAGTGAGTGCCGTCTCACACACAGACATTACCTACCCTATCAGGTAGATGACAAAACAATTATCCTTCGAGACTTGGGTGCCAAAATAGTGTAGCATAAGTGATAATATAAGCTAGTAAATGTGACCTATTTATTTCGTCTCTCGTGTTTCTAGCGGTCAATTCTTCTGGTACTCTGGCGCCTTTGGTGGCAGATGACTTGCAATGCTTGACTGCAACCGCCATACCCGTTGATAGGCGCCAAGTCATCACCATCAGAGCATAGAAGTCAGCCAGTGAATGAGAGTGACTACAGTCTGCATACCTACATAGCACCTCAAAACATATGTCTCAGGCGGAAGAAAGCGCGGACATGTCACTGAATCAACTCCAGTCTCAACATACTCGTCAAGAATCTGATAATAACGCCAAGCCCATTTTTGGCCGTCTTAGCCAGACCATCGGTCCCGGAAACCTCTTTGCTATAGGTGGCATGCTTCCGAGATTGATCCCAGTCAAGCACGGTCGGTGGAAGCGGTGGACATGTGGACTGGCTCTATAACACCACCAGTCATCCATCGTCCAGCATCATTGCTAAAGGGGAAGTGCTGCAATTTCCTTTGACGTAGCAACCCGCGTGTGAGCAAGCTCGTCCTACTAAAGTTGTGAGGGTTACCTGGTCGATGTATTTCCGAAGGCCTGCTGTAGATCCACGGAGAGTGAAGGTTGATCTTATTTTTAGCATTAAGTGAAAAACATTATTGCAGTTGAATCATGTTATCTTGAGCTACTCAGGTACTAAGCTACTAACCTAGTCTGATGCTGTATCTGTTACTGACAGGTAATGAAAGACGAGACGAGTCAAAAGCTGCCAACCGTTACCACCGTCAACACTGAGCCGGTTAAGGAAGCCTCGCTGCTTGGCGTCTTCCCTCGCCTACCTGAGATATACCGTCGGTGGCTTGCAGTCTGGTGGCTTTCTGGGGAAAAAGAAACCATCGGATGATTTAGGTTGTCCCAGGTAGACAAATTCTAGTGGCGGTCTCGCACCAAATTCCCGCCTGGGCATCGAGTGAGCGTTGTAGCGCGATTGGCGGACAGTTAGAGGCTACAGGGTGCTGTACCTGCAGAAGTGCATCCGGAGAACCGTGCATAGGTCGCCGCTCCCCACTGTAAATGGATACCTTCCAGGGAAGGCCCTGATTCTTAATGAGGTCTACTAAGGTGGCGGAGCGTTTCACTCACCAGTTGCACTTGCCCATTCACAGAGCTTGATGATACCCAAGCAAGCCAAGAGACGGCAGGTGCGAAAGGAGTAATTTTCCCATGAGGGAAAAGTGCAAGAAACATTGACAGCAGGGGCGAAAAGTCATTCCCCCTTTTGTTGATGCCGTAGAGTAAGTTATGACAGGTTTGCTACATGAAAAGTACTGACCTGTTTAGTTCTAGACATCTATTGCTACTATCTGAGTCCGCAACCGCCACTTGAATCGGCTCTTGTCTCGATTCGATAGGACGGCTTTGACTGTCTCAGCTACCCGCTTCCAACGTCTAGGTGCAAGCCTCATAGCGGGGTGTGAAAATTCCATCCATTCCCGCTCCCAGATGCCCCGCTATCCGTCCATCAGCTTAAACGCCCACTGGACTCTCGATTGCTTTTGCTTTTCGCTTGGTCACAGGCGCCGCAGCTAACCAAGTCTTCGTCAACACGTGCAGTAGTGTCTCGGAATTTTAGACATAATATGCATAACCGTTTATCACCATGCGCAGTGTTGGCTCTCATGCACTGACTTTTCGGTTCAGAAAGCTGAACGGCAACATTTGGAGGTGCAACGGGACTTTTCGATGCCGAAGATAGGCCAGCTGAAGGAGGCCCAGTCAAGCATAAACAAAGAGTTATGTCAAACTTTCTAAGAATATCGCATCGGCTAAGAGGAGAGACAAGGGCTGCTCTCATCCATGACCAGGCACAAGCATCGCATTGGCTATCGTTGATTGTGTCCCTTGCATGGTGCCAGCAACGTCGTTCGTCAGTCCATTCAGAGCCAAGACCTGAGAGAGATACACACCCCTGAAGATTCTCAAAGCAAGTCCACAGATCATTGGGCGTGCACCCGAGCTGCTGTTAAAGACCCCTGCGCATGGAGCCATATCTGAGGCCAGGGCCCCTGTCACACTATGATCCTGGCAATCGTACCTGAGCCGCTCTGGGACTGCGAACCGCTTTGCCAACACCTCGCCGGAGAACTTTGACGATAGATGGACCTCCAAATCCTAGGTAGCGCTTTCCGAGCCCCTAACCGAAGCTCGACCTGAACTGAAAGCCTACAAGGGGTTCCCATAGATGCTTCCATCTCCACCAGCGATACATGGATTACCAAAGGGGCAATCCCTGTTTGGCACCAGATGCCGGATTGCCCGCTGTTTGTGGTCTCCAGCTCTCCTGCTTGGGAGCTGTGATGAAAGAGTTGGGTGAGTTGTGGATTGGGTATATAGATGCTTCCCATTCCCTCCCATATCGAATCTTTCTTTTGGATCATCACTCACCTCTTTTCTTTTCCCTTTTCCTTTACATCAAAATTCTCTTTTCCGGTGTCAAAGTCATTCGTTTCCTTTGACTCCATTTCTTAATATTTTGTTTTACATACAACTACACTCGCTACATATACAACTAGTTATTATTACCACACCCCCGAAAATCATTCACCATGAAGGCCAACTTTGCCCTTCTGGCTCTCACTGCCGGCCAGGTCTCTGCTCACTGGGGTGCTTGGAAGGACGCCCCCAAGTACACTCCTCCTCAGGCTATCGACAACAAGTGTGAGGAGAACCAGAAGAAGGGATGGCAGTGGGATGACCTCCAGCTCGGCCAGTTTGAGAAGTACAACGACTTTGATTTCAAGGGCTGGTCCTGTGGAACCGACAAGTCGAAGCGCGATCTCACTGGCCGACACTTTGGCAAGTCTATCTTTGCTGACTGTGGCAACAAGAAGGAAGAGGCTCCCTCTTTCGGATGCGGCGCTGGCAAGAAGGAGAAGAATTTCTCCCTCCACAAGTTCCACGTGAAGCCCGAGTTCGACTGCCGTCTCGAGTTCCACTACGACATGCCTGATGGCTCTACCTGCAAGCACCAGGCCGACTGTTCCAAGGATGGTACCGACATCTACAACACCCAGTGTGGTGGTGCTAAGAAGGTCCACTTTGTCTACCCCAAGCAGCCCAACAAGCCCAAGGACAAGTGCCGTGTTGAGATCCCCCAGATCGACTTCAACTGTGACAAGCCTTCTTTCCCCAAGTACCCCAAGCCTTCTTTCCCCCCCAACGACGACAAGACCAAGACCATCCCCAACGGTGACAACACCAAGACTGTTCCCGCTGGTGAGCAGACCACTGAGGTTCCTTCTGCTGAGACAACCTCTGCTCCTTACGGTGACAACACTGAGACCGTTCCCGCTGGCGACAACACCGAGACCGTCCCTGCCGGTGAGCAGACCACCGATGTTTCTTCACCCGGTGAGACCACCTCCGCTCCTGTAGCCGACAACACTGAGTCTGTCCCCTACGGCGACAACACCAAGACTTTCCCCGCTGGTGAGGAGACCACTGCCCCTGCCGAGAACACCGAGACTGTTCCCGCTGGTGACAACACCAAGACTGTCCCTGCCGGTGAGGAGACCACCGCCCCTGCCGAGAACACCGAGACTGTCCCCGCTGGTGAGGAGACCAAGACTGTCCCTGCCGGTGACAAGACTACCGATGTCTCTTCCCCCGCTGAGACTACCTCCGCCCCTGCTGGTGAGGAGACCGAGACCCTCCCTGCCGGCGAGAACACCAAGACCGTCCCCGCTGGTGAGGAGACCACTGCCCCTGCCGACAGCACCGAGACCGTCCCCGCTGGTGAGAACACCAAGACTGTCCCTGCTGGCGAGAACACTGAGACCGTCCCTGCTGGTGAGGAGACCAAGACTGTCCCTGCTGCTGAGGAGACCACTGCTCCTGTTGAAGAGATCAAGACAACTGTCTACGACAGCACCTCTACTGTCTACACCACTGAGGTCAAGACCATCACTTCTTGCGGTCCTGAGGTCACCAACTGCCCCGTCACTGCCGGTACTCCTGCCGTTGTCACCGAGACCGTTGCCATCTCCACCACCATCTGCCCTGTCACTGAGACTCTCACTGGCGACAAGCCCGCTCACACCAAGCCTGCTGGCGAGAAGCCCACTGGTGACAAGCCTGTTGAGGGCGGTGACAAGCCCGGTTACACTGCTCCCGCTGGTGACAAGCCCACTGGTGACAAGCCTGCCAAGACCACTGAGGGTTCTTCTCCCCACGCTACCTCTGACGTCCCTGAGGAGGTCACCACCATCGTCACCAGCTACGACAGCGTCTCCACCGTCTACAAGACTGAGGTCAAGACCATCACCTCTTGTGGCCCTGAGGTTACCAACTGCCCTGTCACCGCTGGCGAGCCCGCTGTTGTCACTGAGACCCACGCCGTTTCCACCACTCTCTACCCTGTCATCGAGACCGTCACCCACAAGGCTCCTAAGCCCGTCCAGACCGGTTCCGATGAGAAGCCCCAGACTCCTGAGGTTCCCAAGGATGGCTACGATGTCCCTGATGTTGTCCCCAGCTGCTTGAACACCTTCCTTGACTTCGTCGAGGACTGCAAGGATAACACCGACGCTGCCTGCTACTGCCCTTCCAAGGACTTCGTCGACAACGTCTTCCAGTGCCTTTACGCTCACGCTGAGAACGATGACACTGTCGCTCAGGCCGTTTCTTTCTTCCAGGGTATCTGCGCTCCTTACATCGAGAAGAACCCCGGTATTGCCACTGGTGCCGACTCTGTTACTGAGCACATCACCGTCACCGGCACTACCATCATCACCTCTGCCCACTACACCACCGTCGTCGTTGCTACCACCATCACTGAGGCTTACGTCACTGGTGGTTCCACTGTCGAGGGATCCTCCACCGTCAAGACCATCGAGACCGAGATCGTCGTCCCCGAGGTTGGCTTCACCTCCGGCCCCGCTGGCAACGGCCCCGTCCCTGCTCAGACTGCTCCCGCTGAGGCTCCCGCTGCCGGCACTGAGGCTCCTGCCGCTCCCGGCTACGAGGTTCCCGGCGCCGGTGAGACCCTCATCACCAACAAGCCCGTTGTTGGTACCGGTGGTCTTCCCGTTCCCACCTCTGCCCCTGGCGTTCCCGTGACTGCTGGTGCCGCTCGCAACGGCATGGGCATCGCTGCCGCCATCCTGGCTGTTGCCATCGCCCTGTAAGGGTCATGATGCGCTTCGCACATAAAACCTGTTTCCCTTGTTTCTAGATTAGGTCTTGGTACCTGAGGCGGGACCTGTATGTCAGTTGTATGTTACCGCATCCCGAGGCCTTTCGAGCTTCCTGGGAAGTTAGAAAGTGCTCTCATCAAACATGTATCATTCTTACGATCCTTACGAACTATGCCTTGGTGTGGAGACTTGGTACTGTCCTGACCCGTTTGTGACATTAAGTCGAGAGGTCGAAGAAAAAAAGTAGAAAAGAAAAAGAGCAAGGGAAGTTACCAGTCGAGCCGAGATGCATACGCAGCACATATACCCGCTGGCTGGTTGTAATGTTAATATTGTCATATTTCTGTTTTAAATCAATTCATGATGCTCATAGGTCTTCTCTTTGTACCCGTGAAATGTGCTTGTAAATTCATCCTCGAGTAATTTCGTCCCTTAACCCTCATATATTCTACTCGAGCTCTAGATGACCTGTCTAGAAACAGCCTTTGCGTGATCCTACATCTGGTAACCATGAAGCTCTTGGCATGTATGTAAGTTGAAAAGTTTTGGTTGGTCCGCCATCTCTCTTTTGTCTCATACGCCTGACAGTAGTGTTCGTAGCCATAGAGTCTACAGACGTATCGTTCGTCTTTAGGTGCTATCGAACTTGAAGGTTGTCGCAGGAACTTGTTTTTCGATACCAGTGCTTTAGACAACATCGTAACACGCTGTCTTGAGCCTTTCAAATCAGTCTGCCACGTATTGAGTATAAACTGTTCTTGAATTAAGGGTATAAGCCATAGACTGCGTATTATCTATTCCATACATTCTTGCCATCGTTGTACATAGCTTACAGCTTGGCCCCCTTCTCTTTCCTAGCTTGTCTCTCCCGGTCTCGGAGCAAGCGCCGTAGGATCTTACCACTGGGACTCTTGGGAATCACGTCGATGAACTCAATACCACCCTTGAGCCACTTGTGTCGAGCCTTGTGCTCTTCAACATGCTTGTTGATGCTCTGGGCTAACTCATCGTCGGATTTGCCCTTGGCTTGTGGTGCCTTGACGACGAAAGCCTTAGGGACTTCGCCGGCGCGGACATCGGGGACTTGAATGACAGCGCAATCGTCTACAAGAGGGTGCGTGAGTAGATGGGCTTCGAGCTCTGCGGGTGCAACTTGGTGGCCCTGGTCCAGAGTGTCAGTACTACTGTTATGAGAGAAGCAGTAAGAATGCTTACCTTGACTTTGATGAGCTCCTTAATGCGATCCACGACTACGAAATGCTCTGTGCCCTTTGCTGACTTGCGCACGATAACCTCGTCACCTGTTCTCATCCAGCGACCGTCTTCATGATGAACGAATGTCTCTGCTGTAGCTTTGGCGTTGTTGAGATACCCAAGGACGACAGTGGGACCTTGAACAAAGAGTTCGCCGGGCTTGTTGTACTCAGTGACTTCCTTGCCCTCGGCGTCGATGATCTTTGCTTTCAGGCCAGGCAAGAGAGTTCCCGAAGAACCGGGGTCGATGTCGAGTTCACTTGTTGAAGTCACGACAGGAGAGGTTTCAGTGAGACCTGGGAGGTTAGCCACGAATTACGAGTTCAAGATGCAGAAGTCTTACCGTAACCCTGGCAGATGTGCCAGCTGGGCCAGTGCTTGTTCAAATCGAGTGTTGTTTCTTTTCCAAGAGGTGCAGCACCACTGAAGATGAAGCGCACAGAGCTAAGGTCATACTTTTGGCATTCGGCGTAATTGCTCATCATTTGGATGAAGATGGGAGGAACAAGGGCCATTTGCTGGATCTTGAAGCGTTGGATAGCAGACAGAAGCATCTTGAGGTCAAACTTGGGAAGGATTATTGTCTCATCACCGTTGTAGATACCTTCATTTCTCGTAAGCCACCCGAGCGTCTGAATGAGGACTAGGTTACTTACCGTAATGAGCGACTGGAACCAAGCCGTAGATGTGGCTCAGCGGTAAAAGACCAAGCTGGACCTGTCCATCTACACCAGCCTCTTTGCGGCCTTCGACGTTTTGAACTGTCGCTTGGATGACATTCGCAATGACGTTGCGATGGCTGATTTGAACTGCTTTCTACGACATGTAAGTCCTTTGCCCAAAGAATAGAACTCAAGTTTGAGACTTACAGGAAGGCCAGATGTTCCACTAGAGTAACACAAGTACGCCACTTGCCTCTCACCTTGGCCCTTGACCCAATTCAAAGGCTTCAGCTCAGGCGCGTCTTTACCCTCCGCAATCAAATCGTCAATTGTCTTGAAGGGTTGTCTACTCTCAGCCCCAGGGACAGGGAGGAGGAAGATGCGGTCTTCGGGGATGCCAGCGGCTTTCGCTGCTGGCAAAGCGTTTTCGAGAAGGGGGACGCAGGTGAATAGTGCGTTGGCGCCAGATGAACGAAGTTGATGCTCGAGTTCAGGTGCAGAATAAGCGGCACTGGCAGGCGTTACAATGCCGTCGAGGCGATGAACAGCATGAGTCATGGTAATGTAATCGATCTTTGCGCATCAGTTTCAAGTTCCTGCATAGGCGAGGTTGTACGAACCGTGTTGACAGAGTACAGCGCCACAACTCTGTCCCACTCTGTGCCTTCGCGGATATCATATCCTAAACGCTTGGCCAGGGCGCGCGCAAGAAGCTTCTGGCGCTCAATGACCTCTGCGGTGGTGTATGTCTTGCCAGAGATACCACATGTGAAGGGGTTCTTGGATTTGGAGTGAGGTCTGCGAACGCCATCTTCTCCAAAGACAAATTCCGGAACGGCGATAGAGTCCGGAGGATCTATAGGATGTGAGTAAAAGGCTATGAGAGATGAGTTGAGGAGCGTTACCAAAGGGAAGCTTAACATGAGAAGGCGGATAGAAGACCATTGTGAGTGAGAAGATTTAGAGCTTTGGAGTAGAGTGAAGTAGAGTCAACAAAAGAGAGAGAGAGAGAAGAGATGACGAGGAGCTGAAATATGTACTACAGTTGGTTGGTAGGGTAGACCAGACTGAATCGTGTCAAGCGTGTTTTCATCCTCGGGGTGTCACTCCAAATCTGGGGAAGACCCAGTTTAGCGCCGTTGAAGGGTTTCCACTTTCTCCGCATTTACATCAGTGTCTTAGGATCTTGGCTTGATGAAGCTGAAGTCTTCTCCAATCACGATAGTGATATTTTTGGAGTTGTTCTTATGTTCAACCAAGAACCTATCATGCATACATTTAAAAAAGCTCTTGAGGTCCTCATTGACCTGACAATACTTGAAACTCATCATTATCCGTTATGGGGAGCCTTGACCAGCTTCTTCGGTGTAGAGAATTGGGGAAGTGGACCATAGCCTCGTTATCTCTATGCCGATACCTCGGCAAATGGTTTATGACGAAGCCACCCATTCCGCTCCATTTCCGCATTGATAAGAACGGATCGTCTGTTTATCGAGATGTGTTGAACTATAAATATGTGAATACTATCCAGGTGTTGACTTTGCTGAGATAGTGAGAGACTCGTCTCACTGCCAACACTCGACAGTTATGCAGCGAAAGAATAAACATATTCACATGATCTTAAACAGCTGTCGTAATGAAACTGTGCCTCTTTGCACAGTAATTTGACCAACCATTCATGTCACCGTCGTATTACTTTTACAGGGAATTTCTTCGTGCCTCATCAACGGTTTATTGAGAACCTGGGGTTTCATTCTTAGACAAAGTCCAATTAAGCTTCCATGTAAGCCTGCATTACACCAGTCACACAAGGCTCAATCGCTCAAAATGGTTCCAGAAGGTGAGATTTAAGCGTACGATGAACTTTCAAGAGTGGATTAGTTCGCGATGTTGATCAAAGGTACGAGTCACTAATGTGCAATGTCTACACCTCAAGAGTTCTCCATTAGCATCATTTAGGTCATTCTCTATAAAGCAAAACATAAGCCTTTTACTCAATAGGGCATATGCTCACACCCTTGACAAAGCCGATGAGCTTTATAATAAAGTCTGGTAGTGAGGCAATCAAGAGCCTCCACACTCAGCCTCTGAGACTGTGGCACGCTCTTGCCAACCGTCAAACGGTCGCCATGTCATTCATTCGCCAATCAAGAGTAAGAAGGGATATTAGATTCATTGGCCGTTGGAAAGAGTATAACTGCAGCTTTCCCAGGTAAATAAGTAAGGCTTTCCGAACGATCGAGCTACAAAGGCCGTGAGGCCTCACTACAAGCCACAGGATGCGCTGGCCCATTAACCAGACTTGATGACGATCATGCAGTGGCAGAGAATTCTCTGACAACTCAATGGATGCGCCTCCACGTTGTGGCGCTTATGCCTTGCACAGCACATACGAGACAACCCCTACAGTTGTCGATGCCATGCACGAAATCATACATGCATTGATCGGAAAAATAGGTCCAAGCCATACACCCAATCGGTGCCAGAGATATCCCTACACGACAATAGTGTATTGATCGACGACGAATCAACTCAGATGAAGCCGAAATGCAAAGACAAACGCCGCCGTATGCTTCAAGGCCATATACGCCTTAAATGCGGTCTATAACTTCCAATCATCATATGCTAAAAATATCGTCAAGAATATATACAATCATAATATCATCCTCTAAACCAGATTCAGGCCTAGAGCAAATCCACCAACTACAGCAAAAACCCAGCCAAGGGGCGTAGGCTGCCATGCGGCATTGTCATCGTCGCCGTCGCCGTCACCGCCAGCACCGGAGGTGACGGTAACAGTTGCCTCACTAAAGGTCTGTGTTGTTACGACGCCTGTTGAGCAGTCGCGCTCAAAGTCGGGACATGAAGTGATGGTGTAGGTGGTTGTGTACGGTCCAGTAGGGAATGAGTTGCCTGTGCGAGTAGCGCTTCCCTGTGGAAATTTATTAGTGTCATCGTTTCGCAGGCAGGAGTCTTGTGACTTACACGTCCAGTGGCTGTGATATCAGAGCTCTTACACTTGCCCGTCTCACTGGGCACAGCGTCAGAACCAGAACCAACAGCAATAATATCATCATCGCCACAGTTGGCAGCCTGAGCGAGATGAATCTTCTCATTATCCCAGTCAAAGACAAAGTATCCAGCACGTAGAACAGAGTCACCAAGGATCTGCTGGTCGGTGGTTGGAACCAGACCAATGTAACAGGTTCCTGGACCAAGCTCAAGGATGAAATCAGTGAGAGCGACCCTGATAACCTTGTCGCCGAAACCAAAGTCAACGGTGGCGTCAATATCCCGGTTTCGGCAGTCGGTCGTGTAAAAGCCCTCGCCATCATTCTGAGCACCGAGTTCTTGTAGGATAGGTCGCGCGACAGACATGTGCATGCGAGTGAGTGTCGTTCCTGAGTCGAGCATGACATTGGAGTCGTCCCTCGATACGCGGATATTCCTTGTTCTACCACCAATGGTGACACCAAGACTGTTTAATCTGGTAGCAAGACGGTATTCGCCGCCCTCGCCTCGGATGATATCAACCGTCTCCAACGCCCCGATGTACTTGCTGCGATCAATACCACCATAGATAAGAGCTCCCTCGGAATCTTCGGAATGTCTCAGATCAAGCGCAAACACGCGACTGTTGATGAGACCTTGATCAGCCATGGAAGTAAGCAACAAGCTATAAGGCTCATTGCTATCGTATCCGGCTCTCAGGTCAGGCGCAAGGCCTAGAATACCCTGTGAGATACCATTGCTCTCCTCCAACACACCAAATGTCTGGTTCTTCAGCTCTTCGTCTCCAAAGGTGAAGACGTCGGTAAAGTATCGAATGGTAGCAGAGGTATGCGTCGATGAATCGGATGCGTCGCCATAGTTGAGTGTCTCGCCGCCGAAGGGACCGATGGGTGGTGTATCTGACTTGTCAGGATCGTACTGACCAAAGTCGAGACATTGGTTGTATTGAAGAGCGCTTTGGGCTTCTTGACAGTCGGGGTTTACCCATAGTTCGTTCGAGCCGGTATCGAGCAGTACAGTTACTTTCTGTGGTGGTGAACCTATCTCAACTGTTCCATGCTGTTAGTACAATATTCGTGAGGTATGAAGACGATGATGTAATGGGTAGTGACGCACTATCTGTCGCATAGAAAAAGTCCTTGTTCTCAAGTCGCACTGCGATAGCTTCATCCTCATTTTGTCGTTTGCTGTGCTTATTCTTTGATCGCTCGACAGTTCCGACATGCATAGACAAATATCCTTTACCGGCCTTTGATCGCGGGAAACTGAGGGCATTGACGCTGCCGAGGATAACGGCGGCGGTACTTATCGTGGTCCACCTCATGATGAGATTATATGGTGTTTTGTATCTACAGGTCAAAACGAACAAAACAAATGTGCAAATGCAAGATAAACGCCCAGGGGGAGAGCAGCGCCCATCTTTAAACAAACCGCCAGTCCAGCCGCATTACGACGTAGTGTGAATGGCTGTCCGCCCCCGGTGGCGTTTTGCCCATCCCAAGCTGTGCTGGATTAGTCCTGGTTTAAGTCTGCCAAGGCATACATAACCCAGGATCCGATCTTTATACGTTGCGGGGGGCCGTGAAGGTACAAAAACTACGGCTGAAAGAGTGTGGTTGACGTATGGATTTGGACCTGCATGTGGCGTTGGGCCGTCTTGATTGCACGTCAAGGGACCTTTTGTCTAGGTATGAAAATATGCATATGTATGTGCTTCCATTTTGTGAAGTATATACAGTATTACTGATGATAGCGTAAGACAAATACTCAAGTATCGGTAATAAAGGTGAATCATGACAATGCCCTTCTTCACCTGATTCAAGGACACCATTCCAAGGCACCCTTACCCTTGTCTCACTGCCGTCGTAGACTAATCCATTCAGCTACGGATTCATCCCAACTCCGCCCCTCGTCTACCGACAAACGACCTAACCTTGTTAAGAAAGCTACCATTGAAATCCAATAAGAATGTCTCTTTTCGGGCGCTGAGGGTCACAAGAGACATGGGAATCACTTAGAGTTGTCTTGGCCTACGATTCAGCTTTAATCCCCCGTCCAAGGGTGCTTGCGCGGCCTTTTTCTCTCATATGTTTCCCTTGGGTGATGATGTCTTTGATATCTCAATTAGGATTAGATACATGTAACCCGTGGCGGTTCCGTGCTCTTGGCGTCAACGGAACTTCGAAAAGCGTTATTTTGAAATGAAGAGGCTTGCGGGAATACGATGTTGCATGTTCGCGGCTGACGACGGGTTTGCACAGCAGTGAAACGTTGGATGAAATTACGTGTGAGACGATTGGATGTTGGTGTGATAGAAAGTTTGCCATGAGTTAATAAGTAATTAAAGATGAAATAGACTCAAAGAATTGGAAGCTTGAGTGCTGGTGGTTGCAACATGACGGCAACTCTATCTTGATCACCAACCATCAGATGATCTCAGCGCGTCCTCACTGACTTTCTCTTTCATGGTAATCCCAGCCTGCCATCTTTAGCACAGCTTCCAATTGGCTCGGCGCGCCTGTCTTGTATTGACTAATTTCATGGCTCCTGTATCTCAATTCAGCTGCAGCCCTTGTTCGTGAGGCTGATGTAGGGTAAGACAAGGGTATCGAAAACAACTCGAAATCAGAATAAATGTGCCAACATGATGTACGTCCATGATCAAAACATTTTACAATATACATCTCTTCTGAAGACCATGATGGACTTGTGGCTCGGGACGCGCGGTCGGGCTTGAAAAGGCGTTGTGGTTCATGCACGTTGTCACTTTGCGACAAAGTTATAATTTAAGCATATGGCTATCGGGTGTGAGACAAACAGGACTTCACTGTCGGAAAGTTTCACACGTAACATGCATTCACATTTTCCTATTTTTGTTCTATTGTACAAGGCATTTTATTCTACAAGCCATCTCACGGCCATCTATTCCACATGTTTTATACTTTGATGCAGGACCTCAAGCCTTGCCTGTTCCAGAGACCAGCAGAACAACACTGCCCAGCTGTCGTCTCACGTCCTCCTTGTTCACGTCATGAGTATCCTCGACCTCTCCCCACTGACCAGTCTGCCAATCAACCTCGAGACTAGTAGCAACGGCTGCCTCTTCGACGCCGAACTTCTTGCCCGTGTTCAGATTGCCCTTACCGACCGAACCCTCACTCCACTCGACGACGAATCTCGAAGCAGCGATGAGACTCTTGCCAGCCAAGGTAGCGCGCTCAATTCCTGCAATCTCGAAGGCATCGAGGCCGGAGATCCAACCCTGGACGACCTCACGGACTCCGGGGGCTTGTGACTGAGGCATGATGGTGTGTCCATCGAGAACAGGGTTGATGGTGATGCCAGGCCAGACATGAGTTGTAAGGAAAGACACAATCTCCTCAGCTGTGCGCTTCTGTACGTCTCGTAGTGACTCTCCAGCATCGTTCTTGCGATCGTGCACTCCGGCTGGAGGATTCCAGCAGAGAATAGAGTCGGTATCGAGGTATCGAAGCATGGTGGTGGCAATTGAGTCTCGGATTTCCGAGATTTCGGTACCGGGGGCTTGGTCGGCTGCGGCGATGTCGAGGGCTCGGCAGGCGAGACTGGTAAGAGGGATCAAGTGATGTCTTGTAGCGTCTTGAGCAGAAGTCAAGAGATCCCATTCGAGGGCGAGGGCGGAGGCGAGGTCGGGTTTCGTAATGGGGATTCGGATGATTTCTTTGGTAACAGGGTGTCTCAAAGGCCGGGTATCGAGGAAGACTTGAAGAGCACCTGTTCCGTGGTAAGTATATGTGATAGTGGCGGGGTTTCACGCCCTTTCCTTACCATCGACTTCCTTGACAGAAACATCCTTCCAGAATCGCTTCTTCAAACCACCACCCTTTCCACTACTAGCACTTCGTAGCTCCTTAGCATTCTTGAGCATCTCGGCCTGTCTCCTCCGTCTGGCGACTCGCTGGTGAACATCTTGCGGTTGGACCGGTGGCTCTGGGGGAGGGCCCGTGCCGACAACCGGAGCGACATTGGCAGCCTTGACGACGGTCGAGTGAATCGGGCGAACGAAGGCAGAGCGCTGAATGAGTCTAGGCGCAATGCGCAGTGGTAGCCGCGTTACAGGCTTCATTTTGGGCGACGGATTGGGTTGCTGAATCGGGTTGAGGGAGCGAAGCTGGAAGGGTTCAAAGATCAAAGATGCGAGCCGGAAAATTGGGTCCGGCTGGTGAAGTTCGGAGCGGGTGGGTTCTGGCCTTCAGGGTCGACATGATGTCACTCGCACTCATGAAGAGTGCAAAAGCAGCCATCATTTCTAGCCTGAGCCTCTTAGCATTGGAGTGAGAGGTCTCAATGGTTATAGGATAGCCAACTCAAGAGTTTCAATCTTCGAGTATCAAAAGGATGTGTTCTTCCGAGCGTTTACCACTCACAAGGTACATGGAATCTCTAATCCGACTTTGGGGAAGTGGATCGGTACAGTACATGTCAAGAGATTCAACGCTGGCCAAAAGCATGACCGCGGGAATTATAAGCTGTCGTAATTAAGTAAAGATGCCGGCGGTAAAGGCTTGGATATCTCGCACGAGCCTTTGAGGTTGGGAAGTTCATATGTCGAACGTCCATCAGTACACAACAAGGCGCTTATGGAGTATTTAATGCTGCGGGTACCTGAAGCTACGATGCTCCATTCTCCATTCTCCAGCAGATCAGCGTCCAGCTATTGTTGCACATTATCTTTGCCCAAATGAAGGCTTCATTTCACCTCAATGGGAAGCCCTATAAGATGAATATATCATGTACTACAGGCTTCATTCTCTAATAACAATCCCAGAAATTGCTTTCAATAAATTTGAATGGAGCTGAATGCTACCAAAGTTGTTGACACGAATCACCGCCCGATAAGGGGGCCGATAACGTCACGTGATGCGGCACCACTCATCCCTGAAGCGTAACTGCGACGTGGTGATTCTACCTTAGGAGCGTCTCGACCGCAACCTCCAGTCTCCCTCGACCAAACCTCTTACCACAACCCAATTGCCCAACATGAGTTACGGCAAAAAGGACGAAGACGCCGACCTCGGGCTGGTCAAGGTGGATAGAACTCAAGTTTTCCAAGAAGGTTCGTCACTTACAATCGTCTTGTTCCTTTACCTCCCCCCACAGTCAAGCTAAATAGTTCGCCAGCACGACTCTTCAACAGCTCCCCTATCCAGCCTCGACGATGTCGCATTCTCCTCACAAAGATCGCCCTTCTTCTCTACACAGGAGAGAAGTTCCCTACAAACGAAGCTACAACCCTCTTTTTCGGTATCTCGAAGCTCTTCCAGAACAAGGATGCCAGTCTCCGACAGATGGTCCACCTTGTCATCAAGGAGCTTGCCAACTCGGCTGAGGATATTATTATGGTCACCAGCACAATTATGAAGGACACTGGTGGCAGTACCGATGCTATCTATCGACCCAATGCTATTCGTGCTCTCTGCCGCATTATCGATGTAGGTGGCTTTGCTGGCAGGTACACCGACACCCCTGGATGCTGACAATATTAAAGGCCACGACCGTCCAATCGATCGAACGAGTGATGAAGACTGCAATTGTCGATAAGAACCCCTCCGTATCCTCCGCCGCCCTGGTTTCATCCTACCACCTCCTACCGATCGCAAAGGATGTCGTTCGGCGATGGCAAAGCGAGACGCAGGAGGCCGCTGCCTCCAACAAGTCCTCTGGTGGCTTCTCCCTTGGTTTCTCCACATCGAGCAGCCAGGTCCCCATGAACCACTCGACCATGTCGCAATACCACGCCGTCGGACTTCTATATCAAATGCGCATGCACGATCGAATGGCCCTTGTCAAGATGGTTCAGCAGTTCGGTGCCGCCGGTGCCCTTAAGAGCCCTGCTGCTATCGTTATGCTGGTTCGACTTGCCGCACAGCTCGCCGAGGAGGACGCTTCATTGAGAAAGCCCATGATGCAGCTTCTCGATGGCTGGTTGCGACACAAGAGCGAGATGGTTAATTTCGAGGCTGCTAAGGCTATCTGCGACATGCGAGACGTTACCGATGCCGAGGTGGCGCAAGCTGTTCATGTCCTTCAGCTGTTCCTCACCTCTCCTCGCGCTGTCACCAAGTTTGCCGCTCTCCGAATCCTCCACAACTTTGCTAGCTTCAAGCCCAACGCCGTCAACGCCTGCAACCCCGATATCGAGCTCCTCATCTCCAACAGCAACCGATCCATTGCTACCTTCGCCATCACGACGCTACTCAAGACCGGTAACGAGGCCAGTGTCGACCGATTGATGAAGCAGATCTCAACCTTCATGTCCGAAATTACCGACGAGTTCAAGATCACGATTGTCGAGGCTATCCGAACCCTGTGCCTCAAGTTCCCCAGCAAGCAGGCCGGTATGCTTACCTTCCTCAGTGGTATCCTGCGTGATGAGGGTGGTTACGAGTTCAAGAGGGCCGTTGTGGAGAGCATGTTTGACTTGATCAAGTTTGTTCCCGACTCTAAGGAGGATGCGCTTGCCCACCTTTGCGAATTTATCGAGGATTGCGAATTCACTAAGCTGGCTGTCCGAATTCTCCATCTTATTGGTCTCGAGGGTCCCAAGACTGCTCAACCTACCAAGTACATTCGATACATTTACAACCGAGTTGTCCTCGAGAACGCCATCGTTCGAGCCGCTGCTGTTACTGCTCTCGCCAAGTTTGGCGTTGGCCAGCAAGATGCCGATGTCAAGAGCAGTGTTCGAGTTCTCCTTACCCGATGCTTGGACGATGTTGACGATGAGGTCCGTGACCGTGCTGCCCTTAACCTCAAGCTCATGAACGAGGAGGATGACGAGATGGCTACTCGATTCGTCAAGAACGAGAACATGTTCTCTCTCCCCTACTTTGAGCAGCAGCTCGTTATGTACGTCACCTCAGACGACAAGGCTGCTTTCGACAGCCCTTTCGACATCTCAAAGATCCCCGTGGTTACCCGAGAGCAGGCCGATGCCGAGGACCGATCCAAGAAGCTGATTGCCACTACCCCTACTCTCAAGGCCCCCAAGGTTGGACCCACCAAGGCTACCGGTGCCGAGGCAGTTGCTACTGCTTCTGCTCAGGCTCAGAAGTACGCCCAGGAGCTCATGGAGATCCCCGAGATGAAGGAGTTCGGCAGTGTGCTCAAGTCTTCGCCTCTCATCGAGCTCACCGAGGCCGAGACCGAGTACGTCGTTTCTTTGGTCAAGCATATCTTCAAGGAGCACATTGTTCTCCAATACGAGGTCAAGAACACCTTGCCCGACACCGTTCTCGAGAACGTTTCCGTTGTCGCCACCCCTGCCGACGACGAGGAACTTGAGGAGGTCTTCATCATCCAGGCTGAGAAGCTTGCTACCGATGAGCCTGGCAAGGTTTACGTGGCCTTTAAGAAGGTTGGCGGCGAGGCTTCTCTGCCTATCTCCACCTTCTCCAACATTCTCAAGTTCACCAGCAAGGAAATTGACCCCTCAACGGGCGAGCCAGAGGATACTGGCTACGATGATGAGTACGAGGTTGCCGAGTTCGACCTTTCTGGTAGCGACTACGTGATCCCCACATTTGCTGGCAACTTCAGCCACATCTGGGAGCAAATTGGTGCTTCTGGCGAGGAGGTCACAGAAACCCTCCAATTGAGTGGTATGGAGAGCATCGCAGGTACGTTGATCGCTGAAAACACGATGATGTCAATACTAACAGAATCCTAGATGCTACGGAGCAACTTACAAAGGCTCTGTCTCTGCAGCCTCTGGAGGGTACCGACGTTCCTGTCAACCAGACCACCCATACGCTCAAGCTTCTGGGTAAGACAGTTGGCGGAGGTCGTGTGGTTGCCAACGTGCGGATGGCGTTTTCATCAAAAACAGGTGTCACGACAAAGATTACAGTGCGAAGCGAGGAAGAGAATGTGGCTGGCCTAGTTATCGCATCAGTTGCTTAAGGATGAGAAGCAAAGCCGGCGTTGAAAGGATAATGATGTATCGAAAGCTTTGCCTCGGGTTTTAGAACATACCGTGCAAGTCTGTGGCGAGTAATGTGATTATTTACGATTCATTTTCTCTTGCACTGGAATCATGATTGCCACACATGATGGTTCAAAGGCTCGCAAAAAGTGATTGGGGGGATGGGCATTCATTGGTTGGGTACCTAGACGGAAGCGATGAAGGTATAAGAGCATGTTTTTAGTGAAGCATGGTTGTTGGGACCATGAGATTTGTTGCAAAAAGATGGAATTTTATCTGAAATGGCAAATGCGTGCAATGTGCGACTCAGCGAGAGATGTTAGCTGCTAGGTGCTGTGATGTTCAAGTGAAGAACCCTCGAACAACACCTACCAGCTCTCGTCGACATCGTCATGATATCTCCGTCGCTCGAGTTGACTTTGCTACATGTATTTACGTCGACAATGCCCAGTGGCTCCCGCTTCTGCGCATCGCTATTCACCCGAAGGGCATCTCCACGGAAAGGAGTCTTGAGCTTTAATATTGACACCTTCGCTAAACCTCATTCTTAAGCTTTGATAGCAGTGTTCAGTAAAATATAGATCGGTTGTTCATGCTTCTTAATGACCTCCTCCATCGATGCCAGGGCCTCTTCTGGAATCTGCTTGGTTGTGCGAAAGAGCTAACGCTCTACGCCGTCATCCCACAGGAGTTCATAGCCAAAACTCAATAAGGGCTGGAACAACAATCACCGGGCCTCCTGAAGACGAGTTCTGTAAGTAATTTTCTGCGTTCTACCTACAGCGACAATTCTGTGTAATCCATCGAGAAATTAGAAATATCTTGAGGGTACACGGTGAATAATAAAACATCGCAATCGTAGTGAGAGCCACATCCAGAGTTTTGTCGGGACTTATAAGCTGTTTAGGATCGAATGTACTTAGGGGTTCTTTTATAGCATGGCGAAGCAGGCCTTCTCTATAACAGCTTTCTTCCACGCAAACGGTCTGCCATCCTCTCGACTAGATCTTTACCAAAGTCTAACTCCAACACGTTGACTTAATGCGAGTGATTTGGCTTATCCTACCACCATCCAATCGTAAACAACCCTCCAAGTCTACTTGCGTCCCGGGCTTCCTGAAGTCTTTTGTTCTCAGCCTCGAGACTAGCAATCTTCTGGCAGAGAATCCCGGACATGGTACCACCTATGGCATTCTGAAGCTCGTCCATTCCTTCTAGAGACATGGTAACGCCTTCCACATTCATTCGATGACAGACATAGTTGTAGAGGGCTCCAGTAATAGCCATGCGCTCGAACGGAGGCTTCGGCAACTTCTTGACGATGTCAATAAGAGCCATCTTGTCTCCATAGAGCTCGATCCTCTCAGCTGCAAGTTGGCGGAGACCTATAAGCCTATATCTCAAGGAGACACCGTGGACATAGACCGCCGTCGCAAAATCTTTTGCATTGCGCTCAGCCTCGGAAGGTCGATGGAATTTCAAGTTCTGGTACTGTTTGGTGAATAAGAAGTGCACAATGATATGTGCTACATGGTGTGGTATGCCGGAAATTTGAAGGGTTTGTCGGCTGTTCCATATCTCTAGGAACTGGGGATGTTCTTGAAGAACTTGGTCAGGGATGTGGACCCAGTGGCCGTTGTCGAACTGTATGGCACGGGATGGTCCCAGCCACCGCCTGATTAACGTTAACTTCTACGTCCAACGAGAGAGTGGGAAAAAGTACTGACGATGTGGTAGGACGTTCCTCGGGCTGGTCTTTCTTCTCAGCCGAGCAAAAGAGATCCCACCATGAGCTCATCTTGAACGGCGGGTTGTCATAGAGAGGTACATTTTCCGTTGGTTCAAGCAGCCAAGTTGCTATAGTCTATAATAGGTGATTTAAAAGAAAGGTGAACTAATATAGCCGATAACCAAAGTCTGTTTGTGGTGACCAAGTAGTATATAAGAGAGGCAAGAAGACGATAAGTTGCCAAAGGAGTCTTCAAAAGGAAGCTTCCGTTTGAGAAGAAGGAAAAGTAGAACAGACAAGATTCAGGATACATGTAAGATGTTCGGCCACACTCCATTCACTGTCACTGCAGACTAAACCTGAGGAGCACCGAGAGCAAACAAACGCAATGCGGGGCCCAACACGATCGATTGAACGCGTCGCGACAACTTCAGTCAACAGTAATGTATGGATGATAACGCGACGACCGTTTGATGTTGTGCTGTTCAGTCTACCGTAGGCTGAACAAAGTCTTTGTTCAAGGCGCTCCGACCACGCACAATCTCTTTGTGACTTCAGCCACACATCACAGTCTGATGTTGCTTTCACATTGGACCAACCAGATTCATTCGAAGAGTGCTGGTAAGTGCTGTCATATCATTTGCTACATGTGCACATCTGGAGCAAGACCATCTATAACCCAATAGGCGTTTGATGAGGAAGCTAGCCTCTTTGTTACAGTCTCCTTCTACCTATGTATTCTCCAACATTGACCAAGTTGTCATGAGTCCCACAAAAGTACTTTATCATCAGCCACTGAATGCCGGCTGCTTGCCATCCTGTTCCTTTCTTAACTATTAAATCGCGTGGAAGGGCTTCAGCAGTTTCGTCCAAGAAATCCGGGACAGGCCGTTAGGTTGGTAGACGATGAGCTTTCACCGATAGAGGGCTTGTCTGGTACACTCTAGTTCAAGCTCACTCCCTATTCAACATCCTCATTCTGAGAACACCGCACGATACATAATTTATCCCATATCTCATCGCTACTATTGATGTATCGGTCGAGTTAATATTCTTCTCGAATCCCACCAGACAAGGACATGCAATTCCCGATAGTCCCCACACAGTTCTTTCTGCCAAGCTAACAAACGTTACCTACCGTCTATCTATTTGATCAAGGTCTCACTTACTATTTCCGTGTCGAGAGACTGGTTCAAGGCCGCGATATAGCCCTCAAGTCAAGACCTGGCAGACCACCCCTAGGTAGGTGAGTGTCAGAAGAATTGACCGTCATAAGCATAAGAGACGAAATTATTTAGTCATTTTATGCCAGCTTAGATGGGCCTTTAGACTACTTTATTTTAGCAGCCTAAGTCTTAGAGGTTAATTCTTCTGTTGCCCTGCGGCATCTAACGACCTCATGCGAAACTGGTCAAGTTAGCGATCGTCCTATATTACATTCCTGTCATGCCTTACCATTTGCCGCTCTAACACCCTCCACCTCGGCAGGAACAGGCGCCGTGGTGACTCAGGGCCAGATAGTTCCGACCCGCTCCTACACAGATGTCTTCCTGTGACACTGAGCATCGGATCAACACTTACGGTTTGAGTCGAACGACCCAGCTCAGAGCTAATGATTTCATCCTCAAGTGAACGACCTGCCCCCGCCGCATTTCTGCGAAACTGTCCAACGTCAGCCATGCTTCTCTCACTGCCACAGCGTTACATATCTTTGCCGAAAGGCGGTCTGGGGTGAGACTCGTCGAACTTGGGTAGTCGCAACTCACCCCATCCCAGCTTTTCTTCTGAGAAACTGATCTGGGATATCTCTTTTCGACAAAGACCCAAGCCTAGCGGGTGGTTTGTCTGTGTTCGTAGAAACTAAACCAAGTTCGCGTGGCCTCCCACACACTTCTTTTCCCAGGCTGCAAGCCATCTCCCACAAGGCGCTAACTCTCCCACCAGTTTGACTGGGTCATCAGTAGTGCTGCTACGGCTCTGTGTGCGAGTTGACTACAATTCGCATCAGGGTATTCCATGGACTGAGACTGGTCGGTGGGCACAAACAGTTGTAAACCGTGACTGTTGCATTCTGCCACAAGACAGACGTTTAACAACAACCTTTAGCACAGTCAGACTCAGGCGTTTCTAGTTAAAGTTTGAGAAAACGGGTGAAAAATTACTTACTTTGACTGTAGCTCAGTTCGGGCATCGAGCTTGTATCTTCCAATATTAGGGACATGGAGATAGCTAAGCAATGAGAGGTGTAATCAAAGGTAGTGCCGTCCAGTCAAGGCTACCTATCCAGGCAGAGGAAATTGTCATTTGCATGCCGCACAAGGTCAGAACGAGCTGCTTTGTTGTATCTTAACTTTCGTTCTTAAACTGAAAAGACGCATACACACTTCTGTTGGTCCTTCAACAAAAAAGGAGGCCAAAGCTAAAGTCCATTAAATGTCCCGCGGTAGTAACTCTAGTGGTTCAGGCCGCTCCGGTCAGTCCGCTCAAGGCTCAAGGCATGCATGTCTAATCCGTACTGAGCAAATTACCTCCTCGTGTTAACACACAATAACCAGAGCTCGCCCTAGATTCGAAAGGTCGAAGTTCGTTGGTCTGGCTAGAGATTCTTACAGACCTTCATGCATCACATCTTGACTACTCATTACCGGGCATCATATCACCAGATGGGCCACTAAGAAATCCCATGTCACAGCTGCTAAGAAATCTTAACACTACCGGTTGCACGGTTGTTAAGAATAGATGGTTAGAATATGGAATGAGCTTTCTCTTTTGTACAGTTGATTTAGCTTCGGTGGTTTTTTGTTACAAGACTCCGGTGCTTTTGGTTGTCTGAACTTGTTGTATAATGTTTCCTTCCAGTATTAATGGAGAAAGCAAGAGCAGTGATTCACTACATATATTTCACACTTGCTCCAGATCTGTGCCTGGCATCCAATCTTTGCATCGCAACTCTCACTCTACAATCCCTCCTTAATCTCTTCTTTCTAGTAACTCCCAAGCTACTCGCCCATCTCGCCTTTCCGCCACTATGGCTAATACGGGATGGTCGGCTGAGGTTACTAAAGCGCCTGCTGTATCTCAATCACCACCACTCAAGAGGAAGTTGGTTTCTTTTGACCCGTCATCGTCGTCATCCCGCAGCTTTCGTTGGGGAAACTCGTAAGTCTCATACAATTGGAAACGTCGAGCTGTACTGATCAGCCGAAGTCCATACGAAGGGCAATTTGTCAAGCTCTATTTCGACGGCGCTGTTTTCCAAGTTCCATTCACTATGATCCCTCGCAGCATCACCGACAAGTATCCGGCCCTGGAAACAGAGAACGACTGTATTACAATCACTGGGCTGAACCAGCGACATGGACATACCATAGTCCATTTCTGGCACACGGGAAACTACCAGTGGATCGTACCTAGAGTAGGACAGGGTCTTTTAAACAGCAAAGAGGTCAAGTTCAAAGACGCTCTGAGAATCTATGAGTTCGCTACAAGCCACTCAATCAACCAACTGGCCTCCTTCGCTTTCAACCACGTTAAAGAAATCGGCAACTCCTTGAAACTCTCCAAGATGCTCATCATGATGCACGAGAACAACTTCGATCTCCACAACAAAGAAGAGAGACTGGTCGAGTATCTCATGGAACAAGTACGTCTACCAACAGTGAAAATTGCACAGAAAGATATCGATAAGGTTGAGATGGCTATTCCCTCTCGCAGCGTATCGTCTATCATGCTCCTGACCATGCTGGGAATGAAGCTCTCCCTACAAAAGTATGAGGAGGACGAATGTCGAAAAGTTTCTATACCATAGTTGCTTCCAACTGGTATCTTTCCTCTCCGTTGGTGGAACGCCGATGATTTCGAGGATCGGGTATGGACTACGGGGCTAGATGCAACCTGGAGAATACCGGGATAATGCAAGCACTAAATCGAGAGCTCAATACAATCACTGTCTATTTGAGAGACTATTCATAACGTTTTTGGAATTGCTCTAAATGCGTGAAATCGATATTGTACTGGCTACGAGTTGCTAGCATGGGTAAGTTAGTGACACTTTGCAACTATATTTTCAACGATCAAGACGCGTAATTGGTTTAGTGGTAAAATTCTCCGTTGCCATCGGGGAGCCCTGGGTTCGATTCCCAGATTACGCATCGCCAGCTCTTCTGAGCTCCTTCTTCTTTTGCCCCTCACGCCTTTTTCTGACCCACACCTTTTTTACTTCATGTTTGTGAAGTAGCGGATCGTCTTACTAGCGCTGGAGTGCAGAAGAGGACAGCACTGTTTCCTTTTCAGGCCCAGCGCTTTCATAAAAGATCAACACACTTGAGATAGATAGGGAGGTATTGAAATAAGTCAAGATGACTCTTTCTTTATGGTTCACGTGACCCTTATGCAGGATGTCAGAACTAACCACCTCTCTGACGTCTCGACTTCAGTAGTAATCCCAATACTCCGCATTAAACCTGACAACAACAATCACAACGGCGATATCAACGTCATATAGCAAACAATGACTGTCACGCACACCGTCCTTTTCCAATTCAAGTCAGACGTGGATTCGTCTCAAGTCAGAGAGGCATGCCTAGCAAAGTCCTTCATGTAGCAGTTACTAACTAATAATCCCTCTTGATCTAGATCTGTGATCGATTCCTCGCACTCAAAGACAAATGCATCCATCCTACTAGCAACACACCGTACATCGTTTCACTTGTAGGTGGCAAGGATAATTCTCCAGAAGGAATGCAGGTGTGTCCACAAATAAGAAACAAGCTTCTAAAGTCTGGTCCAAGACTGACCTGATTGTAGAACGGCCTTACGCATGGCTTTGTGGTTATCTTCAACTCCACAGAAGATCGAGACTACTACGTTAAGACGGATCCTGCTCACCAGGACTTTATTAGCAAAGTTGGGAGCCTTCTCGAGAAGGTCACTGTACTTGATTTCACGAATGGGGTCTATTAGACATAGCTTGCAAGTTTGACTACAAGGACTCGATCGTTGATTTGGAACCTAATTTGAGTGCGTGTAGGCTACCTGGCCGCTCATAACATCAGTATAGCATGGAAAGGGCTGTGGTATAAAACACATGTTTGAGCTTTTGGAAGTCACCCTTCAAGGCGTACAGTTCAAATCAACACAACGAAATGACCTGTCTGATACTCAATCCGAAGTGAAGTTGATTAAACCCATGCTTTATGGCATCGCTCGATACACACTATCTATTTCATCTAGCACTGAATCTATCTGTTACGACGTTTGCCTTTACGAAGCAATCCTCTATCTACTGCAGTGTAGTATCACTTCCCAGAGTAAATCATAGCCCTGAGTCTCAACAAAATCAAAGACGCTAACAACGATCCTATTCCTATACAACTCATGCCTTTGCAAAACTCAAACCGCATCTACGAAGCCTTTCTTGCCCAAATATCCTTTTCCTTTCGCTCAGCTATCCATAAAACGTTATTCATGATAGGGAACTATGGTTCCGATGATGTTGACACTAAGCCATATGCTCAATCGGGAGAAGCTCAATGTTCAAGACATGATGGACAAAGAACTGAAATACCACATTTCCTCATCAAAAGCACCTTGTTGCAACCTCGCGTTACGTCTACCTTTCTATCTGTCGGTTCGTGGTTGCGTTTCAACCTCATTACCGAATTACTTGGCTCTTGCAATTGCACTCTTCGCCAGACGGACAAGTTCCGTAGCGAACTCGTTAACAAGCTTCGTGTGAGCTACCTCTCGTGATGTTAGACGGGATATTGGGAGTTCGCAAATCAAGTTGGCAGCTGATCTAAGAAGCTCAAGATCTGCCACGGCTCTTCCATGGAGAGGATGCATAAGAATATTGAAGAAGATAGTGATCATGGCGGCGGTAGGGTAGAATACAACGATCCTAGATTGCGATTAGTTTGGGCTTCGTACGTATCACGTAAGGTATATCTGCTTACCAGAAAGCTTCACCAGCGAGACCATTCAAGGCTGCTTTCAAGTACACAAGTGTTGAACGACTGGCCTCCAGCGCAAGTGCGATGCTTGATTCAACGCCTGATTCAACAGTCGATGCCCAACCCGCTTCATCCATTGGGCCGTCGGCCTCAGGGCGCTGCATGCACCTCCCACTGGCACGATGTATAGTAGTCATAAGATGGTGGTACTCGAGGTGAAGGGTAATAGCCCGCATACTGCGCGGAAGTTGCATCCCTTCAACAGTCACTTGGGACTCGTTGGATATAGAGAGTTGTGGTCGAAATGTTGAGGGTATAGAAAGTCTCCAATTCTCTAGCTCATGGTCAAGGTCGCGGATGTCAAAGAGAAGTTGAGCAGGTGTTTTCTTGGCGGCTTGCGCTGAGTAAAGCAGGCGGCTAGTCTTCTCTTTGATGTGGCTGAGACGGGGGTCACCTGGGAGATGAGGTGTCAGACCGTTGTCACCAGAGAGTTCGGGAGAAAGACTGTGGGATAGGCCGGGAAGATATTCGTAGCAATTCAGATAGTTCTCCGGTAGGGTGAGATCACAGTAATCGTCAGACATCAAAGGAGGCTGTCCCGTCCGTAGAGCAATGTCCTTATCAAAGATATAAGTAAGCCAGAATAGGAGTCTGATCTGGCGTCGCCCCCGCTCAGAGTGAGTAAGAGGGCCCTCATGAGGCTTTGGCGCGATATAATTCTGACCTCCAAGCGCAAAGACGGTTCGGCAAGCAATGGCGTGAAACATCGAAGCCGAACGAAGTCTTCCTAGGAAGATCTCATGCATGTTCTAGATCCAGGTTAGTAACCATAGACAAGTCTTTAGTATGTATGGAGTAATGCCCACCAGCATGAAAGCAACTTGAAGTGTGGTAAGACTTGCTTCCTCCAGAACATCAGTCAGGATATACCGAGCCTTGGCGGCGCATAAATCAGTATCCACTGCCGGTAAACCGAGCAAAGAAGCTTTGAAGAGAGGAATGATAGACAAAAAAGCCAGAACGCAAGCTTTACAGCTCATATGCTCCAATGGAGAAACCTCGACAGGCAGGCTGGAATAGGCCAAGTCAATGACGCTTTGGAAGAGCACACGATCGACAACTGGAAATACCAAGCTGAAGGAGGAATTGGCGAATACATCGAATACAGTTTCAACAACAGCCCTATCAGGAAGGGCCCACAGGTCCTTTGAGTCTCTGAAATACTCTGCTGGCAATGTTGGGGGTGTCATATGGGTTGGTTGAGGCACCGGTTCGAATAGAACTTCCTCACCCGTCTTGGAAGCGATCCACTGCTTACCTTCTTCGGAGAGAAGGGGCATTCCATTGTGCTGACTAAAATGGCCAAAGTGACAGCCACCAAAGTGAATCTGCCCATAGGAGACGGAGCTGGGAGATGTTCCAAGAGGAGACGCAGCCGGAATTGCAGCAGGCAAGTCTTGGGGCATCATAGGAGACTCCATAGAGCTGGGGGTATAATTAAAAGATGAGGGTGTACCTTCGTTAGTCGCTTGGGCTGGTCGATGACCATACTCCATCATATGAACGTCTGTATCGGTCTGGGGCTCTGCAATCAGTGGGGTGGGAGTGAAAGGCTTTGTCGGGTTATTTTGACTCGCTAATGTTTGGGCGAGTGCTTCCTCCACTCGTCTCAATCTCTCTGCAAGACTATTCTCAGACGACTGTTTAGATCTGCTACCAGGTTAACTTGGACTAATTTTGCTCTGGGTACCAAGAGTGAAACTAACCTTGATTTGGCTGCTGGCTTTCTACGGCCCCTGACACGATCGAATGTACAAGCCAGGTTATGGTGCTGACACCAATTGCACGGTGAATCATCTACCGAATCGCATTGAATCTGTTCGGATGTTAGCCAACTCCAGAACATGACGTGATACATCTCTAGGGTAACATCAGATGCATGTAGGCGAAGAGCAGGGACGCCAAGAGATGTCCCCGATCGATTTGGACAAAGCTCGGGAGCATCGCATCGAGAGAGAGAAGATATGGAGCCAGTAGATTTGAGGTGTACGTACCTTTCGCTTGTGACAAGCGTCACATGCCGTTTTCTGAACCATATTAAAGCAATAGAAAGGAAACCGGAAGAATCAATGACAGGAGATTGCTTAGTACGCGGAACTTGATGTAGGTATTGTTGTTTGGGCCGGGACCAAGCACGAAACGAATGAAAGATCAAAACTGGGTAGGTATGGAAGTCCACAATGGCTTTCTGGACTAGATGCCACTGGATGAAAAAGTCGTTTCAGGCTAGTGTGGGTAGATTCTGTCCAGCTCGTCATAAACCTCGTGTTTGAAAATGAAGTCGGATGGAAAACAATGAATGTCCGGCCGAGTGAGGATGACTCGGAGGTTTATTCAATAGAGGGTAAAACCTCCGCTGATTAAGCAACTTTAAGAACGTCAGCGCTAGACGAGGATTGGGTAGTGATGGAGACAAGACAAGGATGCCCTGAAGCTAGACAGGGAACAAACACACTAAGAGCATCAGTAAGCGGCAGTTCTTGATGTTAAAAACTTCCGGACCATTTATCTGATTTACAAGTTCTTGTCGTGTCTTTTTAATCTATCCAGTCTAGGGGGGCAACAGAAGAAATGTTCTCCAAGGCTTAGACTACTAAAATAAAAAAGCCTAAATGCTTATCTAAACTGGCATAAGATGACTAAACTATTTCGTCTGTTATGGTTACCTATGAAGGCTAATTCTTCTGATACCCTACGTTCGCTGTCAAGTTGGTGACCCGTACATCCGAGAAGAATGCTACATCGGAGCACGGCAGTCGGAATACAGATTACCGATGAATAGCAAATTGTACCTAAATCTTTTTGATATTAATAATTAATGACGGTCTTCGCAGTTGTAATCAGTCCGTCTTGAAAGTCTAAGGCGGGCTCCGCGTAATTGTTACCATTACCATGTGAATGTCGATCTCGGGGAATTGTCCATACAACCCATTACAGTCAATTGATTCTACGTACTCGGGTTTTGAAGCAACAAGACTGTGTTACATTTGTGTACCTCTGTTGACGCGGCTGAACTTGACTACGCCGTTCTCATGAAAATGCCCTACGTAAACGACTCATTCAAACCCCTGCCATTCCATGTCAACCAAGCAGGTGAGTCGCATAAAAATACGCACACATAAAGCCGTTGACAGAAAGACATAGTGGCTTAACAGGCTGATACTGACCCGCTTATTTATGTCACTACCCTGCTTCTGGTGAGAGAGCTTTAGTGTGCGGATTAATTTGCGACCCACCTGCCAAGTTACTAAGCGGCATCATTGCTCGCACTCGCAATTTAGAAACTTTTATCCCAGGGTTTTGTCGATCTAAAAGACCAAGTGGATCAAGGTTCCGCTTCACTAAGAATGCTTATCCTCCGATTCACTAATTCAATTGGTCCGATTGTTTGTGTCGGACACCGAAAAAGGCCGTCATGTTTGTCAACGTCTGAAGCAAATACTGAGAGCATCTCTTTAAAACCGTCATTATTCCGTCTAATCCGTTATGCTGTATCAACACCAAAAACACTCTCTTTCTTTTCCTTGTTTCTTCAAACTGCTTTACCATGGAGTCAGATAGCAATGACTCCCAAACGGTCTATGAACCAACACCCCTCAAGGAAACTCCTCACGATGATATCGAATGGGCTATGAAGTCCGAAGTCATCGCCTACAAAGAGCGAGACAGATCCTCTGGCTTCTCAGACAGAGAACTCGGCGTAACTTGGAAAAACCTCACTGTCGATGTCACCTCAGCAGATTCCGCCATTCACGAGAACTTCTTATCTCAATACAATATCCCTAAGCTCATCAAAGAGTCTCGACAGAAGTCACCACTCAAGACCATCCTCGACAACAGCCATGGCTGCGTCAAGCCCGGTGAAATGCTTCTAGTCCTCGGTCGTCCTGGCTCTGGGTGTACTACTCTCCTCAATATGATCGCCAACAAGAGGCGCGGTTATACCAGTGTCAAGGGTGGTGTTTTCTACGGCTCAATGACAGCCGAAGAAGCCAAGACATACCGCGGCCAGATTGTCATGAACACTGAGGAAGAAGTATTTTACCCTGCACTGACCGTTGGCCAGACCATTGACTTTGCTTCACGCCTCAAAGTCCCCTTTCAACTGCCCAAGGGTGTCAACTCACACGAAGAACTGCGAACTCAGACAAGAGACTTCCTTCTCAAGTCCATGGGTATCGAAGATACCATTGACACCAAGGTTGGCGATGCCTTTATTCGTGGTGTGTCAGGTGGGCAGCGCAAGCGCGTCTCAATCATCGAAACTTTGGCTACCCAGGGCTCAGTCTATTGCTGGGACAACTCTACTCGAGGTTTAGACGCAAGCACGTAAGTATACCCAAGAACCCATCACCTCTCCTTCTAACATAGTATAGTGCCTTGGAATACACCAAGGCCATCCGAGCAATGACAGATGTCATGAAGTTAGCTTCCATCGTGACTCTCTATCAAGCTGGTAATGGTATCTACGATCTCTTCGACAAAGTCCTCGTTCTCGATGAGGGAAAGCAAGTTTACTACGGTCCTCTCAAAGAGGCTAAACCTTTCATGGAGAGCATGGGCTTTATATGTTCGCATGGTGCAAATGTAGCGGACTACTTGACTGGTGTAACTGTCTCCACTGAGAGACAGATCCGTCCTGATTATCAGAACCGGTTTCCGCGAACTGCAGAAGCCCTCCGAGTCGAGTACGAGAAGTCACCCATCCACGAACGAATGCGATCGGAATATGACTATCCTACATCTGACGTCGCCAAGGAGAGAACCAAGCTCTTTCAAGAAGGTGTCCGCCAATTCAAGAATAAGAAGCTCTCCGACGACAGTCCCATGACTGTTGGCTTCTTCGAACAGACCAAGGCATGTGTCATTCGTCAGTATCAGATTGTCCTCGGAGACAAACCCACATTCTTCATTAAGCAGATCTCTATGATTATCCAAGCCCTCATCGCCGGTTCCCTCTTCTACAACGCTTCCAACGACTCAAGCGGCTTGTTCATCAAGTCAGGCGCTGTCTTCGTCGCCCTTCTATCCAACTCATTGGTATCAATGTCTGAAGTCACGGAATCTTTCACAGGGCGTCCCGTTCTTCTCAAGCACAAGTCATTTGCTATGTATCATCCAGCAGCGTTCTGTATTGCACAGATCGCCGCCGACATACCAATCATCTTACTACAAGTCACCACGTTCAGTGTTATTGAATACTTTATGGTTGGTCTTACTGCTACTGCTAGCCACTTCTTTACGTTTTGGGTTATCTTGGTGGCCACCACAATTGTAAGTCAATCCTGAATCATTATCAAGAACCTCTACTAACAGATTCCAACAGTGTATAACCGCCCTCTTCCGAGCTGTCGGCGCCGCCTTCAGCACCTTCGATGCCGCTTCTAAGGTTTCTGGTCTTCTCATCACCGCCACAATTATGTACTCTGGCTATCTCATCCAGAAGCCGTTGATGCATGATTGGTTTGTGTGGATATTCTGGATTGACCCTCTGGCCTATGCTTTCGATGCCCTCTTATCGAACGAGTTTCATGGCAAGATCATACCCTGCGTTGGAAACAACCTTGTTCCCAGTGGGCCGAGTTTCACCGATGGCGATCATCAAGCTTGCGCCGGTGTAGGTGGTGCTCGGCCTGGTCAGAACTACGTGACTGGTGATGACTACTTGGCCTCTCTATCTTATGGACATGACCACTTGTGGAGGAACTTCGGTATCATCTGGGCTTGGTGGCTCCTCTTCGTCGCCATTACCATCTACTTCACCACCAAGTGGCATGCGGCGTCTGAAGATGGACCGTCTCTATTGATCCCACGCGAAAATGCGCATATCACCGCCGCCCTGCGTCAATCCGATGAAGAGGGTCAAGCCTCCGGAGAGAAGAAGATGACTAGCAATCGGGATGGCGGTGTCGTTTCAGGCGATGAATCCGACACAAGCCTAGCTCTCGTCCGAAACACCTCAGTGTTTACATGGAGAAACTTAACTTACACGGTGAAAACTCCCTCGGGAGACCGTACTCTTCTCGACAATGTCCAAGGCTGGGTTAAGCCCGGTATGCTGGGTGCCCTCATGGGTGCTTCGGGTGCTGGAAAGACAACCCTTCTTGATGTTCTAGCCCAGCGCAAGACAGATGGCACTATTCGCGGTTCAATCATGGTCGATGGTCGACCTCTGCCCGTATCATTCCAACGCTCCGCCGGCTATTGCGAGCAACTCGACGTCCATGAGCCCTACGCTACCGTTCGTGAAGCCCTCGAGTTCTCCGCTCTTCTTCGGCAGAGTCGCGATACCCCTCGCGAAGAGAAGCTGAAGTATGTCGACACAATCATCGACCTTCTTGAACTACACGATATTGCGGACACCCTGATTGGGCAGGTCGGCGCGGGACTGAGCGTTGAGCAGCGTAAGCGTGTTACCATCGGTGTTGAGCTTGTCTCTAAGCCAAGCATCCTTATCTTCCTTGATGAACCTACCTCTGGTCTAGATGGCCAATCTGCCTACAATACCGTCCGTTTCCTACGCAAATTGGCTGCTGTCGGCCAAGCTATTCTTGTTACCATTCATCAACCTTCGGCCCAGCTTTTCTCTCAGTTCGATACCCTCCTTCTTCTCGCCAAGGGTGGCAAAACCGTCTATTTTGGTGACATTGGTGAGCAGGCGAAGACTGTTTCTGATTATTTCGGTCGTTATGGAGCATCTTGTCCAAAGGACGTCAACCCAGCTGAGTTCATCATTGATGTTGTCTCAGGACATCTTAGCCAAGGCAGGAACTGGAATGAAGTGTGGCTCTCATCTCCTGAGCACGCTGCCGTCGAGAAGGAGCTTGATCACATCATTACTGAGGCTGCTTCCAAGCCTCCAGGGACCACTGATGACGGTCGAGAATTCGCCGTTCCCTTGTGGGAGCAGACCAGACTCGTCACACATCGAATGAACGTCTCCTTGTATAGAAACTGTGGCTACACAAATAATAAGATCATGCTTCATATCTTCTCAGCCCTCTTCAATGGCTTTACATTCTGGAAGATTGGATCATCTGTGGCTGAGCTTCAACTCAAGCTCTTCACCATCTTCAACTTCATCTTCGTCGCTCCCGGTGTAATGGCTCAGCTTCAACCACTATTCATCCAGCGACGAGACATCTTTGAGACACGTGAGAAAAAGTCCAAGATGTATTCTTGGGTCGCATTCGTCACTGGTCTTATTGTTTCAGAATTCGTATGGCTTGTGGTCTGCGCTATCATATACTTTTTGTGCTGGTTTTACACAGTAGGGTTTCCAGCTGTTTCGTCTCGCGCAGGAGGTACCTTTTTCGTCATGTTATGCTACGAATTCATATATACCGGAATAGGCCAGTTCATCGGAGCGTATTCGCCTAACGAAGTCTTCGCGTCACTCGTCAACCCTCTGGTCATTACGATTCTGGTGTCGTTTTGCGGCGTACTAGTTCCTTACTTTGGTATCCAGGCCTTTTGGAGGTACTGGCTTTACTATATCAACCCGTTTAACTACCTCATGAGCTCGATGCTTACATTTAGTGTCTGGTCTGCCGATGTCGAGTGCAAGGAAAACGAATTGGCTCGCTTCAGTCCTCCCAATGGCACTTCTTGTGGCGAGTACCTCTCAGAGTGGCTCACCCAAGTCCCAAGCAAGCTCCTCAACCCTGATGCTACTGACGAGTGCATGGTATGCTTGTACAGCAAGGGTGAGGATTATCTTCGTACCCTCAACATCAAGGACTACTCGTATGGTTGGAGGAATGCTGGTATTACTGCTGCATTTGTCTTCTCTTCATATGCTCTCGTTTACATTTTAATGAAGCTCCGGACCAAGACTTCCAAGAAGGCTGAGTAGGATGTTTGGAGTTGTTGGTAATGCTTGTTTCTTTGTTGTGGATTTATTATAGAACTTGTAAAATAGACTAGATTGCTTCAGTATAGACAGACCTAATAATTGATAGAAAATTGGGATTAGTGTCGATTCACTACATTTCATCGCTGAATGATAGTCTATGACTTATGGCGTTCGATCTTCAGACTATTGGTGGATGAAAACCAAGTCTGGATGGAGGGTTGCTTTTGAGTCTGGCATACTCGATCTCCTCTACCACCTTTGGTTTTCTTTCATACCAAAACTTTAGGCTCTCGAAAGAATTAAATAAGCTATCTCATGACGTCTGGAGTTTCTCAATTGATGGTAAGTCAGGTTAGAGAATTTTTAGTTATTTCTGTTGTATATTACATGCTGTAGGAACCTTCCAACCCCGTGTTAGAGATGACCTTATTTCTGCTATATTTTACCATCCTTAGCAGGCAAGTTTATGGTTTTCTCCAATGTTTTCCAGCTTTGATCAAACTTCAGCCTGTCTAGTTTCCTCATTTTGGCTTCTGGTCTGTTGCAAGTTTGCACATCCTTGTAGAGTGCTGTTTCGTCATTTCTTAAGGTAATGTTCTCTTCCACCCCAGGCTATTGCTTTGACATAGGTACTATCATTGGCTCTGGGGTCTTCTATACCCGGCTGGCGGCCTTCCGCAATGGCCGCACTTCTATGGGAAAGAGTTCTTGGAAGCTCGACGAATGTTCCCTCGCTGTCGATAAATCCTCGTTTGTCAAGCATTTCTTTGACTTTGATTTCGTCCTTGTTGGATTTTGTGCGATCCCGAACTTTGCTCTTCTCGTTTGCTTCCTCAACAGATGCTTCTCTGTTATACAGGCTACTGGATTTCAGGAGAGGTTGGGAGTTCTTGTCTGCCGCTCCATCGACTGGCTCTTTTTTGCTTTGCATGTTTTCGAGGTTCGGGAAAACACGAGGCTTGCTTTTTGTCATTACCCCGTCGACGAATGCTTTTCTATCATCCTGGGTGTTCCATCTTGACACATCAGGTGGTTCGCGGTAGCTTGGTCCTCCTCTGTTTGGGGATAACAATGTTGTGCTCTTGTTATATGTTTCGAAAGTTTTCCTTCTAACAGTGTCATTGTTTTTCAGTATTCTGTTGTGGGAGTTCTCCTTGAGTGTTTTATCTTTAAATCCATTTGGTTTGTGCTGAGGAGTAGTAGGGGGTGTTTGGTCTTCTCTGCTGTGATCGCTCCCGTTTTTTGTTCCGGGTTCAAATTCCTTTCGAAAACGTCTCATATGCTCCTTGAATAAGGCTGATTTATTGGGAGGGATGATATATAACCTTTTGGTATTAACCACGAGATATGAGTTGCTTATCGTGGGCCGATCAAGGCTTCGGTGTAGCAGAGGGAACATGGTTTTGAAAACAACTGATGATGAGCTTATCCGTGAAACATTTAATAGAAACAGGAAAGCTCAATCCAGACAGGGAAGGGTAAGAGAGTTCAGTAGTCGCACAAAGGGGTTAATTTTCCATCGCCCGAGATTGCTGATTTGTAGGTTACAAGTAAATGATTGGAACTGACTGTGTTCCTTCTCACAATTCCGGAGTGAGAGACGTGTTTTTTGTTTGTGGGGCTGGGACCTTGTTCCCATTGGACAGGAAGTACCTACCCTATACAATATATTGTGGTTTACATACACAACGCCTAATAGTGGGTAGATTATCTGTAGTATTTAACAATAAATGATAAATGCTAGTCTAAGTTTAGGATAGGACAACTAAATCATTTCGTCCCTTAGGATTTCAGGAGCCAATTCTTTTCACAGTAGCTTGCCCATTTGCATCGATTGTCCAAGACCCACATTGATGAGTAATCGCATCGGGCATCGGACAAAGGCTCGGGCCAATCCTCGAGGCCAAATGACAGCTGGACAACGTGCTGAGTGCTGAGGTTTCTTTAAAAGGAGGAGAATAATTAAGATACTCAATAATATGATCAGAGAATACGAACTTCAATCGTCTGGAAAACATGGCGATACATAATGGTGTTAATGGCCATACCAATGGCAACGGCAATGTTTCTACCAAGTCTACTCTATCACATCTCTTTGACGAAAACATTGTCGCCAAGATTTTGTACGTTGCTGAGACAAGCTTGATAAACAATGTAAGATCCTATTCAAGACCGCAAATAAACCACTTACAGTTTTTTAGAATCCACCCCTAGCATATCCGGAATATGTTAGCCAAACTGAACCAGAAGGAAAATACGTTCTTCGAGAAAAGTTGTTTTGGACATGTGGTTTCTTCCCAGGCTCTATATACTCTCTGATCGAGCGTCTTATCAAGTTTCCTCATGTGGCACCAGGAGGCGAGAAAAAGCAGCAGCTTCTACAACAACTAATCACCGCTGGGCGGGCCTGGTCTGATCCACTACACGAATATGCCAAAAGAACAGATACACATGATATGTCCTTCATGATACAACCGTCTATGAGAGTGCGATGGGAGGTCTTGCATGATCCCGATGCCCTCGACTCTGTTATCACGGCGGCAAGATCACTTTACTCCAGATACAACTCTAACGTTGGCGCTATTCGCTCTTGGGACGTCCTGTCACAGAATGGCGTTGATATCTCAAGCATGACAGAAGACTTTCTGGTCATCATTGACTCAATGTGCAACCTGGACTTGCTGTACTACGCAGCGGCACAAACCGGTGAGGTCGAGATGGCTCAAGCTGCGACAGCCCACGCCAAATCTTTGATGAAAGCTCTTTTACGACCTGAAACCGACGAGTCAGTTGGCAGATCCATGTACAGCACGTTCCATGTTGTCAACTTTGATCCAAACAATGGGACTATCAAAGAAAAGAGAACTGGCCAGGGTTACGCCGCAGACTCAACTTGGGCTCGTGGACAAGCCTGGGGGATCCTCGGATACTCGCAAACATACAACTGGACCAAGGACCCGGAGTTCCTTGAAGCAGCTATGGGGCTTGCCGAATATTTCATCTTCAGGCTGCTCAACTCTCCAGATTGCGTTGAGTTTCCCGTGCCAGGAGAGAACCGGACCAAAGGCAGATATGTCCCGCTATGGGACTTTGATGCTCCGATTGATACCTCTTCTCCGTTAAGAGACTCGTCAGCGGGTATCATTGCGGCAAACGGCATGCTGGTGCTGTCTCAAGCTTTGGCTGGAAGTGGATCTCCTGAACTCAGCGAAAGGTATCGATCCATGGCCATTCAAATCGTCAAAGACACACTTGAATTCTCACTAGCACAGGAGAAATCCAAGGTTATCCCAAGGTCTGATGGAAACGGATTCGAGGTTCAAGACTCAGATCCAAACCTTCATTTTGAGGCTATCCTAAAGAACGCTACGGCCAATCACAATGCAAAGGACTATAAGAGATATTGGGACCATGGGCTAGTCTATGCGGATTACTATTTGATCGAATTTGGAAATAGGTTGTTAAAGACGGGTCTTGTATAGCTGTCTGAGCTCTGTGTAAGCCATCAGAGCAGCAGTGGAGAAATGTTGAGATTATAAGTAGTATGTCGCTCGTCAACCCACAGTCCAGTTGTTCATTGAGAATGGAGCCCCCTGATCATCAATAGTTTGAGCTGTGAACATCATGTCGTCAAAACTGATCACTCGATCTAACTGCATAAAGTCTTGATCCATCAGAACAGTAGAAATGGCTGATAGTTCATCTGGAGAGTTCTGTTCCAGCCCGGCATTGGTAGGTGATATCTGTGGCAGAAAGCTGTTCGTCTGAGTAGGATCGAAAGGTAATCGCGAATTTGGCGGGCGCATATCGAATGGTGTTTGTACTGTTCCAGATATAGTTGAGATTTCGATTTGATCATTTTGCCGAAATGTGTCGGTTCCTTGAGGCGTATGGTCGGGTAGATGTGTGATAAAACTGTCATCGGGAGAGTAATCCGGGTTGTCCATGCACCTCTGAAACAGAGCACGCAGCTGAGAACTATATTTAGCAGCCAGCGAGCTCTTCCCTTTCGATTTGAAGACCGGCCCGGCCCACCGGTTGGCAAAGCCATCAAGACACTCAACCAATAGCCAGAACTCAGAAGCCAACGTTGTCTTATAGTACCTCCAATGGACTAAGGCTTCATTAGATCGAGCCACCGGAGCCAGGGAGGGAGGGAAACTTACCGAGCAACGCTCGCGCGCTAACAAATACACAGAACGCAAACTGACTGTTTACCGGACTTGTCTCTGGAGTGTACTTGAGGTATTTCTGAGTGATAGTTGCTGTCTCCGCTGCTGCGACTTGGCATGTCTCGGCGCTATGAGCGCTGGGCATCCTAACAATACTAGTCCACTGAGGTGCTGGATATGCTATTTTTTGATGCAAGAGAATCATGGAGCAGTTGTGAGTTACGTGAGCCAACGTGAGGTTGGGATCCATGGTAATAACAGCTGGTCTGCGGGAGATGTTGCCGCCATCTTTCCACTTTTGAGGAAGAAACATCTTCCAGCTTGATATAGTAAGTATACAAGAGAATAGAGAAAGGTCTGGGGCGAAAAGACTTACTGAACGAGTCGAAGATCAAGCTCCTTGAACCGGGTAAGCCAATTCCCAACCTCTCCACGATCTTTGAGATTCACCTTTTGCTGCAGGAAATACATAATCACGCGACTCAACGACTCAGTTGCCTCGATACAGTATGCAAAAGCACCTACAGTAGTCATGTCAACATTGTCATTCTTTTTGGCTGTTGTAGTATTGGTCGACGGCGTCTCAGGAGGTGGCTCTGTGACTTGTTGTTCAGGACTTGGATAATGCGCTGGAAGGAAGACGATAGAATTTCCCATCTTCGCCGCAGATCGATCCCATATACCGAAGTAAGGTGTCAATACTGTTTCTTCTTTGTGCCAAAGACCCCCATCAGCAGGTAGCCTTCTCCGCACATCATTCGATGTCAAACTGACGTTCCACCTGCAATTATTAGAATAGGCCGATGGTTACAACGTTGCACGCACCCTGTCATGACGGAGCATAGTCTGTCCAGAATAAAGATGCTCCAAAACACCCGTCGTCGCTCCTCGTCCTGAGTCCAATTTTGAGAAGGCGGTAGAGACGTTAAAGGTTTCAAGAGAAGACCTTGTTCTCGGTCATCTGATTCGACACTCAATTGAAGGTACGAGACACTTCTCGATAGCGAACCAATAATAGGCCAAGCTCTTGACATGTCACCATTTCCCATCTAAAAACGCGTCAAATTGGTTCAATAGTTGAGTGTCGCCTCTCTTACATCAGTAAAAGCGATTATACTCAAAGCTTGCAAGTTTTCGACGGACATGCTGTCCATACCTGACAAAAGGACTATGCTTCTGGATTTCGATATCCATGACTCAGTCTCCTGTTCTGATAGCTTCTCACCATCAGCGTCGACAAAGCGAACGGCAGCAAAAACTATGGCGTGGAGAAGAACTGTAAGGCAGGGTAGCTGTTCACGATTGTAAAATCGGCTCCTGAAACGGGTTTCGTGTAAAATGGGTATCCAGGGCTGAACTAGAATGAAGTATGCATCGATAACCTCTTCAAGCAGTTCTCTTGGCGGTAGTTCAGCATTGCTAGGTAACACTAAGGCCAACTCGATGTTGGGATTACCACAGCTGTCTACTCTTCTTCTCTTCCGTGGCGGTTGCTGTGACTCATTGGGTGATGACAGTGAAGCCGTTCTTGGTGTAGCGTGCTGAGGTGGAACTGAAGGGTTGTTGGCTCCATGTAATGGCAATGAGCCCCCGGCACTAAACACCAAGCCGCGAAGCTCTTGGATGAGGCTGGAGAATGCCCCGACAATTTGCGAAGAGTCGGATAGAGGAACAGTATGAGTGATGTGTGAGCCATCGTATACTGCACTTTCAAGAGCCTCTGCCTTTGTTAAAAAGTGTCGACAGCCATACAGTTTTACATACGTACCAACTCTTCGACTAAGACCTTCAATAACTCCAGTCTTGACACCAGGTTTATTCTTCTTCAGATCATAGATACAGGGTGAGTCTCCTAACCTTCGACAATGATTGCACGTAGGCTGATCTCTCGAACATTTCAGTTTACGTCTTCGACATCCTTGACACGAAGGAACCTCGGTATCGGCAACAGTGGATCCATTCCCAGCGCTGGGCGATTGTATGTTTTGATGATTCATTTGACTGACGGTTGACCCGATGCCCGATGGATGAGATGCAGGTGGGAAAGTCTTGAAGAAGCGGAGTTGCTTCTCGCCGATCAATGAAGACCAAAAACAAGCTGGGCTGGATCGCTTCCCCATGGGGAAACGGTCCTTAAGCGGGCCAATGGTAGATGTAGTGAAGGTCCATCTTCAGGCGCTGGCTTCGGAGATTAATGGCCCGATGCCCGAAGTTACGGTTGAGTCTCACACCACTCGTATTCCAATGAGCCTGATAGTAATTCATGGGCTTATAACACTACCATGTTTGTCACATCGCGACCTTTGAGCCTCGATTCGAACTAATCAACAGACGAAAATGCCTCCCTTACCAGGATTCTCCGACAATCAGTTCGAAAGTCGAGACGACTTTATCAAAGCAATCATTGCCCTACTTGATCCCCTCAAGAAATACTTCTCACCAAACAAATCTACAATTAAAATACCAGTAGCGACGGGAGCACATTTCGATGAGTCGGCTGCGCAGCTAGAGGGTTTCGCTCGCCCCCTATGGGCGATTGCCCCATTACTCTATGGTTACGATTCTATCAACAACAACAACAAAGAGTTAGCATCTCGAGTTGACGAGTTGGTCCAACCATGGGTTGACGGTCTCATAGCTGGGACAGACCCTGAGCATGTCGAATATTGGGGATCTATCAAGGATATGAGCCAGCAAATGGTAGAAGCGGAAATGATTGCATTCGCACTTATTGCAGCCCCGAACAGGTTTTACAATCCGCTAAACGACAGACAGAAAATGAATGTCAAGTCTTGGCTGAGCTCTATCAATGGAAAGGAAATGCCTCCAACGAATTGGCGATGGTTCCGTGTGTTCTGCAACTTGGCTCTGGTCAAGACTTGTGGAGTGCCTCCATCTCAAGTCCAAGGCAATATGGATGCAGATCTTCAGTTGTTGGACAATTTCTATATTGGCGGTGGTTGGTCAGCCGACGGACCTTGGCAAACTTCTGAGCAAGCCGATGAAGAGCGGAGCGTAGCCGTCAAGACTGGTCGTTATGATGGAATTGGAGTAGGAAGACAAGCGGACTATTACTCTGGCAGTTTTGCTATTCAATTTAGTCAGCTTATATACTCCAAGTTTGCTGTCGATATAGACGAGGAGAGATGCGAGACGTACCAACAGCGGGCCCGTGATTTTGGTGCCGACATCTGGAAGTACTTCGATTCAGAAGGTAAGCCGCCTAATAAACTGTCAAATTCAGCATTAACTCACATACCGCAGGCTCTGCTATCCCATTCGGTCGGTCCTTGACATACCGGTTTGCTTGTGGAGCATTCTTTGGTGCCTTGGCCTTTGCCAAAGTACCTAATATGCCGAAGCCATTGGACTCACCAGCAGCTGTCAAGGGCTTCCTTACACGGCATATGAGATGGTGGGCACAAAACTCATCCGAAATCTTCGCTACCGATGGTACTCTGACAATCGGGTGGCTCTATCCGTAAGCTTGAGCCTACTCTAGATCCCTCCCACTCACCGGGCTTCTTATCACCAGATGTGTCACAAGCAAACCCCGAGTAGCTCCTCCCACTAACAATCAGTAGGAACATGTATATGAGTGAAGACTACAATTCTCCTCAATCGCCGTATTGGTCTCTCAAGACACTGATAGCAGTCGGACTGGCATATGATGACGAGTTCTGGACCTCGGAAACACTACCATACCCCGAGTTCGACCCTCCGAGTCAACTTGTCCGGGCCCCCCAGCAGATTCTCTGCAACCATCCGCTTGGAAACCACCACTTTATGCTCACACCTGGCCAATTCGTGGCTTGGCCGATGAAAGCAAACCAAGCAAAATATTGCAAGTTTGCCTACTCTTCAGCTTTTGGCTTTTCCGTCCCCACAGGACCACTGATCAAGCAAATTGCTCCGGACAATCAACTGGCGCTGAGTAGAGATGGCGGAGAGAACTTCGTGGTCAAGTGGAAATGCTGCACTGTGAAATTTGGTATCATCTCAAGTACAACAGATCGCAACATTGCAGAGAGCATTCAGTTTGCAAAAGTAACATGGTTCCCTTGGAATGATCGACATGTAACTGTCGACTCCGTTCTAATTCCACCTACTGACCAATGGCCGGACTGGCATGTCCGAGTGCATCGTATACGTTGCAATAATACCATCCCTTCTCTTTTTACAGTCGAGGGGGGGTTTGCCATACTTGGCCAAAACGCGACCTTTGCAATTCCAGATGACGCTACATCTGACATGTCTGGGAAAGACCTATCAAACGAAACTTCGACAGTCATCTCATCGGCAGATGGAACAAGCGGCGTCGTGATCGAAGCTTTTCTAAATCGCTCGAGGACAGCCGCCGAGGCTTACCCTCTCAGACCAGATTCGAACACCAATATCGTCAGACAGAGAACACTTATTCCAGTGGCTGCTGTGTCAATTCCACAACCTCTTGAGCCCCACACAGAACTACTTATAATTACTTCAGTCTTTGCTCTTTCATCAAAGGCCAATGGTGGAGTGTCGAGAACTGGAGTCTCTCTGAAGCAGAGATGGTTAAACCGCCCTTCAATTGGTATGGAAAGCATCGATGAGGCGTTGAGCGACTGATAGGAAGATAAGGCAAAGAGACAGATAGGACGAAATGTTGTAGCAAAAGGGTATTCATGCATGATGGGTTATCTAAAGCCTACTTGGCTCTGTCGGGATCGAACTGACACAACTTATGCCAATGCCTTAGCTTACAATTGAGATTTGGTTTAGAGTAATCGATTCTTGGATTTCATAGACTGCACATTGTTTCAACTCTGTAGGCCAGATTAATTTCACATTATCCAACGATGGACAACCATGACAGAATATCGGAAGAAATTCTTTGATCTTAGACCTACAGACTGGGATATGAATCGGAGTCGCGGACAAACTTGTCTTCCGAGCCTCCTCTATGACTCATGCGTGACCAAGAAACTAAGACTTACTCAAATAGTATAAGAGCGAGCTCTCATTCGTGAATTGTTCGCGAAGGCTTTACAAAATCTGTTCAGTAAGAGTAAAAGTTCTCGCAATCATAACCTTTCATTTTCATCATGCCGTCAGCAACTCAAAAAGACCAAATTGCCCTCGTCCCTTGGGACCCCGCCTCGGCCCAGCACGTGAAAAGACTGTACGAACAGAGAGTGCAATGTGGTTGGGATAAACAGCGAGTTGAAGGGTGGAGAGAGAAGCAAACTACAGGACGAAAGTGTATCTTCTGGATCGTAGGTTTGCCGGTTGCCTAGCATCCTCGTGGCTACTAATCTCTTGTTAGACGCTCCCTGAGGACCGCGAATTGCTTCAACTTCATTTGGATGCATTCCCTTCTGTAAGACTTAGGTTTCAGAGATACAGAAAGATCAATCTAACAAACATATAGGAGCGAGAACCGCTAGTTGATACAGCCGCAACTCTCAGAGCAAAGCCACGAACACCATCGCAAACAAAGAAATTCTACCCAATCGGTCACATTTCACTGGACGACACCAATGAGAAGCCCTGTGATGTTCTTGATCTTCCCAAGGAAGGCGTTTATTGGATCAAGACCTTTTACATCTCCAAGGCACTACGAAGCAAGGGTATTGGTAGAGCGGCGATGGATCTAGTGGAATCCATGGCGATTGATTACCCGCTATGCGCCAAGACATTGGCACTCGATACTGCTCAGAAGGATATGCAGAAGAAGATTCACAAGGAGAAAACAGGAACAGAGCTAGGTGTAGGTTTCGAGTTTCGTAATAGGTTGCTGGGCTGACATTCTTCCAGTCTACTAACCAGGATTGGTATGAGCGACGCGGTTACAGGTTCGTTATATTGATATGAACTGTATGACTCGAAGACTGACCTTCAGGCTAATTCATTCGGAACCCGCATTCTATTTAGACGACGACGAACCCCCAGTAGACGCCGTTTTCTTGAGAAGGGATATTGCGTAGCGTCATGCATTGACTCGCAGATACTCAGTGAGGCCTAGCATACAGCATAGCTTCGTAATGTTTAGATCAAAATCTTTACAATTTACATACACCACCCCTACAAAGCGCAGATCTCTCTTATATCTGAACTTTGATTGAACCTCCAGAACCCACTTGTCTGCTTGCTGACACTATTTGGGGTTTGCTAGTAACACATCAAGGAGATAAGATGCCCGGCAATGTGTACTATGCCAGAGAAACTTGTTCTTTCTTTTTGCCTTCTTCACTGGCACAGGTCTAAAATCAAGCATGTTGACAAGGACTTAGCGTTGGGATTTGTTGTATGCCCAGGATATCCACCCTCGAGCGACTTTCTCGGCTATTTTTCTTTCCCAAATTTCTCGCTCTCGCATATAAGTCAAGGTCGACGCCCTCTTCGTAATAGAGCGCTCCTTGGGAGGCGGAAGCAGTCTATATGTCGTAGGTATCAATGCTTTAGAGCCCAGAGAGGAGTCAAGGATATCGTATAAGAGGGGCGCTCTTGGTTTTGTCATGTTGGCTGTATGGTCTCTTGGGAGGTACAGCTGCTCGGGTCGCTTTGGCTGTTTCGTCGTGGATCTGTGCTGTTGGATGTTCTGTTTTGGTTTCAAGCAGGTAACTTGATATAAGGGTGCTAAGTTTTTGAAGACAGCTTCGATGATAGAAAGGTGTAGTCACAGAAGCAACTGGTTGTAGACAAGGTGGTTTGGATAGGTAGGCCAAGGCAGTGTCGTTCGCCGGGATGCTTAGCAAGAGTCCATCATATGCCGGGGAAGGTTGTATGGCAATTAAGTGTATTCCCGTTTTGGACCCCTCTGTGGCATGGCATAATATTTTGAAGGACATGCCCCTGAAAGAAACTCAAAATTGAAGCCGTGTTTTATATCCAAATCAACCATGTATAAAAGTTTAGGGGACACTGCCAGTGATAAAGTTCAAATCTGAGTATACCACCTGGTAACTGTAATGGTTTCCTCGAAGACGTAATTTGTGCTTGATTTGTTGTAATAACCTGTAGATTTGATATACGGCGCGGGCAAAGTTATGTACAGAACTCGGAGTAGCCTCATAAAACTCAACATCATAAATCAACTAGTCCCAGGCTTCAAAGAAGCGCACAGCCTGGTAGAAAGCCTCATCCTTGGCAAATGCTTGCTGAGCATCTGAAGCATTAGCACGAACCGCAAAGCCATGAGTCGTACCACTGTACAGAGTTGAAGTGAAGGGTTTGCCAATCTTGGTGAGAATGGCATTGGTCTCTGCTTGTCTCGGCTGAGGAAAGATGTCGTCCTTGGCTAAACACTGTTAGTAACAAGCTTTCGATAATGGCATGCGGCATAATTACCAGCACCAGCAATAGAGACAGGCTTCGCTACAGCTTGAATCTCATCAGTCTGCAACAAACTAGGATGCGCCGTGAACCCAACATCTACGCCACCCTTCTTATCAAGCTCACGGAAGACATATCGACCACCGTAGCAATACCCCGAAGCAGCAACCTTTTTAACTTTAAGTTCCTGGCGGATGTACTTGATTGCCTTGGCGACAACTGGATCAGTCACGCTGGGAGGATACTTGGCAAGAAATTCGGTCACGTTGAAGCTGGGTTCATCGCTTGGCGCAGGGGAACCTCTGAAGAGATCGGGTGCGACAGTGATGTAACCCTCCTTGGCAAATCTGTCGGCCAATCTGCTACAGGTTAGTATGCATTGAGAAGTTTGGATTGCCACTTAAATTTTATTCTCTCTTAGTGTGAGCCCGTAGATATCTGTCAATAGCAGCACACCAGTTGTACTTCCAGGCTTCTTGTAGCCTAGAGATCTGTGAGGCTTCGATACGTAAAGAGCCACTGCCGATAAACAATTAGTAAAGGTATATAAATGCCGTGAAACAGATGTGCTAATTTACATCCTTGGTACTTGATTTCTTCACCCCTCAATCGACCAACCTCGGAAGCCGAACTTTCCGCTGCGACCCCGATTGGGGAAACAGAAGATACAAGCGAGAGTATAAGAGTAATTGGGTTCAGAAGCTTCATTTTCTTGAGAATCTCAGTCAATCAGACGGTAGAAACCAAGAACGTGAAGGTGAGAAGAGGGGTTCGATATAAAGTATAACGTTATATAAGGTTTTGTTGAGCTTAGTAACCCTTCCGTAATCGACACAAAGGCAGGGAAGGCCAGACGATAACCAAGGTTAAAAAGTCTCTGTCGTCATGAATGCTACTGCAAAAGACTCACTAATCCTGTTCCTGGCCTGGAAACTTCGGAGTCATGCACGCCGCCGTACGACGCTGGAGCGGGGTTCAGGCGTCGGAGATTTATTGTATGCTTATTCACGATAACTTGCTAAGGATTTGTACTGCTATTGGCTACTAAATATATACGTAACAAAGTGTATTCCCCTGCTCAGGTACCTGGTCTTGCTCATGGCAAAGGGATAGACTGCTTGTGGTTGATGAAAAGACCCTCGGGGTCGTAGCGAGCCTTAATCTGTTTGAGACGCTGGTAGTTGCCGTCGTACAAACGAGAGCTCCATTCCGCCTCGGTAAGCTCGGTATCAGCATAGTTGACGAAGCCACGGAGCTTAGCACCGCCCTTGACAAGAGCTTCCTCGAAGGGCTTGATGCCGGCTCTCATATAGGCGATACCGTCGCTGGGGTAGGCGCCAAAAGCATTCGAATCCCACCGAATCAGCCAGAGGTTCGAACCGTGAGCATAGGCAGTGTCGCTGTCCTTGATAGAGCGGGAGACACCGCCCCAGAGGTCCATGTATCCGAACTTGGTCATGTCAGTGCGGTTGAAAGCAAGGGTAGTGCCCTCAAAAAGGATCTGGGCTTGCTTGACAGTAAGAGGGTGGTCGGTGGTGGTAGTCAAAGACTGGGTGTAGAAGGCTCGGCCTCCGAGAGCTCCACCGTTGGGTTGGTTCATACCCGGGCCAGCGACCGCGACTTCCAAATCCCACCAGGGAAGGACAGTGCTCTTGACCGCAACGTTAGAGTTGATGGTCTTGAGCTTCTTGACAAGAGGGGCCATGACGCTGTCAAACTTGTCAGGGTTACCGTAGAAGTAACCAGTGCCATCATAGGGAGGAGCGTTCATGCTCCAGCGGAAAGCCCAAGTATCGGGGCAATCCTTGCTCAGGGAGTAGTCCTGAATGGCGATTAGAGCCTTGGCTCCAGCCTCGGGGCTAAGGTCGCCCATCGAGAGGGTAAAGTTGATAGCCTTGTCGAACTGAGGCTTGTGAGTCTTGGTCTTGGTAGAGAGGATGATGCCGTAAGAAGCACCAGCGCCTTGAGCGGCCCAGAAAAGGTCAGAGCCCTTCTTGGCGTTGACGATGGTTCCGTTGTACAGCATGTACTCGATCTCAACAAGGTTGTCCATAGGAGTTCCAAGGAATCGCGATGTAGTACCAAAGCCTCCTCCAATACTAGAGCCAGTGACGCCAACGTGTGCACCACGGACGTGAGGAATGTGGCGGCCAGCAGTATCCCAGAGATACTTGAGGACAGGCCCGACGTGGGTGCCTCCTCCGAAAGTAAGAAGGGTAGACTTCTTGTCATAGCTGACCTCATCAAAGGCGGCCATGTTGATAACGAGGTTTCCGGGATTTCCGAAGCCATTGCCTTGGAATGAATGCGCAGGCCCGAGAGCGTTGGCCTTGACCTTTGACTCACGCGCGCACTTCAGAGAAGCGGCGACTTCATCACGGTTCTCGGGGAAAGCGACAGCCTCTGGGTCTGCCTTGAGACGCTTCTGGAACATGACAGTTTCCTGAGCCCAAGAGCTGTCCGTGTCGATGACATTGCGGACACCAGCTTTGTCGAGACACTTGGTAAGGACCTCAGCCTTGTCCTGGGCCAAGACTGCAGGAGTCAGAGAGAGAAGAGCGACGGCGAGGCGTCGAAGAGATGGTAGAGAGTCCATGTTTGATGGTCAGTGCGGATCGACACTGGAGAAGGTGAGATATTAAGTGGAAGGTTAAAGGTTGTATTTATATTGACTTTTTGCTTTGGTAGCTCCAGGTTCTTCTCGCTTGACCAATCTAACCGACACTTTGGTCCCCGATTGTTGTCAGTTTTCATCATGCAAATGCTTGTCTTGGAAAAAATGTCACCAAACCCTTCTAAACTCGGAAGCGTCCCTCAGGGGAATCAACGCTGGTTCCAATTGCAGCCACACTTTATCTCACATCTACCGGCATTGGACTCCTTTAACCTCTTGGGTGGAGAAGCTCTACAGAACAAGGTCGCATTGAACGTTGTATCTCCACCGTTACCAGGTTCGGGCCCTTCGGGGTGTCTGCTTCCGGATCCTTGACCTTCTTTTTCCAGCTCTTCTTCCGTATTACTACGGATAAGGAAGGGATCTCTGCTGTAACAATTCATGCTATTTCCTAAAACAACCTCATGGGCTTATCCGTTGATCAAATTTAGCCTGATGGGCAAAGCGGATATGGCTGGTCGTAGGATCAAAGTAATGAATATAGTGCGGCGTGACGAGTCAAAGGAAGACTGCGTGATCACTCCATGTAATACACATTTGTGATAAATTCTGAGAAGGATGACTTGAAGTTATGTAAAAGTGTCAGCGCGGGCGTTTCGAGCTTACCATTGTCGCATGAACCCCTGCATCCAACACGCTAGTTGATGGAACCCTGGAGACTTCAAAATAGGCTCAATTGCTGTTGTGAACCTTTTCCGCAATACTCATATGACAATATTGTCACATAAACCATGTGGATAGTTTATCTATTATTTACCGAACAACCCGGCGAGGCAATTTGACTGGTGAATGACAATGTATACTCCTGATCCACGAAACAATATCAAGAAAATTAGACTAGTGGGTCATTTTGCGATAACGAGCTGTAGGGTGTCAAAAGAATTAGCTGTCATTGTCATAAGTGTAACAGATGAAATAATTTAGTCATTTTATGTCTATTAAGATGGGCATTTAGGCCACTTAATTTTAGCACCCTAAGCCTTGGAAGATATCTCTCGGTTACCTTGACGAGATGATTAATTGATAAGCACTGAGATAATGATTGATATATAACTTAACAAATACTTGAATCTAGATTAAACATATAAGAGTCTATGTAGCATCTGAAATGAAGAGAGAAGGAAAGAAAGAAATCTATGAATCGCCTGCTTCTCTATCCAGAGACTGGGCCTTGCACATGTCCGAATACATTCCGCCTCTGGCTTGAAGCTCTTCATGAGATCCAGCCTCGGCTACCTGTCCACCGACAACCACAAAGATAATATCCGCATCTCGAATTGTAGACAGTCGATGCGCAACTGCAATTACACTGCATCCACTCTCCTTCCTAGTCTGCTCAAGAGCCTCTTGAACCAATCTTTCCGAATGAGTATCCAGGGCTGAAGTTGCTTCGTCAAGGAGAAGAAGCTTAGGTTTGCGGATAAGCGCTCGTGCAATGGCAATGCGTTGGCGTTGTCCACCAGAAAATGCTGCGCCGCGAGCGCCACAAGGAGTGTTGAATCCTTCGGGGAGGGATGTAACAAAGTCGAGAACGTTCGCTTGGCGGGCTGCCTCGTTGAGGCATTCATCGATTGAGTCGGTAACCTCATCCTCCAAGCCCATCAAGATGTTTTCTCGTACAGTTCCTTCGTACAGAACAGGCTCCTGTTGGACGATAGACATCTGTGAACGGAAAAGCCGAGGGGAAATATTCTTGATGTCTTGTTGGCCGACGCATAGCTTACCACGGGTCGGGTCGTAGTAACGCTCAAGCAGGGAAATCAAAGTTGACTTGCCGCATCCGCTTGGTCCGACAACCGCGACAAACTGAGAAGGGCTGATATCCATACTCAAACCATGAAGAACCTTGGTGCTTCGGTTCTTGTACCTGAAGTGGACATCGTCAACGGAAATAGCTTGGTCGAAATCGGGACCGCTGTCCTTGTTTTCATCAGTTTCTCGAATAACGGTTGTCTCCTCACCACGGAGATTGAAGAGGTAGTTGGCAGCCCCTTGGGCCATCGTGAGACTAGTTAGGTTGGCAAACAATTGTGCTGCTGACTGTCCTGCGAACAAAATACCGAGGAAAATGAGGAAGAACTGCTCAGCAGTATATTCGCCAGAGGTCATGAGTTGCGAGCCGTACCAGAAGCCAAGGGCCATCACAAGAAACTCGATTGATTGCGAGAAAGCATATGCAGTCATAGAGATAGAGAGTGACTTCACAGACTTGGCGACAATACTGGAAAGAGTCTCAGAGTACTGATCGATAAAGTCATTCTCGGCAGTCAAAGATGCAACGGTTCGCAAAGCGGAAACAGCCTCGCTAGCAAGACTTGCGCTCTCGCGAAAACGTGCCTCGTTACTGTCATGTAGTCTGGACTCAAGACGGACTTTGAAGTATCCAGATCCCATTAGGAGAGGTAGACCAGCGAAGATCATGACAAGAGCAAGCTTCCATCCATATGCAAGTGCAAGAATCGAACTGGCAGTGATATTGGCAATCATCACAACGATGACAAAGATGTTCAGACCAAGAAGCTCCTGGAGGTGGTCAGGGATCGACGAGAGAATAGAGGCTAGGGCGTTGGATGAGTTTTCGGTTCGGTCAAAGAACTCAATGTCCAGACCAACCATGCGGGTGAACAACTCAAGGCGGTAGCGGTACGAGATTGCTTGACCAACATGGCTGGAAATGTACCCAATGATGCCGTAAGCGACCAGGTTCCCGAGAGCGATGACGAAGAACATGAGGGCGTAAAAGTTGGCGTCCGAAGCAGAGGGCTCAATGGAGAAGGCAGTGATAATTCGTGAGAAGAGAATAGCTTGACCAGGCCACGTCGCCGCAGCAAGAGCGCAGCCGACAGCAGAAACAATGATAAGAGGGAGAAGAGCTCTTTGCTCCTTGACGATGAGTAAGATGGATAATAGAATGGATCTATTATTTTGCTTGGCCTTGTCCAAAGCTATGGACTTCTGAGTCTGAACCGTCATGGTTCGCTCCAGAGTGTCATCCGTGTCGAGCTCATCCGGGCTCTCCTTAGAAATGACCTCTGTCTTGTTGTCGTGATCCACAACAGTGAGATTCTGTGCACGGATGAGCCTAGCGTAATGAGCATCAACAGCTAGAAGCTCATCATGAGTACCTTGCTCGACAACTTGGCCGGCGGAAATGACCACGATGTTATCGGCGTTCTTGATAGTCGATAGTCGATGGGCAATAATGAGTGTAGTCCGTTGCTGGGAAACACGTGATAAGGCCTTCTGCACAATTCGTTCGGCAGTAGGGTCGAGAGCGCTGGTGGCTTCGTCAAGCAGTAGGATCTTGGGGTTTGAGACGACACTGCGAGCGATAGCAACTCTCTGCTTCTGGCCGCCACTGAGGCTGCCACCTCGCTCGCCAAGGTAAGTATCGTAACCGTTCTCCAGATTCTTAATAAACTCGTGTGCGTAACTGGCCTCGCAAGCTTCTTGAACCAGCTTCCTCTGCTCCTCCGTGGGGAGAGCTTTCTGGGCTTCGGTGAATCCCCTGGACACGTTCTCAAATACGGTGCCTCTGAAGAGCACAGGTTCCTGGGAGTGGCGTTAGCTGAGCCCAATCATGGTATCATTAACGCTTACCTGTTGAACGAGAGACATCTGAGATCGGAACCATTTGACATTGAGAGTTGACACATCCACACCATCAAGCAACAGACGTCCTGAGGTTGGCATATACCATCGCTCTAACAAGCCAATGACGGTACTCTTACCAGAGCCACTCGCGCCGACAAAGGCTGTCGTCTTACCAGCGGGGATGTCCAGGCTGATGTCCTTCAACACTTGTGTATCAGGTCGCGAAGGGTATGAGAAAGAAAGATTCTCGGCCTGTATATGTCCATGGCATGTTTGAGGGACCGTGCCCTCATCGACAAGAGGGTCTAGAAGAGATGGCTTGTCGAATATCTTGAACAGCTCAGATGCTGCTGCTGCGCCGTTGGTAAGGGCTGGGATCTGAGGGTACAGTAGGCCGATCGACGATGAAGCGAGGAGAGCGGAGAGAACGACACTATAAATCGAATGTTAGAATGGCCAGGAGATGAGTAAGATATGAGGTCTTACGTGAAAACAGTGCCAACAGAATCAATCTCGCCGTTTTGATACATGCGGAAGCCTTGCCAAAAGGCCAAGGCATTCCCAGAGTACATGCAAAAGTACGTAGACGAGCTCATGACTCCCCAAAGAACCGACTTCTTCTTACCATAAGCATGAGCTTCCTTGAGATATTGATGATAACGGTCGACCATTCTGTCTTGAGCCCAGAACGCGTGGATTGTCCTGATCGATGCCAGAACCTCTTGTGCGAAGACGTTGGCTTTTGAGTGAGTACCCGTGATTCCTGCTTCGATGGGCGCAGCAATTGTCATGCCGACACCCATGATGAAGAAGAATAGAGGCACGACCGTAAGTGTGATGAGGGCTAGCTTCCATTGAACTGCGATCGCCACCACGAAAGCTGAGACAAACATGGAGAGTCCTTGAACCAGGAGAGACAACTTCTCAGCGATACCTTGGTTGATTCGAGTGACATTGGTAGTCATCTGAGTTGCAGGGGACCCTACGTTGGCCGTATCAAAGTACCAGATCTCGGTTCGTAGAAGCTTTTCGAGAAACTTCTGTCTGAGTACTCGTGTTGTTCGGATACCGGATATCGTGATAGACGTTGTTGCGATGTAGGCAAGGATGAATCTATACGAGTTTTTAAGGTCAGTTTGCAAGTCCTACAGGTCAAATCAACAGAAAGAGTAACAAACTTGGCAACAAAGAGGTAGATAAACCAGAGCAGGAAGGAGTTGACTTCAGATTTGAAGTCGTCAGTGTCTACTGAACCTCCAGCAAAATCTGCAAATTTTCCTGTGAATTGTCCGAATATGATCGTCATTAAAGGCATGGTTGCTCCGCTCGCGATTGAACAGATGAGTGATGTGATGTTCAAGAACATATCGAGACGATCAGCAAATTGGAAAGCGCGCTGTTAGATATTAGTTTCCTTTATTATTGTCATACCGAGGAACCTTGGATTTACCCATAGATCACCCATCTTTGCTTGTTTCTCTCCATCATCTTGTATAGTTGTTGTCGTGGGTTCCTCGACAAGGGTCTTCTTTTCGTTCTCGAGATCCATATTGCGTGTTTGTGAGGTTGTAACTGTCATCCGGTGAAGGGTATAAAAGGAACAAATATCTAATTAGTAAATATTAAAAAAGAAACCGATAGATGCTCAGAAGGCACTGGAATGAAAAGATGAGATTGCTTTATTAATGAGATTGAACAATTCTTGCGGAAGCATTGAATACTTGTAATACTCGACCTGAGAACTGATCTAAACCCAAGTGAGTTCAGTCGTAAGGCTCATCCTAGATTAGATCATCCCTGGAGATGATCGATCCACTGTAGTATCGAACCCCTTATCTTAGCGGGCCCGTGGAAGAAAGGGTATCCAATCGTCAAGATCACCGCTAACTGTGCTAGGTTAGTGGCCCCCGTCACTCGGACCCCGCGCTTCCACGGGGCCGTGGGAGAATACCTCAGCATAAGCACAATCTGTGTCTTCCCAATATCCGTCCTCCCGTTCTCCCGTGAAACCGACATTAATTCTACGACGAGTTTCAAAACCTGAAAGCGACTACTCAGTACTTCATGTCTGGGGAGGAGACAATCTTGGCAAGGCGACTTCGTCTTTCCCAGGTCCCAAGAGCGGTACGTACCATGTAAAACCACCAATCCTCGAGATCTACACTAAGTTTTGTTGAGGTTTGATGATGGTGAATTCGCTTCACTCATTTTCTTCCGAGACAAGGTTTCTCCTCTCTAAATTTTGAGCTACAAGATTGGTTCGAATGAAAGATTAGTTCTTGTATTTACTAGAGTAGCCTTGTAGGACTGCATTGAGGCGTACGCTAACTATGAATAGTGTGAAGCATGCAAAGTTCGCAAGGTAGTCCGAGTCAACTCCATTAGTTAAGGATATCTCAGCTGAACAATGCCAGATTCGTTGCGATCGATCCCACCCCTGCGGCAACTGTAAAGCTGCCGGCATAGCTTGCCAACAAGCCCATTCCGGGCCATCATCAGAGGCCCGTCCTAAACATGACAATAGGGTATCCCAACTGTAAGTCCCTCAGCCCTCTACTACAATCATACTGACCATAATCAAAGAGAAGAATATGTGGCTACCCTCGAAGCTAGGCTGACTAAAGTCGAGGCTCGGTTAGACAAACAGCCTGCGGAATTATCCTCGCCTATACCTGCACCCTCGACTAAGAAACCAGATTCTACTGTCTCTCCAGCTGTCTCTTCTGAGCCTAGTGTATACGATGTTGCCCCGTCGCCCGTCGGTAACTTGTACGAAGGGAGTTCATCCTTCATCGGTCAGTTTCAAGTTGCCAGTGAAGAGATCAAACGGTCCGTGGCTGCGGAAACGCCAGAGGGACAGCAAACGATTAGTGAATCGTTCAGTCAATTACACTCGATACTTCATAGTGAGGACAATAAGAAGCTTATGAGCGGTCAAACGCGGTCTATACCAGAGATCGTTCCTCTACCAGCTTCCATTGTGCTCACGGTGTTACGTACCATCAAAGGTGAACAGTTTTCCTATTCTCACCATTCCAACGCTGAATGAGTGTCTAACAAAAACACAGCAAATCCAACTCGCTTTCTGCCAGGCCAAGCTATTACTGATTTCAAGCTGATCGAGCATTTCTGCCAAAAGGTTTACTTTCCCACAGAACCAGTAACTCTCGGTCATATCACAAGTGTCAATGGTATCATGCGTCTCCTCCTCAGAGAATTCATCATCACCGAACATCCTTTGAGCAAAGAGCATGATTTGAAGGCATTGAAAGCTCAAGCTGAGCGAAACTTCGATCTGGGACTTGAAACGTTTGAGACTTTGACGGTGCCTAGTTTTGAAAATGTGGTTGTACTCACAACTGCCGTAAGTTCCAGAATCTTGTGTCATGAAATCATGTTACTCATATAACTGTGTAGGTTTTAAAAATCCAGAACGAGAGTAAACCAGTCCTCGCTCGCACTCTTGTAAACGCAGGCCTCAGTCACTGCCAAATGCTGGGTTACCATCGCGAAGTCACATATCAGAAAGACCAAAGCGGTTTTGCTGAGAACAAACGTCGTCTATTTTGGACGCTGTACGTCATGGACAAGACTAATTCCATTCATCTGGGCAATGCGTCTAGGATCCAGGACATTGAGGTTGACGCACATTGGCCTGCTGTGCCAGATGATCTTGCCGAAAAACCCTGGATTGAGCTTTTCCATCTGGTCATTAGGCTGGCTAAAATTCAAGGTTTGATTTTTGACAAACTATACTCTGTTGCTGCATTGCAATCTCCGGCTGTGGAGCGAAGACAGTGGATTGACTCCCTAGTTGCTGACGCTCATCGATGGAGACATGACTTGGACAACGTAAAGGCTTACCCACCCACATTTAAGCTTCTCTATACTGATATCGTCACAGGTAGATGGTAGCCAAGTCCGATTCAAGAAGATCTTGGCGCTTTCTATGACCCATTGGGATATTCAGTATTACTCAACCCTCACCACACTTCTCCGAGCACCGGCTATGCCGGGCGTTGGAACAGATATGACTTCACAATGTTTTCAGGCCGCCAGACTCGCTCTGAAGAGCCATTTACGCGCATTCGCTGGCTATGGCGGAGAGAAAATGTTCACAAAGGCAGACTACATCGACTGGTAAGTATCTGTAGCTCACCATTGGACGTCAGCTTACATGAAAAGGGCTCTTCATAACTCCTCCTTCACCCCCTTCGTCGTAACCTTCCTCCACTCCATTGCAGCATCCAGCCTTGAAGATGTCAGCCTTCTTGAGGAAGTAGTCGACACATTTCGCCACGCGCGTGAAATTCACGCCGGTGCCGAGAAACTCTACCAGATCTGTGATACATTCGCACGACTAGCCCGACGGATGGTGGAGTCACAAAACACGTCAGTGGGCATGTATGATCAGAACACCGATTCGCTTCAGGTGGCGGGTGTTTCTGAGAACTTACCGCTCAGTTGGCCAGAATTTGGACAGCAAGTTGAAGCTGATGCTAACATGAGCGTGTTCTTAAATGATGACATGACGTCGATCCTGGCTGATTGGATCAACGGACAACCTCCTGCGGCGGAGATGTTTGCTATGGATTTTGGAGAGTAAATTTTATTTGTCTTTGTCGCAAAAGTGCCATAGTTATGAGACAGACGCGTCACCTTTTAGGTCACCTCGTGTCAGTCAGGCAACGAGATAAAGCTTGAAACCCGTACACAGACACGCAGGCAACCAATTTTGCCCGATTCTGCCAAATTGTTCTTTATGAGCCATTGTCTTAAATTTGAATGCTGTTGCCTTGTATTCCGTTTTCTCTTTCTTTGCCGCACACTACTACCAGAAAGCATGTCCTCTTCTGTCACTAGTTTTGGTGATTTATCCCGTATCATGTTATGGTAAGCATGTTGGTTCCCCAGTGTTTTACATGTCTACCTGGACAGGCAGAAGGATTCTTTGATTTTCACGAATACTTAAGAACAAACCAAAGCACTCCTTGGGGTACAAACATGATTATCCTTTCTCCATAAATCCTCTCGTACAATCGTGTCTTCCACAGCTTTGACGACCCTTCCATCTGCGTAACATACTACATCGCTTTTCTTTGGTAACATCGAGATTCTACTACAATGGCGGTATGTCTTCCAACAACCATATCCTTTTAGTCTTGCTAACATCCAGCCGACAGTCTGCTTCAGGGTATAGTGAAATCTTTCCTCGAGCATACCACCTTCTGAAATACTGAGCTTCAACAGTGTCTCCATCGACAGGGAATGCATCGTAGCAGCCAGTGCTCTACACTTCAACTCTGGTAATAAAGTCAATTTTGTTATTTTCAAAATCACCAATGACGAGCAGAAAGTTGTGCTTGAAGAAACTGGGTTCGAAACGGATTACGAAATCTTTCGACAGAAACTCCTTTCGACTGTTGATGGGTCGGGAAAGTCTGAACCGCGATATGCAATCTACGATGTAGACTATAACCTTGGAGAGGATGGAAAACGGTATGTTTGGCTACGTTATTCTATACTTGGAATAAATTCTAACGGTTCCAGAACCAAAACGGTCTTTATCTCGTGGGTCCCACAGAACTCGCCTATCAAGGTATTTATTCCGTCCATATCGTGTGCCATATAAGGTTATGCCATGCTAATGTTTTATAGCTTCGCATGCTTTACGCCAGCACTATGGAATCTCTGAAAAAGGCACTTAACATTGGTATTTTCATCCATGCAGATGGCCACGAAGATATTGAATGGCCAGAACTGATTAAGGTAGCAAGTGGTGGCAAGGCCAAGAAGTAATGCAGTCCATAGGTTACAGTACAGTAAATAGGTACGTACCTAGTACAGTGCTTACAGGGGTCCATGGGCCCATGTCACAAGCCTCATCGTCTCTTCAACTGTACCTCGGAACATGAGTGCTTTTAGTGCTTTACCAAGCAATTAGACAGCTCTTAGCTTATTCTAAACAAGATCTAAAGCCGATTTCCATGGATCTGGAACAATCAAGCTTTTCTTCCTTCTTTTTCCCCTCTCAAATGTTGATCGTAGTCGAGCTAGTGCTGCATATGATGACGTTATCACTAAACAAGACGTCTTTCAGTGGATTGGATTTGTCCTTTTGACACACACTCGCCACGCGTATCGTCAAACAAGTGTGGCTGGAAAACCTGGAATCTCTCCATTTGTCCTACAACCTACAACGTCATTCTTTGTACCAGTCGCTGTGAACCTTATTTATTTCGTTGTATTATTACTCAACTTTATCCTCGCTGACAAGTAAGGACCTACAAACATCATCTTAATCAGTCACGATGCCGCGTACGCTATTACTTTGCTTCATCCATGGTTTCAAGGTAACCATATCCTCATTCCAAGTAGGATAACACTAACATAAGCCAAGGGTACCGATAATACCTTTCATGAATTTCCATATGTAAGTAACTAGCCCAGGGTCAAAATAGAGTTAGCAGCCACTAATACTAATACTCTCAAGGACCTCAAAAGCGCCGTCGCCAAGCAACTGCCAGAAGACAAGGTCGAGTCCGTCGTCTATCCAAAGTATGAAACGTCTGGAGAACTAGCCCAAGCCTCCGAGGGCTTCCTCGAATGGTAAGCTGCCCTGTCGTATAAATCAAAGACGTCTAATGTGCGAACCATCACCACAGGCTCAAGGAGCGGGTTATGGATATTCGAAAGAAAAGGTCCGAGAAGCCATGGCCCCCTCATGATAGAGACGTCGGCGTCATCCTTGTTGCACACAGCATGGGAGGCTTCGTTGCAGCAGACTCTCTGTTCCTGGCCATAAACGAAAGAGCCAACAATGGAGATGAGAACGATCCCCTCTTCCCTTTAATTCAAGGCATTCTGACATTTGACACTCCTTACAACGGCCTAGCCCGCTCCATGTTCGTCTATGGCGCCTTCTCTAACTACCAAAAAGTCAACAGCGTCTTCAATGTCATGACAGCTTTATCTGCTGCCGCACCCGCTAGCCTTGCTCGCCTAAGTGCTGGGCGCGCCGCTACTACCGCCGTTACCACCAGTACACGAGGACCTCAGTGGAAGACATGGCAACTGGTAGCTGTCAAGACGGGCACAGTTGGCGCCATCGCAGCTGGTGGCGTAGCGGCTTACATGAATCGAGAAGCTATCATCCAAGGAATGAAGAGCGTCAAGAACATCAATAAAGAGTCCGTCGCCGAAGGATACCGCCAAAGTATGGATGCCCTCGGTCAAGGTCTGGCTTACATCAACCGCGGCAATGTTGGAAAGTCCTTCGCCTGGCTTTCAGATCACGTCACCTTCGTCGGCGCACTCCTTAGACAGAAAGAGCTTAACCGCCGGTTGGAACGTATTGGCGCACTCAAGGGTGTTGGCCTGCATGACTTTTACTGTTCCCTCGGTGAGAATGGCTACTGGAGTGGAGGCTATTTTGTCCCCGAGCGAACATTCTGTGCTGTTCCGGAAGAAAGCCACTCAGCGTACCCGATCTTCGAAAGATGTGTCATGCTCAGGGCGGATGATGAAGTCGAAGCGCACATGAACATGTTCAGGCCTGAGAAGCATCGCGGATACGAGGATATGACAGAAAAGTCGGCCGAACTTGTCAAAGAGTGGTTCCTAAACGAAGAGAACATCGTCGACGATCCCAAGTTCCGAGAAACACCACCCGAAGAGACCGAGGAAACTGAAAAGGCTAAAGAGATCCTTGAGAAAGATCCAGGTGCAGAAGGAAATGAAAAGGCCGATGGTGCGGAGGACAAGGACAAAGACGATGAATTCCCGGACGAGTCGCCTCTCGATATTGCAAATGCCGCGTCCCTTGTACCACTTCCTGACGACAAGGGAGATGATCTTATCGGCGATGCTAATATTGAAGGTGCCGACACCATCGAGAAACGAAATTACCTCAACTACCTCTTCGGCGTCGCTCAATCGGCCGGTACTAATACCAAAGGTTGGCTGCCAAACAAGATCCCTCAGATGCCAAATCTACCTAGCATGCCAAACATGCCCAAGGTCCCTAGTTCTGTGTCATCTCTGGGAAACGTTTCGATGCCCAGTATGAGAATCTGGGGCAAGAAAGAAGGTGATGCTCAAGGAGAGGGTGAGAAGCAGGATTCTGAGCAAAAGAATCTCAGTGAGTCTGAAAGTAAGACAGCTGGTGAAACCAAAGCAGAGGCAGAGGAGATGAAGGAAGCAGCAGAACAAGATAAGGCTGAGGATGATGCTCAAGAGAGTGCTGGAGACAAAACAGAGGTTGCCAACAAGATGGAGACGGAAAGTGACAAGAAAATGGGTTAAGGACAATTTGTGTCGTTTGCGTTGTTTGTTTCCTCTTACTACCTCAAATTAATGGCTGTCAGTAAATGCACGGGATATGACGTGCGTTGGGCCGAGTTGAAGAATGAACGTAATAATAAAAGAGCCTATTTCTATTCCCCAAATGGTTCCATATGTATTTCCTCCTCTTTCAAAATCTTAGCCTAGATCACTTCCAGCCTACCAGTCGATAACAATCCTTCCCTTTCCACGGCTAACACAGCTCAACATTGACTCTTTTTTCTGCTCCTCATCCAAAGCAACACCCTTATGCTCCACCTCTCCCTTACAAATATCAACCATACATGTCCCACAGTTTCCGACCAGGCATGATGACTCGATCTCGAATCCAGCGTCAGACAAGACCTGAAGAAGAGACTTTTTTCCAGGAACTTGGAGGGTCTTGCCCGTCGACTTGATTTCTGCTTCGAAAGGTTCTCCAGTTCCTGTTGTTGCGTCACCAAATTCTTCGAAATGAATGTCGGTCTTGGGATAGTTAAGAGCGGCCGTTATGGCACGACAGGCATTCATTAGAGAAGTTGGACCGCAGCAGTAAACGGCAGAAGTGTTCCCATTTTCATCTTCTGATTTGGGAATGACTTGGTCGAGATCGAGACGCTGGCCTTGATCTTTGGCATAAATGGTCGTCTTACCGAGCGGTAAACGAGACAGGTATGCAGCGTCGTTGCGGCTTCGTACAGCGTAGTGTATCTCGATGTTGGCTTGCTTACTGGACAGCCTCTCGATCTCAGTGAGAAATGCTGTAACGCCAATACCGCCAATAACGAAGATGTGTTTGCGGGCCTGTGAGTCCAAAGCCTCATCCCGTGAAATCGCAGAAGCATTGCGCCCCAGTGCGACTTTGATAACGTCCTTAACATCCAGATGGTCATGCAAATAGATTGATCCACCTCGTGAGTTGTCATCTCGAGCAACGCCCAATTCGAAACGGTTCGTAGTACCTGATACAACTGAGTAGGCACGGGACAAGCTTCCATCTGGTCCAAACTGAAGTCGAACGAAAGGGAATTGTCCAAAGTCTGAGCCCTCAACTTTCTTGTCATCGTCCTCCACTTCAAAGACGAAGGACTTGATTCGTGTAGTGAGATCTGTCTTGGACACTAACTTGTAAGATCGCCAAACCACTGGGATATTATCGCCTTCGAGACGGCCAGTCATATTCTCGGGACCATGCTCAAGGCGCTTGCGGAATATATCCAGCATCTCTTCAGATAGTGCAGGCAGAGTCGCCAACTCTCGAAACGCCTCGTAATTGTCCTTTTCATGGTACAGATAGTTCTGAACCCGGGCAAGAGACCAGGTGGGATGAATTCTTTCGACGAGCTGCATCACATCACCCTGCTCAATGAAACCCGTCTTGATAACTCGGTAGTACCAACCCATCCGCCCAGTTGACTGCGTCATAGCTGAAGCTTTCTTATGCTGAAAGCGATGGTTCAGCTTATAACAAGGCTGTCTGGGCGATGTGACTTGAATAAGTACTTCCTTTCCGACACGGTAAGTGTCACCGATGCAGACATTTAGTTCTGACATGTACATTGTTGATAGGTTCTCTCCAAAACCACCAATTTTGAAAAGGTCGTCACGGCCAGGGAGCTCGGCGTTCCACAAGTCATAGTGAGCAGCGCAGTACTGATGCAAAGCCTTTTCAGGACCGCCATGATGGATGTAATGATGTTCATCGCCCACGAGACCGAGAGGAGTAACCTCCCATTTTCCTTGACGGTCTCTCTTGTTGATAGCGCTGCGGATGTTTACCCCGCCGATCGGGCGGACTTTGCCTGTTCGCAAGCTGAGAAGGGTATCTGTGGGAGGGAGAGGAGCAGGACCTACAGCGGAGATTCCAAAGTTGGGATACATGATGGCAGTTGTTGTTTTCGGTGTTTGTTGATGTTGAGCTAATTTTGGTACGATGTTGAGTCAAACATGGAAATTTAGGCATCCTCCACTTGCCTGATAAAGCAAGTCCTCAAATCCCCTATCGTTATCACCTAGCTTAGCTCTGACTGGCTGGAGGTTCATTCCTGACTAAGGTTGGCTCTAAGAAGAGTGGCTTTGATATGTTTCCTCTTTCATATCCAATAATAATCTTCCTAATCACTCAATTATAATCTTTTCGTTTTCTCTTCCCACCCCAAACATGCCTAATATTTCTCGCCGGCCCTCCAAAGCTTCCATTGCATCCTTGAAAGCCTGAGCGGAATCAATTGTCCAAGACAACAACCTTGTACAACGCATATATCTCTCTCTTAGAACTCCAACGAGTTCCTGTTTGTTCTTATACGATCCCAGCCATGACTCAGGCAACTCAAAGATGTCGTCAACTGATCTAGGGAATAAACTCGATTCTTGCTTGAGGGCTATCGAGATTAATCCATTGAACCGTTTGAAAAGAAGACCCCAGGCAGCTTTCCAGCCACTTATCTCAGCCTCGATTTTGCCAGACTTTTCTTTCCGTCTGTGCGGTTGCTTCTGGGAATCGTCAACCGTAGAGAAGGTTTCCAGAACCTTACCACAATAGGTCAGGTCGTCCTGTGCTGCGCTCAAGTCTAATTCGGCCAATTTTTCAAAGATTTGCACGCTCCAAAAATGCTCAAGTCCCAAAAGCTCTGTAAAGAAATCGTCGACCAACGATGACTCGTGCTTGCTGGTCCAGTCTGGGTCTTCTTCAAGTTGGAGCCTCCAAGCAGTGACATCATCTTCCGAAACAGATGGTGATTCGATCTCAGTGATGACCGCATATCTGGAATAAAGGTTCATGGCGTCCATACGTTGATTCATCAGAAACGAATCAGCTGAGTTGCATGTGATCAATCCGTCTTCCCTTGGTTGAATTAGATATCTCCATTGGTACAGGAACGTAATAATATCCAGGGTCAAGGGATAGGTTGCTTCGAGGATACATGTTCTGTCGAATTCCGGATGTTTACTGTAGAGATGCTGCTTGCCTATCGAGTATATGATTGCAGATGCGCATGGGTAGATAAGCTTATACGTAATGACGTTGTCTCGACGGATATGTTTGTCAGCGACAAAGAGTGTTTTGCAGCCTGGGATCTTGACCAAAGCCAGGAAATCACTCGACACCAGGATTCGTTCTGGTGTGTTTCGTAAAGTTGCCATTGGACCACTGACGGCGAGGGTTACCACGCCTTGGCGAAGCACTCGGTAATGGTTCTCTCTATGGACACCATCAATTGTGCTGTTTGGCGACAAGCGAATGAAGTCGGTACGTTTCAACTCTGCAATCTCGTATCCCGACGTAATGAGACAGCCTGTTTCAGCATCCACGGCTCTGTAATATCTTTCCGGGTCTGGTTCTCCTGTCTCAATTTCAGAGGTCGAAAGCGTGACGTTCTTGCGAAGGGATTTCATCGAGCGGCTCCAGATGGGTTGAGATGATGTCGAACTAGGTACCAATAGAGCAGCGATCCTATCTGACGCTTCGTTTATACCATTCTGAATATCACCTAACCTCTGGGAAATGTCAGCCACGACGAATGGTCTCTCTTGTAGATCCCACATGGGAACCCAACTAGGAATGCCATAAGTTTTACGTTGCTTCATGTTGGTTAACGATTCTGTAAGTTCGAGGATTTCGGGTCTTCCCTTGCGCTGTATGAGGTATGCGGCAGTTCCAATGTATACTTCACGAACCATAAGATTGTAGTTTGCTTTCAAGATGTCGGCTTCTTCTAGATCAACTAGTCCAAGTAGGCCATAGATCTTATCACGTAGGTCCGTCATGCGACATGAGGCGGTCGCAGCGAGGACCTTCACGAGGTCACTCTTGACGTACGGGCCAATCGTCCCAATATGCGTAGTCCACCACGGGACAACAACGCCGCTTATGCGAGCCTTGGCTATCGTATTGAATGTGATTGGTGTTGACTCATCAGCACAATGCAAAACAACGGTTCGAGCGAGCAGGACTTCCTGCACCACCCATAGACGCGAAAAGAATGGTCGCTCAAAGAATGGGTCCAGTATTATTGATGCATGATTTGCAAATTGTGTCATTCTTGGGTCGGTTGACTCAGCAATACCCTTGAGAAGAGAGATGGCATTGATACCATTGTCTTGATTCTCCCCAACATAGGCATGAACAACGGTTGCCTTGGAGAAGATGTCATCCATCATGGCGACCTGATATGATCTTTCATCGAGATCAGACTGGTTGATACAAATCGAATCTACCCAGACGAAGACTGATTCTAGTTCTTGGCGCAAATGACGAAGCGCTTGATGACAGCTCGAGGTAATTGGTAGAGCCCTGTTGCCCCGTCCAATGAATATACGTTGGCAAAGAGAGGCATCGTTGTCAGCGTTAGCCCAGGTGTATGACAGAGCCTCGTAAGCAGGCGGCTTGTCCACGTCAACTACCAGTAGGCGACCCTCAAGCGCCTTCTCAAGAGATGCAGGAAGAAGCTCCAGGATCCTTATGTGTGAGGCTTTTGTGAACTCAGGATAGATCACCGCTTGGATCTGACTTGGTTGGTGAGATGTCAGTTTCAGTGACGGGTTTCGAAACTCACTTCTCGCCCGTAAGCATCGCTCACTGTAGCGGTCTGGTGGGTAATGCCAGTACAAACCATGCCCTGGCTGGCCTTGACTTCCTGTAAGACTTTTTTTATATTCTCTTCGGATGTCTCGGTCAGGTAATTGACGCATGATGGCCACGATAACGGTGCGATAGCCTCTGATGGGTGCTCTTCCTCTTCATTGACAGACGCAGCGACAGGGTCGGCAACATGGTCAACGGAGAATTCAAGAGGACCAATTGTTCCGCAGGCTTGGCAAGTCCATAATTTGCCGTCGAACGGGATTGGATCTATCCGGCGACAATCAGGGTCGTGCCAGTCCATGGTGAAAGAAAACGATACGGTGAACTACCTAGAAAGTGGGGTGGTGAGGTCAGTTTTATAGGTAAGCAGCTGAACTTGTCTAACAAGGCTACCTAATAACGAGGCTGTGCCTTACAAGGCGGACTTCAGAATACCAACACAGGCATTTCGAGAGGACTTCATTCTCTTTCCTTTCTATGAATTTCTTTTCGGGGCCGTCATTCTGTCTCCCCCAGGCGTCCTGTCATCTTATCAGCCACCGGGTTCACATCATCACAATGCGACCTACTTGAATTAAGCACTTTACTTCATCCGCAAGGTCAACCTAAAAATAAATTGATATTAGGTCTCCTCCTATAACTATGCCTCAATTTCCTGTGTTTGACCCGGCGACCATGATTCAAAGGTCATTTGTGGGCAATCCCAGACGACCTTTCAGTAATATCGGCATACGACTCGACACAACTCGAACAAAATGTCCAATATTGCAATTGAATCTCGCAGCGCAAGTACAGTTGATTCTCTTCGCAGCTTTGTATCGTCTCTTTCAAACAATTTTCAGCCTTGATGTGATCCACCTCATCCATGCACGATCTGCTAGACAAGATCCAACCTGGATATGTCTGCATCTCATGAGAACACACAGTGTTACACCTCCCACGACAAGCAACCGTGACAGTATAAATAGCTTGTCAACACACTATGAGGCTATAGCCTGGATGCAATACGCCATTTCGCCAACGCTGCCGAGCTGAAAAAAAGGTCATTTCGCGACAACATGAGCCGTTCCCTTGCTTTCATGCCTCTTTTCAGTAGCCGCACAGGTCGAACAGACGACACTCTCAGTATATGAAGTCGTAGCTACTCCATAGCACCGACCGACATAGTAATTGTCGTTCCGGCTGTCGAAGGGTTGCTGAGATCTCAGGCCACAGTTCTCGATCGGGTTCGGAATTGCGTCGACATGCCCGCATCGGATGCATTCCTCTCTCGTCTCTGTCTGTGTACACATGGTGGATGTTGAAAACGTGGTTTATATCGGTGTTTTGTTCCAAGTGGTTTATATTGACGTGTGTTGTTTGGAGGAGGTTCGCTAAGCGAAAGGCGTATGTATCATGGACCAGGTTCAGGTTCTTGGCCGAACGAACTTGGAGGGTTATGTACCCGGATATATAGCCTGTCAGCTGGCTCGCAACTTGATAAACGTGAGCCTGATCCTGCCTAGACAAGGCAGACGAATTACCAGATCAGGCGGTGCGATTTGCCTATTGAAATGCAGTGTTACACAAATACTTCTGATAAATGATAATCTTGAGCATGTCTGATTATTGAAAATGATCACAAGAACATTCCCCATGCCTTTATATTACTATACCTCATTAGCTTATCTCTCTTTGTTTGTCAAGACGGGTCTAACGGTTCTTTTCTCGCACACATAGCTTTGCTGTTTTGATGTTCAGCAGCTATTTCATATTTGTAAATCATATTGTGTTTTTATATCTCGTAATTGCACTTTATGCCCAAGTCTCACAGAGGCCCCTCAAGTATACGAGTACGAATAGGAATACCCGATGCGTTTCCCAACGTAGGCATTTCCAAAAACGTTATTGCGCAGGTAAGGCACGCCACTTGATAACGAACAAACGATCTCCCAATTCGTCTCCATCACCCGTTGCTTTCTCCCGTTTGCTCGTAGTGCCACGGTGAAATCGAGTACCGGGTCATATACATCTTAATATGTCACCTAATTGTGTTTCGGGCAATGGCCGCTGCTGGCATACTACCAAGCTCTTTGGTCTGCGGCTTAATCTAAGTAGTCTGAGAAACCTATGTTCGGAAAGTAGTACCTCTAATACATTGTTGCTTAGGCATTCACCGATTTCTTAGAAAGCAGGGGTGCAGAGTAGTATATCTTTTTGGATGATACCTGCCAATGAAACTAGACCCGTCGTCAATATCTAGTTGAAGTGACCCTGGGCGAACTTCGTTATCTTAAGAGTTGCGTCAGGATGAAATCCTTCACCTGGTTGATAGGAGTCTGGTCAATGGGCCAGCATAGGCTGTTAACTCTTCGATCGCATTCTGACTGGGATTCAATACAAAGATCAATATACCTACCGCACTATTGCCGATAAAACCAAAGCCGAAGCTATGACAACGGCCCTTAAGCATTGTTTTCATGCGGAACCCCTTTGATGATGAAGCCTTTTCTTCGACATTTGAAAATTCATGTTCTGAGATTAGCATATGCATTCCAGTTCTCCGGGGCTACTATCGTCTCAGTTGGTCGTCGATTCTGAAACTCTCGTCGAAAGAAACAGAGATGTCTGCCTCAATACCGTTTCTCGTCTTCCAACGTATGACTGGCATCTAGATCTATGTCGACGATGGCTTGAGCAGTTCCAAGGCTATAGAAGTTGAGCCGAAGAGTAATTCAACTCTCATTTCCACAACCATGTTTATCCTACAATCGCTGTTCACCAGGCTTCTGGTAACAGGTAAAAGGAAACTTGAGCTCTGTGTAAGAAACAGATGAGATTAGCGTCCCGTCGCTCTGAGCTGTGTCACAAGGACTGTCTCAATCACACCCAGAAGTCACAGGGCTTACTTTTCGGGTGAGGCGGACACGAAGAATAGGTGGGCCATTACCGCGATTATATACAGAATTAAAATGAGAACTGCGTTACTTAGAGCCTTCAAGATGATGTGGTTCCTATCCAGCTTGAGTAAGGTCTCAAAGTGCAGATCATCCGGCTACAAAAAGTGGCATGCAGTGAAGATCATGGTACGTGGAACCTGCAGAGAAACGGAAACGGCCGAGATGAAAACCAAAACCACAAGGTTCCCTACTCCATGCCGGCAGGTACCTGAAAGTAGCTGTCTGAGACAAGTAACATGATGATGTTGGGGCAGAGAAAAAACAACGTAGCATAGGTGCTTGGTACGCAGGTATATATACCTAGGTAGACAAGGCAGTGTCAGAAAATTGTCTACCAAGGTTCAGGCCGCCGAATTAATGAAGTGGCCTGAGTGCTGGTCTAAGCTGGTATACGATGACTAAATTATTTTGTCCTCCATGCTCAGAGCGGCTAACCTATTGTTCTGACGCCCTACGGTACCTGGGGAATGGGAAATACGTAAAGAATGCGGTGAGGTTCAGGTTGGTGCGAGCCTTGCATGAATAAACCAACTGGATTGTGTCTGGGCCATGACAAGCAAAATGGAACAATGCAACGGAAAAGGACAATAAGGAAACTATAATTGAATGTCTCTTTTGAACGTCTTCAGTACAGGACAGGACAGTGAGCGCTGGAGGTCATGCTGAAGATCACTTGGAATGGGGAAACGCAAATGATGGGCAGTTTCAAAGAGGTGGCTGAAAATGTTGCATTTTGTCATGACAGCGCAGCGCTTTTCTGAGCCTGGACCTTGGTAGTGGCATCTGGAATCTAGAAGCGGTGATGCTGACAGGGTGTCAGATCCACGTTTATATGCGTCTATTGAGGTCAATATTTATTTAATCACCCGGTCAGCATTCAACAAAGACGTCGTCAATAGGTGTGATGTCAGCCACCACCTCAGTGACTTTCTTTCTGGTAATAGGATTAGCGCCTGGTATGCGTGAGCGCCAAAAGCGTTTTTGGACAACGTGAATTGGAGTCTGTGATGGTGCTTGTGCTGAGCTGTCAAGAATGGCGATGACGACGATGGTGTGTGGATGGCGACAATTGCGTCACGGGCAGCTGCTAATCAGTAATCTGACCACTACCATTTCGAAGTTATCAGTGGATAAATAAATATCGTATGCACCGCTTTCAAGAAAGTACTGTAATGAGCAGAAGTCGGAGCTGAGCTGAATATCGAGACAGCTCACGAAATAAAACAATGCAGATAACCAAGACATGCATGAAAGTTTCCGTCGGGTCCATTTTGATGAGGGACAGAACCAAGACCAAGCAAGACCCGACAACAGGGGAACAATGGTCTAGGCTTAGACGCGATACTTTAAAGGTACCTCGGCGCCCTAGAGGCATCCGCTGAGCCCGATGCCTTCCATAATAGCCCCTGAACAAGAGGCACAGTCCATGATGGATGGAGAACCCCCATACGTGTACGGATACTCTGGCAATCAAAGCCCAATGTCAGTCAAACCTGATTCTTTACTTAGTGCGTGATGTATTTATGCGACAGATTCAGATCCAAATTTGAAGTCAAGCATCGGCTACTGGCGTTACAGATTGCGATGAACGACGGGTTAATTTCCCCCTGTCTTTAATCTTCCACTGCCTGACTCCATGCCAACTGGACTGGGCTGAAATGCAATTTTTAGTGTCTTCCTCGTAGCTCGTCCATTCAGTGGGTACTTCACATGTACTCTCCACCTTGAAACCTTCCTTGATCCCCGTAACTCCCGCCCGGCTCGTCTAGTCTAGGTGGTCCCTTCCCTTCTAAAACTTGACCCTTCCCTTCCCGACTGTTTTACCACCGCCCGCTACCAACTCAGCGCAACTTCCTTGGCTTTGTGGCCTCCAATTCAACTCCAACCTCTCGATTCCACGATACCTCACTTGCCATCCGCTTCTCTCCTTGCTTCAACTTCGCTCCTTTCTTCTCTTTTCTAGTCCTTTCCTTTTGTTTATTATACTTCACCGAAATTTCTTCTAACTTTTCGGGGCTGGGCTGTGATCAGCCGAAACGCGAGCGCAATGAACGCCATCCAGCAAAAGTGTCGGCCGAAACACCAGGTCCTCGTCCTCAAATGCTATCCCCGGACCACGAAAGGCGCTGTGGATGTCAAGCCCAATAGCAGCGAGCTCAGTTACCTCTTATACTACGCCACAAGTCGTCGGTCCAAGATACAAAAGATTGGTGCCTTTCTTGAGAAGAAGACAGCCAGCGATGTCTGGCGCCTGCGTATTGGGTATGTCGCATCGTCGTGGACTTCAAACGTCAACGTGTCAGATTCGTCAGAATCAACAGTTCTGCCTCGTCACGACTGAAAATTACTATAGCCCAGTCGAAATCCATGATTGCTAATCCTTACCCTTTTGTAGAAATGTCCAAGTCACTCTACAGATCCTATCAGCCTTGATGGAAAAACTTCACAAGGATTCCGTCCTTATTGCTCCATTCGTCCTCAAGATCCTCGACAGCGTCCTCAGATCCGACGACATTACCATGATCGAGTCCTCACTCCCTACATTCGGCGCCTTCTGTGATTATCACGACGCGGCTTTTCTCCTGGCAGATCAGACCTACCTGCGTCAATACGAGGAAATTGTTCGGTTATACGCTCAGCTAGCTTCGACAAAACCCGCTCCAGGTAAGGAGTCGCTCACCACTCCTGTCAAAGTTCGCTGGAGGAACGCAGGCCTTGAGGCTATTCGCAGCGTTTCCACAGCGGACGCCCTGTCTTCCATAACAGGTAGCCAAATGGATGTCATTATGCCCCGAATTCTTGAGAACCTCTGGTCCGACACCCCCGACTTTCTCGAAACCCTACATCAACGACTCGAAGAGGAGGAAAAGGTCGATACCGAGAAGCAGTTACGGCGTAGGACAAGCATTGCTACAGTGGGAACGGATGGGGCAAACGACCCCAATCCCGTTGCCCTTTCCGGAACTGCGGGTGATGTCGATAAGCTCGCCGAAGAGGAAGTAGGAGTATTGGCCATGCAGTGTCTGAAGAGCATCTTTATCGTTCCTACACGCGCACAGATCCATGGTGCCACCATCTCCCTACTAAGGTTCACGCAAGAGAAAGTCGCACAGGGCGAATCAGTGGTGGAGCTTCACGACGATCGAGAGCGGGATAACGGTTGGGCCATCAGCGTCTACAGCATCATCGCTCGCTGGGCTCCTGTACAAGACCGATACACCATCCTTGTGGCGGCCTTGGAAATGTTGCTCCGAGTTCCGGTACAAGACTCTACTCTCGATGAGCAGCTTGCATTGGTGACAATCATGAGTTCCCTTCTCCGATCTGACGTCAATCTCATTGGCCTGAGTATGATGGATGTGTTACTTGGCTTGATCAAACAGATGAGGAAGCTATTTAGGATACGAAGCCCCTCGAGCCAGAGTGACGATGGCAACGCCGCTGTCGTTGAACCTGAATCAACTGTGCGCCAAAAGACTAAGCATCTTGTGGGCAGACTCGAGTTGTGCGTTGGTGACTTGGCTACCCACGTATATTACACGGACCAGATTGCCGACATGGTTTCCGCTATAATCCTTCGTCTTAAACCAACTCGATCTTCTAGCATCAATTCTTCGCCAGGAGGTGAAAAGGCCGGTAATAACGAAGCCGGACCAGGCGCCTCCGCAATCGAACTAAGCGAAAGTCAGCAGCTTGATCACTATTTCTGTCTTAACACTGGCAGGGCATCGGGCCTCCGTGCTATCAAGGAGATTCTTCTTGTCGCAAATCCCCAGAAGAAGCTCACCGGCAACCTGGCCATGTCTCGCAATCCTGTGCCTATTCACGTATGGGAAGGCACTCACTGGCTTCTCAGAGATCCCGATGGTCGCGTCCGCAAGGCATACATGGAGGCCGTCATCACATGGCTCGACCGCGAGACATCATTCGCCAATGAGATTGCCGTTGAGGAGAAGCTTCCTCGTTCTCGCTCATCCGTTAAGATGAGCAAGGAAGCCAGCTCCGGTATCAACCGACGAGCCGTCTCGAATGCTTCCCATCGTGAGCGAGGATCAAAACCTCGCCAGTCGCAGTTCTTGGCGTTGCTGCATCTAGTTATTTACGACAACGCTCTTCAGTTCGTTGATTACGAGAATGATCTGGTCATGCTCCATATTCTTCTCACCAGACTTGTCCTGCAGCTTGGTGTTAATGCCGCTCGCTATGGCCTGCCCATGATTTACCGCTTGCAGGAAGATGTTCAAGAAATTGCCACACCTCTGCATAAAGTCCGAATTGCATCCCTCTGTCACGGTTATTTCTGGTCACTCGCCGAGAAGTTTGATTTCAAGGAATCCGATATCGGGAAAGCAATCGAGAGTGAGGTGGCACGTCGCAAAAGAAAGGCTTTCTGGGTCCAGGGCATCAACATGCCCCCTCCCTCCCTCGATCAAGTCGGTATGCCTGGCGAGGCACGCCCGCAGCCAGACTGGGACTCTGCTGCATTGGAACGAGAGGAGTTGCTTCCATTCGACGACAGGGAGGCCCTCGTAGAGTCCATTGCGGTCCACTATCATGAGAGTGTCCAGGCGCCTCCTGGAAGCCCCGGTGCATCTCCTGGAAAGGTGCTTTCGGGACCAATTCTCGGCTCAAGTCTTTCTCCCACCAGTCCGACAGAACCCGACGCGGAATTACCAGCTATTTTCCGCGAGCAGATGATGGGAGACTGGTCCAGAGATGCTGCGGCCGCCATGCTTGCCGCAGCTGGAAAATCGGAGTCATTGACCGGATCTAAGACGGAAACTGCAGGTACACGAGGCCATCTCACGGTAAAGACAAACGGTGTAAACGGCAATGGATTCGCCAATGGTCACGGAGCAACGTCGCCGTATGGAAGTCAGTACAATTTGATGAGACCTCATTCGTCACATGGCCACCGCGAGAAGGAAAGAGAAGGAACTATCCCGAGGCACCGCAAGAGTAGCGTTCGCAGTGCCAACTCGCCAGCAGCCCTCTCAACTGGCAACCGAGGCACGGTCGCCTCGGTTGATCAGCTGAAGCTCGTGCTCTCAGGCAACCCCCCACCGAAAACAGCCGCCCTTGCGGGAGACGATGACAGCGGGGACAGCATGGTCAGCTATGATTACAGCCTTTCAGATATGAGCTTTAACCCAGCTGCGCAGAACGACCAGCCTAGTAGTCCAACCAGTGTCAAGAGACCTGGCACTGCTTCCAAACGAGGACCTTTGAGTGCGCATCCTCCTCTTGGGGGAACACCCAATCTGCATGACAATAATGATGAAGATGAGGCTGTGCCTCCTGTGCCACCACTGCCGGATGTAAACTTGCTGGGAGGCAAGAGAAGTCCAATCCAGGCAGGCGAGAATTCATTCCAGGACAAAGCGAGACGACGAAGTCTCAACAGCCGCAACGGTGATGGAATGCGGCCCAAGTCGGTCCGTTCCCAAGACACCAAGACGATGGATCTACAAGATCTCCTTCGGGGAATCGATAGCCGACCAAGCGAAGGAAGCCTGGGTAATGTGACGAGGCCCCCGTACTAGGGAACGGGCATAATACTAGGAGTTCGAGGAATGTGGGCTTAGGTGTACATAATAGCGACGGTTGATTTGATGGGGGGTAGCGATACTGATGTAATTTGTGAGAGCTTTAAAAAGAAAAATGCCAAAATGGTGATCCCCATGCACGCAGCCCAAGTAAGCTCGATGATGCTCTTCTACTTGTGGGATTATTGGCCAATATCGAAGCCCAATGGGGTCGATGAGCGATCCTTGTTGGAGATGAATTTGTCCGTTGGGGCTGTTACAAGGGTCGAGCCGGTTTCAGAATTAGAGATCAGCAGCTAACGTATCTAGTTTACGGTTCCTCATATGAGTAAAAAGTGTTCCTCGTATGGTCAGTCACGAAGCTATTCAGAGTGGCCATGTTGAAGAAACGCAGTGTATATGAGAATACAGTATCCAAGTCCACAGTCCAAGACTGAACTGAGTACGAAACATGCCAAAAGTTAAGCTTTCGGCTCTTGTCGCGATTCATCATGATAATTGAAGATTCTCAAACACATAACCATGTCTTTCTTGTTCCCCTGTCTGGGGCTTGGCGTCATGGGGGCCAGTGCAGTTCGTCTTATTTCCCGGAGTGGCCCCCGGAGGTTGAAGAATAGGGAAATACCCCCCGCAACTGCGAGACTGGTCTCGTTTGTTGTCTTGATCCTTGGACCCTTGTTAACTTCCTTTCTGTGGGAAGGGGCCAATGTTTTCCGCTCTCTTTCTCTTTCTCATTCTCTCTCTCATTCTCTCACTACCATCTCGCGTTGACAATACGGATACGATTCCATCACTCTTTTTTGTTTCATTTGTGGTAACTGTGTTCGTTCATTACGGTGTCTTGTTAAGATACGTTCATTATACAGCAGCCGATCCTATTTTCTCATCCGACAACTATCGAATAATATCTGTAAAACCAGCGCGGGTTCGATCTCTTCCCGGCCTCGATATTGGGTCTGATCGCAACAGAAGGAAAACGAATTGGCTATCCGGGGAGTCAAGAGTTGGTGAGACAAAGTGCCTACGGCTAAAGAGTGTCAATATATTCGAAACAAGCATTCGGCAAAAACTTGACGGCGTATGGGCGAGCGACGTATTTGACAGGCGATCATTCTCTGCGATACTTGATAACACGGGTTGAACGAAGAAAGATTTGATGAGAAAGTGAAACATTAAAGGATTGTAAGGGAGCTGATTACGGCTTGTGCTACCGCGATACCTGTTCACTTGTTCTCACAAACATCGTCTTCAACTCAACTCGATTATCTTGACCCTGAACCATCAATATTCAGTCATGACCACCTCAGATCCCCTACCTGGAAATCATCCATCCCCAAACACCGCCGACTCAAACAACTCTTCTCTTCGATCAGACGACAGATTACAGCAAACCATGGTTCCTCCTCTGACTGTCCCTCCTCCAAGCGCGTCAGCGACGACATCAACACCACAACCCTTCTTCGGAGCCAGCGTCCCTGCATACTCGAGTCCAACAACTTCACAATCCCCATGGTCCCCAGATATACCGTCAAGTCCACCACCGCCATACGATCCAAGTCGTCCGCCGGCAATCTACTCCCCCTTCGGACCATCGTCATCATTCTCCTCGCCGCCACCTCAATACCCGCCGTCAACACCATGGCCGTACGCACAAGACGGATTCACTAACGGAAGCTCCAACAGTCCACCCCATAAGGTAGGTCCAGCGTTGGCTCGACGTCGACGCAAGATGCAACTCATCGCCCTAGCGCTGTGCGCTGTGATGATGATCATCTTTGCACTGATCATGGGTGTTCTGATGGGCATTGTGAGATTACAGTGGCAGGGAGGAGATGACAATTAGGATGCATCTGCACCATGTGTTCGTTCGTTATTTTTTGTACATTCTGTACCTTTTTTATTCTTGGTTATTATCAAACGGTGGTACTTGGTGAATTGACCGGCACGGCGTATGGACAAACAAGAGGCTTTGATTAGAAACACAGCAATATTTTACAAACGAATGGAAATTTATCAACTGTGTGAGACTTGGACGGCAAATTAAGTACTGGGGGGTTGGATAAATCCCCAACATTTTGTTCTCATGCGCGGCGACCTTGGTGTTCTTGTTCAAGTTGATACTCAGTTACCCTACACCTAGCTATTAATTCTGAATTCCGAGTAAAACATTAAACTAATTACACATACAACTTGTTGGAAGTCAAAACATGACCCGTTTTCTTCCTCCCGTTTTTTATCTCACCTTCTGTCTTGCCAGTCTGTTGTAAGAGCTCGTGCACCTTTTGTGCCAAACCAGAGACGCACCATTGCCAACCATAAGCCTACCAAACGCCTCGGTAAGAAAAGACTCTTTGCTAAAGAGGATGTGGCGGGCTGACCAACCAATACCACAACTATGGCAATAAAAACTAGCGGGGATAGCCTTTTGCGGCGCAGACTTACTGACTGATGATGGCAGATGATGAGTACTGGTAGGCTGGGAATCATTCTGTAGCCAGAAGCGGGAGTGAGCGGGAGCCAGATCCAAGATTGTAACGGGGGAGAAAAGAAATTGTCCCGATTTGAACGTACCTAATGTTAGTGTCTCTAGGCTGAGTGATCGACAACTGGAAAGTCAGTTGGATGACCTGGCATGGCTTGGACATGGTCTTGGCTTACCCCCGGGTTGGCCTTGGACATGATTTTTAAACTTCTGTCAGACTCACTTGTACAGATTCAACTTCAACGGTCAGGTCTGGACTGCGCGGCAATACAGATACTCAATACCCTATGGATTGGTAAGTTGGCCGACCCCGACGGAACGTCCTAGATCCAGATGTCGCATTCCCGTAAACATGAGAAAAAGCAATCATCGGCGGACATGCTCCTCTTAGGTTGGCCGAATGTCATGTTTTCTCTTGTCGCTTTTATGAGGCCGCATTCAAGGGTACCTAAGCGAGGAGTGAAGCAAACTAACTGCATGCATGCATGCATGCACGGAAATATGACGAGTGTTTCGACCAACGTTTCTTTTTTTCTTCATAACTAACTTTCGTTTCTTTTCCCCAGGCCTTCACTGCTATAGGATACCCACCCCCTGATCCCAATACGCCACGAAATGATTTTTGACGTGTCGTTGATTTCAGAATCATAAAAGGTTGAACAGGGCTGAGGAACCCGACAGTAAACGCCACTCCGATTCGATACAACGATCCGCAGGGTCTCAAGGGGGGGGGGGGGGGG